GGTAGTCGTCGGTTGCACAGTGTTTTAGCCTAATTAAAACTCAATTTACCACTTATCTACCTACCAACGCGGCCACTTCACTTCCGCCCCTTTTAAGCTGTGCTCATTTGCTGCAAGAACGTCATATGAATGGAAATCTAGTGCGGGTGCTAGCGGATGAAATTTGTAGTTGGAGGTGAGATTGCGATAAAGATTATGCGATATTAGGTTGAAACCGACCGCCAACGATCCATTAAATCCGGGAAATTTGCGAATATTTTGCAATAGAATACAAAACGTTTAGTTTTTAATGCATAAACTCTTTCGCAAAGCGTTCAAAGTAAAAAATAAACAGTAATTTTATTTTTGTTGTTTTTGTTAGCATGCAAATTTATACCTATATGCTTTTTCGCCGGCATCGAGTGCTTTCGCGCTAGTTTTCCGATATTTTGTTTTGTGCTCTCATGGGACGCACGGAAAATGGAAAATTACGCTCTCGGCGTGTACTCAAATGAATAACTTTTATTTTACATAAACAACATTCTCTGATTACTTATTTCCCGAAATTCCAATATGATTGGACTTGACAAAAAAAAGGATTATCTATGAAATACGTATTGTTTTTGGAATAGATTGTGAAATTTCGCGTTAAATGATATATTTGACGGAATTAAGTCGTCGATAATAAACGGGTTCGGCGGACAGGAAATTTGCATAGCGTGCGACAACAAGAAGCGCGACCGCGACCGCGCGATGGAAAAGCGCATAAAAATCGTGGGAAATTGCAAACGGTAATTTTCGCATCGCGTACCCCGCCTGCGCCGTCTCTCTGCGTCATTTAAAATTCAAATCGAAGCCCACCCTGCTTATCCATCCCGACGCCGCCCGTCCGCTTCATCAATGCCTCAATTCAACGAGCGGGCGGTTCGCAGTCCGTTCGTTTTCCAGCTTTTCCGGCCCCGTCTGGTCCCATCCGGCCTCGACCTTAACTCGGCGTATCTCCATCGAGGTGCAAATTTCCGCTATACCGCTACTTGCAATATTTCATATTACTAATTCAACATCAGATTGTACTATCTGCTACAAATTATTTATTTATTGAGTGACTAATAAAACACTAAACTGTATTTTTTCATTGTTTCAGGCGTGTTAAATAGAGAAATCGGATTGAAAGCAACGCGCAACGACGTACAGTTAACGGCAGGTGGCGCTTAGGTCGACAAGCTGGCCCATCAATTCTGGTTCTCGTACCCGCCGCCGGGCGCGGGCGGCTCCACCAGCTCCAAAGAAAAACAAGTGCTGCCGCCCGACACTGAGGAAAAACGTTCCGCGTCCAAAGAGCAGCGACAGCTCGACTACGACGCCGCCATCAAGGTACTAACAACATAACCCAAACTAAAAACTACTGCACTAAGAAAACGTTCCAAAAATGGATTTCCGATGTTTTCGTGAAAGAACTCATTCGGGGAAGGAATGCAGAAACTTTGAAAATGCTATGCTCGCGCCCATGAATAGACTAGGTATCGCGGTCGTGGATGGGAAAGACGAAAACATTCCGGAAGTGACAATGCGGGCTCGCTTGGCGCGCCATCTACGATCGTAAAATATTTATGACGCGTCAACAATCGGCCGCCATCGAAAACTATGCAAAACTGCGACACGCGCGCATTCATGCCCGACTTCCAACTTCACTCAACGGAAGCGAATCCAGCGAGCGAAGGCGACGAATGATAAAACTGACGTAATGCGTTTACGAAATGACGCAAGCGCACTTAAACTAATAGAACTTCCGGACACATAGTTAACGCGTTCGCACATTACTTTTATCGACCGCCTGAGATTATATCAAAGCAACTCGTTTGTAACAAAATAAAATTACTGCATTACGTTAAATGATAAATCACATTATTATTATTATTATTATTATTATTAAAGTTATTAGCTTATATATAAAATTAGTAATAAAATTGTTTGCAAATTACGAGCTTCGAGTTTCGAGGAAAACGTCGATCAAGTGTTTTGCTTAATTTCGTATAATTACTTGACGTTATTAACTTCGTTAACGGAAAGGTCAAAATAACAGTCGCGGTGGTTTAGGGTACGATAAACGGCGTCCGGTTGCGGCATAAGGAAACAGGAATGAACATTCCACGAGAGGCGAGTGTTATTAATTCCACGATGAGGAAGACCACGGAATATAAACAAATTAATGACTGTCATCATGGCTAAAAGTTATAAAAACAAATCTCAAACCAAAATGAAATCTTTAAAACAAAATGGCTGCCGTTACTGGGTGAATAAACGTAAAATACGGAATAATAAACTAAAATCTCTCCAAAATTCCAAAACATTTTAAGAAATAGCGACTGTAAACGCCATTCAAGTATTTGCAATTTCATCCTCATGGGGGTGATGATCCATAAACCGGAAATGACCTCTCCTGTGGCGTCCATGCGCCACTTGAGGCGTTAAGTGCCTCCGTTCAAGCTGAAAGCCTCCAGAGCGTAAAGAAAAATGTCATCACACAAGTCATTGGCTCACGCGTTCAGAATCCATACGAGAGCAAAATTCATAAATAAACTACGAAATATTACCAGCAAGAATTAACATCCGATAAGGAGAAGATTTGCAACACTGTATCGCGTCGATAGTGCCATCTGTGTTCACACTGGTGACATCTATCTAATGATTTTCTTAGCTTGGCGATATTTTCGGCGCACATTTTTCTTGCTTTCCGCTGGCATGAAAATGAGATAAGAATGCGTTATGGACGGGCCGAGCCAAACCCAGCCCGCCAAGTTTGTACTAAATTGTAAGATGGTTATCAAACCTACCGCGGGGAACAAAGATATTCGGCATAATAAAAAAAACTCGCGTAAATCCTAAATAAACATTTACATCAAGCCGCTTGAAATTTGTGATGTCAGCGTAAATATTTTATAAAGTCGGTGAGAGTGTACTTTGCCGTTGAGATTATGACTTTTTAGCAAGCCATCGCATGGTATTCGCAGATTATTTACACGGATCGGATGACCTGGAAATTTTCCAAAACACCCACACACATCCACGTATAGGCTCGCGTGGGTGATGGTGACTGGGGGTGGTTTGGCACGCCGGAAAAGCCGCAATAGTCGTCGCACTCGGCGGGGGCGGTTTGCCAGCCAGAATGTCGAATGCGAAATGCCGAAGACGTTGTTGTCCGCTGGGCGCGGGCGGGCGCCGTTCGCGAAATCGAAGCGCAAACAGTAAATAGCGATCAGCGGTGCGGCACGGTCGGAATAACATTAAATAACATTATGGTGAATACAACCACACACAAACGACGACGTTATCTTTAGGTATTAAAACAAGAATAAAACGAAAAAGAATCCAGTGATGCGAACAGAAGTTGTATATAAATAACCTGTTTGTGCAATTTGTTATTATTTAAATTTTAAGTGTGTTTCTGTGTAAATTCTATAGTTGCACTTTCTTGCCATACGCGATAACACGAAAACCTGAGAGGTAAAAATTTCCAATATTTTATTTTTACATTTTGACTCTTAAAATTTCATAGATTTCCTTAAATTAGTCTTAGAAATTCATAGTCAGAGCTGTATTTAATCATTCACGTCGTTTAGAATTTAGATTGGATGGGGGAAAAAGCATCGAAATCCAATTTGTTCACCTAATGAACCGTTGCAAACTCTTTACTCACAAACTCACAAAGTCATCGTCGGCAAATGCAAATTGCTTCAAACAAACACAAAAAAAAATCAATCTCAATCAATTTAAATCTTCAAACTAGTAGTTCGTTCGGAAAGCTCATCACTTACCAAACCCTAGTTCTACTCCTGGTCCACTATCAGCTTTCAATTTAATTTTCTTCTAGCATTTTTGAGTAAAACTTGTTTTTGCTTGTTTTCGAAAAAGTTAACGGAGCACGTCACGATTTCGCGCAAATTACGCGATAAAATCGAAGAGTTTACGAGTAACTCCCTTTTGCAAACGTCGGATACAAAAACGAAATAAACCAAAGCAGAAGCAGCAGCAGGAAAACGACAGAGCGTGAGCTTTCGATATCCTCGGAGTGCATTCGAGACAGATACCGTGAAGCACTCGATAGTTTAGCAGTTATTTGTTTTTTCTCTTCTTTGTGCAAAACGCGCTTCGCGTTTTACTGGTCGCTCAGTCGTTAAATTTCTATCTTTATGTGTCGCTGCGATATCATTTTGGCCTATTCTATGAAGTTTAACCGTTGGCAATCAGTTTCCATTTATAGTGCTTTTTATCATCAAGTAAAATGCTTCAAATCGCAATAACCCACTTTAAATTATTAAATTTGAAATTATACCGACTAGAATCTAGTAGATTTTGTTAGTGAACTGCAATTAACTTTGATGTTAAATGTTTAGGAACATCAACGCTCCCAACGCGAACAGTGGGAGTGTCGACAATTGGACCACGATTTGGTGCAACATCGTCACACGGAGCGCGAACGTGAGCGCGAGCAAAAGGAAGCGGACAAACTACAGCACATTGCCGAAGAGCACAAGCCACAATATCAGCAGCAACATTCGCTGCATCATGAAGATTTTTATCACCACCATCCCAGCACGTGAGTGACAATAACACTGCATAAATAAATGTTTTATAAACAAGTTTTGGTAGTAACATGCAACGAAGGCGTCTGGTTTAAATTAAATTAGGTTATGCTGACTTTAATTCTCTAATGAACAAAGCCTAATTATATGAAACTCCAACGTGCTGTTAATTACAGACACACGTCGGCACAGTCGCAAGTTCCGAATTGGAAATTAATATTGCGATTGGTTCCGATCGCGGTGGAGTCTCGTTAAAACTTTCGCTAATGTCGAACTTGCGAACTCTGCGGCGGCGTGCAAAGAGCAAACATTGAATTTCCAAATTGGAAAATTACCAAATTGTGCGCCGCAATACGAAATTACCAAATTAAACCCTCATTCGACAAGTAGCAGGAGGAGGCGGCTAATACATATCAGATGGCGAACGCCGTTCCTTACCTTCCTTTCGAGCATCCTGTTGTTGATTCGCATTTCTGTTGGATCCGCTTTTCGCAAAAGTTGAAGTGCGCCGCGCTTCCAGCTTCAACTTCTCAGGTGTTTGCGTGGATTTCCCTCGGGTACTGTAAACCAAACAAAAAATGCTTCAAACTTGAAGATCTGAATTAAAATCGCAATTCTGCACGCTTGCAAAATTGAAATAAGACTTAATGGATAGACGTGCATGAGTTATATAATGACCGGTATTAGAAGACAAACAAGATGGCGGAATGCGTCCAGCGGGTGCGATTCGTTAAAATTTCGGTTTTATTATCATTCCCGGCGGGGGCAGACCGGCCGGAGCATTAAGGGTCGCGTGCCAAGAGGGGCAACAAGCAGGTTAACAAAAACCGGCGGTGGATCGACCCAGCGCTGTAGCAACAGGGTGCTCGCGCAACAGTTAAAACATTTTACAAGCCGTTAAAAGTCTTAAAACTTCACTAGCAGACTTATTAAGTTTTTGCTATCATTTTAAGTGTGTTTTTGCCACATAGACCCAAAATATAAATCCCGCAAAAACCCACGACCCAAGAGTATTCAGTAAACTATAAATCTATGTATCACAACATGCATTTTCACTCAAGCTCACTTTACACTCCATTTTCCCAAGTGTTTACGGCGATATCAAAGCAAAAGAAAGTAAAGTGGTTATGAAAGGAGAAAAAAGTGTAGAAAGCTCTATGCAAAACAAAAAACAACGAAAAAAGTCGCTTAAAATCGTTAAAAATTGCATGCGCAATCAAATGATACGCAGCGAAACTTTTTTGTATGCAATATGCTGTTTGGGAATGCATAACCGGATGAAATGCATTCATGTGCAAAGTCCAACTGATGCTACCTACCATGTCAAGTGAAAATACATAGAATCCTAAATACACATTAATATTATTCTCGACGATCCGCGTTATTATAAAATATTCCCTCTATTTTCTTTCCTCTTAGCAACAAAAAACTTCCACTTTTAATATTCGCATTTCCAAATAAAGTTCAACAAAATCCAATCCAATTATAATTTCAACTCGGCGTCATTTTGTTGACTTTCACGTTTTCTACTTGGAAATTTCATGCTGTTCAGCTGAAAAGCACGACGCGAAGAGCTTATTCCCGACTGCTGTACTTTTTAATCAACTTAATAACAATGTAAAACATCATAAACATTGCAGCTTAAAATAATTGAAGCTTTTGCGAAAGTTCAACATGTCTATATAACAAAAGCCATGCGGAAACAAAAGGTCCTCGCCTCAGTCCAAACCGCATGGCAGCCATTAGCAGCAAACGAGAAAAAATCATTTATTCCCCGCTTTCATTGCGCGCATCGAATTCGATTCATTCGAGTCGACGAAATCGTCGTAGTCATTCGACGCGAAAGCTGAGAAGTGTAAAACTAATGAGGAGTAATAGTAATGCATGAGTCGAGCCGGAGGAAAAAGAAGTGAAGAGCAGAAATGCGAAGAAAAAAGCGCCCGCAATGCTTTCGACCCTTTCGACGCTTTGAAAACGTATTGCCAGCGTCAATTTTCATTCGGCGTTCGGTTTCCAACTCGCCCAACCGCTGTTCGTTTTGTTCGCAAACCAAAGACATTGAAATATCACACCAATTCGTTTCGACTCACCTACGAAATGCACACAAACCGAGCAAAAATCAACGCAGCGACCAAAAATATTTACAAATTCCATATTGTTGTCGTAATTGGCTGGAGTTTGAATTATTTATGTACACTGCGCGATTCGCCAACTAAAACAACAAACAATTAAACTATCTTTAAACTTAAAGTCTCATTTAACACGCCGTGTGCATATGTTTCACTGTTTACACTCGGGGAAAATTCATTATACGCGAAAAATTAATTCATCACACGTATCAGCGCCATCTAATGCCGGCTTGGAAAGTTAGCGAGCAGCTTTTCTCGCTTTTCCTACCTTACCCAAACATTGCGAGCTTTCCAAGTTTCCCGCAAGCCACAAGTTGCGACTCGATACGCGCGTATTCAATTGTTGCCTTTTTCATCGCCGCCAGATGGCGCTGCGCGCTTCGCTTTACAGGTGTATTTTATGTGTGATAAACTCTCATTTAGATTTTAATCAGAAATAACAAACACGAATAATTATAAGCCAACAAATGGAAAATCACCACTAATGGATATTTATGTAAGCATTAGTAAGCAGTAATTAACCCGAAAACTCAATTTATGTTTTTTGTTTTGCTTTTGTTTCATATTTAAACAAATAAATTTTAATTTCACGTTAAATACTTTTGCGTGTTGAATTAAATGTATAAAAGTGTAAAGTTTGAAAATAAAAAAGATTCTTATAAAATGCGACAGCCAAAAAGCGATGATACTGCATTGAGGCTGGCGACTGCAGTGCGGCCTTCGCCGCCCCCCACCGCCGGTAGCGGCGCCTTCGTCGATAGTCCTTGACGTCAGCGTTTTACGGGCCGCATGCACACTCCACCACCACGTGAACATATGCCCCCGACTCGGGGGCAGTGCTCGTTCGTTGCGTCATCGGCCGATAGCTGAACATCGCCGACAACACTTCAATTTCCGCAAACGCCGACAAAAATACAAAAAGAACTCTCGCCTATTCAAACCGCAGATATATTTAGATTACTATTTTAATTGAATGCACACCCTTTTACACACGCAGAACAACACTCTGTATATTGACGTAACAATAACGTTTCTCGTTGGGCGGATAAAACTCGAAACCCGCTTCGGGAACGGCTTAAAACAGCACGAAACAAAGGAGAAGTTGGCGTAATCCCGTTTCGCAAACCGAATATGCATGTACAGCTTGATTTTATTCCTTTTATTCGCTTGTGCGCCTGCTTTGTGTTATATTTTTGCTCGCGCGCGAATAGAAAATTCAAGCGTTTGACGGTGTCACCAACTTTTTCCTTGTTCACTGCAGAGGCGCAGCATAACAATAGTGCTCGTGTCGCGCCGCCTTCGCCGCACAATGCCACCGACGCCGACATCAAACACGCCCGAGAGTATCGCTAACAAGTAGCGCAAACACTTTTCAACCCATGCCAAAATCAAAAAATCAATCATTTCCAAACAAAAAATTTCTCCATATTCATAAATGACCAAACACTCAGAATCGTGCAAATCGCCGCCTAATCGATATCAATCTGTGCGATTGCAAGCCGCCGAAGCGAGACGGTAATTCGTTCGTAATTTAATTGTAATTTCGGCGTAATTTTCACCAGCGGCGTCCTTTTTCCACTCGCACAGCGCGCGCGGATTTAAACCACACCGGCGCCGCCGCCAACTTTCAAGCGTGCCATGCCGGTGCACAAACGGCGAACGCAATTACAATTGATTGATGAAACAAACGCGGACGGCCAAACCCGGACGTGATACTCGTTACACAGCTTTTATTACCAAAGTATCACAAAGCGAAATATCAAACATATTAATTAAAACACAGGCAATATCAAACTCATAACCTATCCCAATTAGTTTTCGAGGTGATGACAATAAAACTTGTATGCTTCCCTCTCGCAAGTTTTATTAAAACACAAGCGATACGCGATGAAAAGCCCACGAGTTGTACGTGTACGCATGGATGAGTTATCGATCCCACCACACGATGTTACCTTGCGGCATAAACTATGAGCCATAAGCTTCCACAACCACCAGACTTGACTACAGACAACCTACTACACCTGAGTACACACAGGACTTCACCAAACTAAATATTCCTTGTCATGCTAATCCAGCATCAGGCACAAAGCAGCCGGATGATAATAATCTTGAACTCTCGATAATCCCAAAACGATGATACTCTTGTAAATTCAACGAAATGTTGAGTTAGGTTAGGTTGTAACTAGTTCCATTGCTGCAAGCACTTTAATCATGCGAAGGCATGTATAGAGTCATGTTGCGACATGTCATACATGCCGAGAGTATTACCGCGCAGATGCGTCAACCGTTAATAAGTACCCTTCGGTGGATGTTGGTATGCGGCAATGCCCGAGGGGGAATAGACGAGCGCAATTCGCACGTATCGTAAATCAATCGAAATTGTAACACGCACCATACAATGTCGACTAGGCCACTAGATCACCAGAGGAGTGGTAAATCATAAAATTAGTCGCTGTCAAGTGATTTAACAACGTTTCACACGATGGAAACATATATAGAATTTAAATTTACTAAAAGATTCAAATTGTATTTGTGAAAAGTAAATATTTTAGTTTCTCGATGTTTATATTCAGGTTATTTCTGAGCCAAAAGTATATAGGCTATAGCAGCTAGGGATACATTCGTTTCGGTGGCAGCGGTCGCAGCTCTCGGCTGCTATAAATAAAAATGCGGAAACACTTTGCCACTGCTCCCGCCGACACTACTTTATTATCGGACATCGATAGCTGCTTTTTTATTTTGCGCAGCACGTAAAACCGAAGCAGCTGGCCGTAAAAAATACGTCAGGTGCCGGGATAAAACCGAGAGCAACATCCACATTACGTGCATGTAACAGGAGAAGATGTGAAGATGTAGGTCTCGAGGGAACATTAAAGAGTGCATTAAACATTGGCTTTCTGGTGAATTCACAAATTTACAGAATAAAAAGTGTGAAAGAAAAATTGAAATAAAAGCATGGCTTAATGATGAAAAAAAAGTTATTTCGTGGTTGATTTAGTGTATGAGTAAGAAAAACGAAGGATATGCAAAGAATTTTCGCTAAAGATACTCTCGGTGAGTAAGTAAGCGATGAAGACGCGCATGAAAATTGCGGAATATCAACAAAAATAGACCAGAGCAAGCGGGGAAACGTGGGAAAGTCCCGCATTCCTGCCGGCGCGCGCCGTGCACAAAATATGTGTTAGTGTGCCACTACACAGTGTGCGGTGGCGGCGCACTCCTCATCGTGCGCGCCCGCCTCCGGCCGGCCGGCATCGGGCGTTTCGCCGCAGTGACGCAATCCGGCGCCGCGCCGCGTGCTCACAAAGGCCTTCGCCGCGCGCGCCCGCACACACGTCGTCGCCGCCGCCACCCTCGCTCGTCTATCGAACGACGGCGCGAGTGCCGCGAGCGCCCCGCGTTTCGTAATCACCACCACCGCTGCTGCCGCCGCGCGAATATCCGAACCAAACGCATAAAATGTTGTGACACGCGAGACGCGCCGCACGGTTACCGTCCGCCCGCGAATCGATGGCAATTCGCGACGCAATGCGCTCCCGCGGCAACAACACGGATTTCGGCGGACACCAAACGAAACTCTTTTCTACCGCGCAATGTGTGTGATATTCTAAGCGCGAGTCGCCTCTGCCCGTCGCACGTCGAACAGCGCAAATCTAACACTTAACGAACGCAAGATTAAGACGACGACCGACGACGCCACACCGAAGTTTAAACTAGTTTCAAACTTACCACCAACCGAGAGTGCTATTACTACTATCTTATAATATAATCCACAACAACCTAAATACTTAATAACTTACGTATATAGAGTATAAAGTGCACAAAAAAGAAAATCAGCAATAATTAAACAACTACAAAAAAAGTTTAAATAAAAATAACTACCGTCAATAATCGCAGCATTTAGATATCAACCGCAAAATTTCGACATAGATTCAACTTAGGCGTCAACACTTTTTAATTTCGCGTTTGCGTGTGCATTTCGTTACCATTTACCTCTTACTCTCTCTCTCGACGAGGAGACGCCGACGATTTTCTACAATTACATAATCGCGATCGCGCGATAAATTAAAAATCGCCGCAAATCGATTCCAAGGGGCGTGACAGGCGCGCGATCCGCATCCGCTCGCTCTCGCACCCCCGCGATCGCTGCGAATAAATCAAAAAAAAACCGAAACAGAAAAATATTTAACGCGCACGGCGGACGTGCGAAACTGCGAGCAAACAATAAATACGAGCGGCGGAACGCAGCACGCAGGGACAAAAATTAGGTTATCGATCATCCCGGCGAAAATAAGCGACGACAATATTCGCCCACGAGACAAGCGCAAGACAAACCGAAATTATGCTAAATTATGCCTAATTCGCCCGACTCGATCTTACACTATAGTAAGTCATGATATTCTCTCTCATCCACTAACTCTAACACTAATTACTAATTGTTATAACTTTTGTTTTCGTATATATACGTTTTACTGTTAGCTACTGTTTGTCAGTTGTCAATTTGTGAGCTTTTTGGTTTGAAATGACGAATGAACATTTCGACTCTACTACTTTTTTTCGTTGTTTCGTTCTACTCATAGAAATCTAACGTTTTTTCAGTGTTTGTTTTCTCACTCGACGTCGGTTTTCAATTTGTCCTTGAACTGTTTAATCGTTTAGATATGTACCGTATATTCTATATATAGAACTGGGACTTTTAATTATTATCAATTTTTTTTTCATAAAAAAATGTTGTCAAAAAAGTCGCAGTTCTAGTCAGGACCGAATTAGAGACATCCTCACAGTCCGTACAGTCGACACTACAACTACAAATTTAGTGCCTGTCCAAAAAAAACACTCGAAAACTTTTTAATTAAAACTCTCTCTTGCGTAGGTTTACAAGTTTCGTTTCCATTAGACACAAATATTCTCTATTTTATAGCGATTATGTATGACAACGTATATATATTTACAACTTGTGTTTGTTTTGGAATTGTGTCCGTAGTAAAAATTAGCAAAAGTCGGCCCTGCATCTGACGAAACGTGTACCGATCTCTCGTGTAGTTGCATCTCGTATCTTGTTGCTAAGTGTGTTGCCAAAACCGCAGTCGTCGCAAACAAAGAGCGCCCCAAACAAACAAAAAAACGCAGACCAGTCAAAATGTCGCAGTTAGTACTTTGCAATTCGAATAACGACAACAACAATAATAGCAATGATAATCTTAGTGAAGATTCATCAACGCCGCTCACCATTTATCGGTAATTACTAATTTCTTCTTCTTATTCCTTACTTACTTCCAAATATATTTTTCTTTCGATTTTTTGTTTTTCATTTACAAAACAAAAATTTTCAAATTTTCAATCAAAAATAAATTTTTATAGAAATTTAATATGATTTAATTGCGTTAATCCTTTATTTATTATTTATTTATGTTGTCTATATTTGTGAACAACATTTTTCGTTCCCAATTTGTTGTATTATTTGTAAAATTAATTAATAAATAATATATTGCTATAAATATACACCGTGTGTACTGCGTGTGTACCGAATATACATTTTATTCTAATTGCATGCAAGTATAACTTGTCACAATATCGAATCACACATTGTATTGTAAATAACCGCCTATCTCTCTCTCTGTCTGGCAAACCAAACGTAGGCAGCCACCAATCACAAACAATGAACCAGCTTACGAAAAACTCTTTCAAGGACTGGAGGCACACGCGTTAAACATAGCCACACACACACGAATAACACGCAAATACACACAAACACACAAATGAAATGGCTTAAATCACTGTTTTTGAAAATCTCTCTGCAAAAAATCAATTTTTCTGCAAACGCTTCTTTGGACACTCTTAAAATAAATCAAGCTTTTTGACAATCTACTGTAGACACTATGCGCATTGTTTGAATCTGTATCCGGAGCGATATGACGAGTAAAAGTTGAATTTGGTAAATTTTCGAATTTAATCAAATCAAAACTCGCAAAACTCGTAAGAAAACACTCGAGATGGAATTACCCGCCGCGGCGCAGTAGCTAAGGGCGGCAAACAAGCTTAACTTTCCGCCCTTCCGCCCGCGGTTGCAGTCGCAGTCGAGTCGCGGCTAAAAGTTGGGCAGTGTGGCCGAAAGTTGGAAACTTCGGACGCGCGCCCCCCGACTTGATGCGGTGGAGGCGCCGGGCCAAGATATGTCACGGTGAGCGCGCGCGCCGTTAAATGACGTCACGCCGCGCCGGAAACGGAGCGTAACGAAAACGCGATTACGTTTGACGACCACCGCCGCCACCACCGCAACGCGCGCTATTATAATAAACCGTGGACTGCCGTCAGGATGATGAAGTAAATGGCAGACCAGTGTAATACTTACCGATGTTCAATGGTTCGTAAACATAGCAGGCGTGCATCAACAAGAGCGAATCTGGAACGAACAAACAGAATTTTAAATTACCCGCACGTAACCCTCGCCCGAAAGTCAACTATCAAAATTATATAACATCGCTTTGTCAGAGTCTTGTATAGAAATTGATGTTGTTGATGTTGTGCTTGGATGTGAAGAAATTCGGCCACTTTTCCGCGCCGAAAATAAATGACAGTCGTTTAGGACGTAAACTCCTGCCTGCGGGTCCTAAGCCCCGTCGTTACATTCCACTCTGTCCCCGATTCTATCAACTTGGTAACCCCAGACCAAGACCCCAGTAGAGCTAAGCTAAGCTGAAGCTGGAGCTGATTCCAGGCCATTGGTAAAAAAAAGCCCACCGTATGACATATTGTATGTCTGAAAACTTGATAAAGATGGCGGCGGGGACACATCTGCGTCTAATAAAAGGTACAAACGGAACAAATCTAATAAGGATCGAAAAAATTATTTCCAAGATTGTTTGTCCACTTTGCGAGGGTATAGAAAGGTTTTTCGGGTATAATAATATCAGGTGCACACGTGTTCAGACGCATTGCTCTCGTCGAGAAATCAAGAATCGAGCGTGCGGATAGGCCGAGCATACTTTACGTAAGTTTTTGGCCGAACGAACGAAGGCGGCTCTCGACCGCCAGCGGTAGGCAAACGGCGATCGATAATATTTCCGGGTTTCAAGGGGTTGCCCCCATGCGCCCCGTACAGCCATGCTACGGTTTTATCGTCAGTCACCTTATAACACTCATGGCTATTTGCGCATAAACATACAATGTGTTCCAGGAATATTTCATTATTTATAAATATTTTACCGCAATAATAGTTAATTAGAATATTGTGGTTTTAACACTAATCGTGTTTGTGTTTGCCTAGGTTCGCGCGCGTGTTTGCACAATATATTCTAACTAGTTGACTATACCATCCTCCCCACCTCTTGCTTTGCCGCCCTCAATGTCATCCTATGACGTGCTGTCTTTAGAACCCCTCTCTGATACACCTTCATCGCTATTCACACCGTGTGGTCCATGTGTGTATACGTGTCCTTACCCTTTCGCCTCGGGGGTGTTAAACCGTGCCCCGCACTTTCCCCCTCATCTTCACCCCGCGGTTTGACATTGATTAATTACACGCCGAGTGCAAAAACTAGTGTGGCTCGTTACTCACCCTGACAATACTATTATTGGCATCTCGTTTCAAAATATTGGGTTTTGAGATTGCGCAGGTTACCAAATGTTATATTAATGTGTCATCGATGATTGCCGCCTTTTTTATTTTTCGAAGTTTTTCCGATAATTACGCGCTCGCATCATCGTAGTCATACGTTACAAACATTGGGAACGCATGGAAACACGCAATCGAAGGCATCGAATGCAAACATTCGATCAGTCCGACGTGAAAGTCGTCGCAACCAACATCTCAGTTTTCAAGAAATACACAAAAAGATTACAACATAATACGCGACTTAAAAGCATTAAATTTTTGTAATCTCTCCCGAGTCGACGGGAAAAACAAACAGAACCTGACGAACTATGACACGCGACGAGGCAAAGACATTGCACATGTCTAAGGTCACATTTCTAGGGTTTTATTTCGTGACGGTTTAGCGTCAAGAGACAAAAACATTCCGCGGTTGTTGTTGCACATGACTGAAGCGGAATAAAAACGTATCGATTCGCCAAGAGTAAGAAACCTTAGGATTTATAATCACATTGAAAAAACCACCAATGTCTCAGCAAGAGCACCGAATGCACTCCATGTGAATTGAAACAAAGAGACGCGCTAGAGCAAACAAAAGCAACAACATGGCCGCCATTTGTTTCTAGTGTTAGCAAATACCTATGTACCAGTACGAAATATGCATGTCACTACCACTTGTAAATAATATACTCTCGTAAAAGCAGTAATCCGTAAACAAAACGCTCTCTTAAATTATCTTTCAAGCTTTGATTCTTGGTTGTTACAATTCTTGGTTTTGAACATATATTAATGTAACTCTGCAATTTTCGTTTGGGCGATTTTTCTCTTATGTTTATATCTAAATTTATGGGTTATGTTGAGTAGAAGGTTATGTTGCATGCGTGTCCGCAGGTGTCGCGCGCCGATAGCGAGCTTGGACTGCATGGAGGAGTTCAGCGCCGGCAGCGGATTGAGCGCGCTGGCGGACCGCGACGGCTTGGGCGGCATGGGGGGCGGCAACATCACCAAGGAGCAACTGCTGCTTAGCGGGCTAACGCACAGTGCACCGGCGGCACCGTTGGCCCTCTCGCGGCAGACCTCGGTTACCCCTGGGCTGCGTTATAAGAATTTAGGAAAGAGCGGGTTGCGTGTTTCCAATATTGGTTTAGGTACGCTCGTTGAATATTATCAACATATGAAGATCTTCAAAGTTGAAAATTCGTTATTTTAGGAACATGGCCGACATTCGGGCCCAGCGTGAGTGAAGATCAGGCGGAACAGATAATTGTCTTGGCCGTAGAGAGCGGTATCAATGTTTTTGACTTGTCGGAAGCTCACTCAGGCAAGTATCAAGTTCAAAATTACCGAAAGATGTAACGGTGCTAGTGTGTTATTGATATTCTCAGGGACAAGAGCAGAAGTTGAATTGGGTCGCATCCTGCAGCGGAGAGGATGGAAACGAACAAGTTTTATTGTTACAACCAAAATTTACTGGAGTACCCGGTAGGTCACCTATCAACCAATTCTTTGGGGAAGAAAAAAAATACAACTTTTTAAATATTTTACAGCTCGGAAGAACGAGGCCTTTCACGCAAACATATCATCGAAAGCGTGAAGGCCTCCCTGGCTCGCCTGCAACTTTCCTACATTGATGTTGTTATCGTCCACAAGTCAGACCCCATGTGTCCCATGGAAGGTATACCAATTCCAAACTATAAATATCAACAAATATCACCTCTGTTACCCTTTTAATTTTCAGAAATTGTGCGAGCAATGCACTACATCATCTCCCAAGGTTGGGCGATGTACTGGGGCACAGCCCGATGGTCCCCCGTAGAAGTAATGGAAGCATACACCAACTGCAGGCAGTTCAACTGTGTGACCCCCATCGTAGAGCAAACCGAATACCACATGTTCTGCCGCGAGAAGACCGAACTCTACATGCCGGAGATGTACAATAAGATAGGCGTTGGTTTGATGGCATGGTCTCCGATTTCAATGGGAATGACTCAAGGCAAGGAAGACGCCACCATACAGCTGTTCTCACGCTCGAGTTTCCGCAACCGCTATAGCACATTTTCGTGGTCGGAGGACGAGACGAATGTCATCAACAAGGAGACGGCTGGTAGCGGATATGGAGGTAGTGGTGGAGGCTGGACGAAATCGGATCGCAATCAGTCGGAAGACGGACGAAGGCAGACGGAACGCGTGCGGGAATTGAACGCACTGGCTGAGAAAATGGGTTGTACCCTGCCACAGTTGGCGATTGCGTGGTGTTTGAAGAACGAGTCGGTGCAGTGCCTCCTCCTTGGTGCCATTAGTGTGGAACAGTTGTATGACAGTATTCAATCGTTGCAGGTAGGTTACAATAGTATATTATCAAGAAAGCTAAACAGCACTTTAGTCACGGGCGTTTAACAACATTTACCGACGTGATGTTATTTTTTCTACTTCCACAAATGTGCAAGCGTAAAATCTACCCGTGACTAAAACCTGTGACTAAAGTATTTTAGTCACGACCTTAGCTGTACGTGACTAAAATGCAACTTTTCGAGAAAAAAATTACAGAAAATGGTAAATAAAAGGTTTGGTATGATCAAAGATGTTTTTTTTTTGTTTGCAGTTGGTACCAAAATTAAACTCAAACATGATGGCCGACATTGAGCGAATCCTCGAAAACAAGCCGACGAGGCCGCCCATGATATCAACCCTGGCGCTTAGATGACAATCAATGTGCCCCCCTGGGGGCTCCGTGAGCGGCAACCAGGGAGGCACGAGCAACGCAGAAAGTCCCAAGGACGACGAATTCAGCTCCACCGGCGGCGGCGGCGCCGGCGACATGGATAAAGATCAAAAGGCGCAGTTCTGCGAGATTCAGTGACAAAAGGCCGGCGAGTTTGTAAAAACTCGTAAAGCGAAGACGCCCGATTCGACGGGCGGCGGTGTGGTAGGCATGAGCGGCGGCGAGCGACCGCTGTACCGCGAAAAGGTGCGCTGGTCGTACAGCCCCGACGAAGGCCCCAAGTGCACCATCGAGACGCTGCTCGCCAAGACGTCGGCGAGCGCACGCCGCGAAGGCGGCCGCAAGGGCTCGGACAAGATAGCCACCACGCCGGTGCAGGTCTAAGCGAACGCCAATGTTCACTTGTTTTCCAAATAGCTAGGTAGCAGGCTAAACAATTGACTAAATCAACAAAAAAAAACCTAACAAAAAAAATCACACGAAAACAAAAACGCAAACGTAAGAAGAAAAAAAAAACGCTTTCCTAGAGTTCAAGTTGAGAAATTTAGAACGCAACACACAGCGAGAAATTAAACTTTTAGCGACAAGACGTTTTTTGCGCATTAAGAAAATAAGAACAAATGAAACAAACACAACAAAAAAAAAGCAGCGAGTACAGTAGTCGGCTTTGTAGTTGCGTTCGACTTTTTCTATAGCAGCGCCGCAGCTTGATTCGACAGACAGCATGTGAACGTACTACACGTATAATGAATAAAACATAACCTCTAATAAGTGCAATTTATATTCGCCGGTTTCATTTTGGGTTCGAGTTGTCCAATTTGAAATTAATCAAGATGCGCACAGATTGAGACTTGTGATGTGGCAACATCGGAGTACTAAAAAATTGGGGGCCCGCCAGAGAAAAAAAATTTTAAACGTGCACGTGACACAAGATGGCGGTTGCATTCTGCAATGACAATAAGTCGGCTGATGGCGCGCACCCCGCACCCAAATAAAAACAAACGCGTATCGCAGTAGAATATATAACACAAACCGCGCATGCGCGGCACAAAAAAAATTGGAAGTAAACTACTAAAATCGCAACCCAACTTTTGTACATAACTATTTATTATCATCATTGAAACTACTAACGAATATATTTAACAAGAATTTTCGCTATTGTAATACAACTAACTAAAACAAAACCAGAAAAAAATGATGATGATGATGATGACAAATTAATTACACGTAAATTTTGCTAATGAGAAAACAAATGAGTAACAATAATGAACACGCCGTTATTATATGAATATTTACTGATTAAGCGATTTTAACCAAAAAACCGACGCAAATTGTCAAACTTGATTTGTTCTTTCTAAGTGGCTTTTCGAGGATTGCAGGGAGGAAATGAAGTCAAGTGTAATTTGCATACATTGCCATAGATTACGAATTGTCGCCTTGTTGAGAAATGTGAGCGAGTTGCGGATTGACGATTCGTAATTAAGATTATATTAATTAGGATAGTTAAACTGAGATGATAATGATGTGTTAAGATGTGGCGGACGGGTGGAATCTTCACGAAACGGTGCTTCTTTCAACGACTTTTCCACTTATTCCAACCAACAAAAAACAACACTACCAGCAACTGCTAATCGTGGTCACACACTCCCCACGTAAATTATAAGCAATTTTCGAGCAATTTATGATTGTTTCGTCAAAACTCCTGGACATATATAAATTATCTGCGTTAAATTTGTCAATTTGAAAACACGCAATAATTTCACGCAATAATTTCGAGATTGTATCCGATGAAAATGCTCACGCGCAGTGCTATCAAGTGCAAAACCAAAACAAAAACAAAAAACATGGCTGCCTCGTAGTGCGCGATGCATCCGCTTGATAGCGCTGCCGCTCTTTGTTATCATTATATTCTAACACTAGCGGTAGAGAAAGTTAATCTTAACTCACGCAAATATCACAAGAAACTCACAAAAGTACACACACACACGTTAAAACAAAACCTGTAAACAAAATGAAACTTATTGATTGCCGATGCAAGCAAATCGCAAACGATAAGCAAACAAAAAATTTGTTGACTCTTTGAAAATTCTATTAACTTGTTCTCGTTCTTATATACATTATACTATTATTATACTATTTAATATTTAAATAAATTAAATAAAATGAAATAAATTGAACAAGAAATATATTATATTCTATTATAACGAATGATAATATATATAAAAAAAAATGCAAATCGAAGGTTGTTCGACGAAAGTGAGACGTACACGCAAGTACGACAATGACGACGACATGAACACACACAGACAACATTTATCAAAAAAAAATACTCTCGAGCGCATGACGGACGAATGCAGAGTCACAAAATGGCCGCCTGAAGCGCTTAACGTATTGAAAACTTAATAGAAAACACAAAAAACTCAAATGTGGTCGTACTCTAAAATACGTTTCGTATGAAATCAACAAAATGTCCTTGCAAATTGTGATTAATTACTTATTACTTACTTAAAAACAAAAAGAAGATGAAGATGAAGATGAAGAAGAAAAACAATGACAGAGATGTAAACAAAAACAAAAGAATAAGAGTATCGCATTATTACATTTAATACATAATTATAATTATAATTATGATTACAATAATAATAAATAGAATAAACTATGCATCGCATAAATTACGATACGCATTCCTTCTGACTTTGATCTCTTCTTACTTTGGTCGTTTTGCGCGATACAGTAAACAAATCTAAACGAAAACACGATTTAAACTTAAATAAACCAAGAAGAAAAGAAAAAACTATAAAACTTAAGCGAATAAAATAAATACTAATACACAATGTTTAAACAATTGAAAGAAGAAAGAAGCAGAAAATGCGTCATCTCATCTTGTTTGTACATACATACACGCCGCCGTATGAGCATTTATTATAATTATTATCGATTGAAAAAAAAACAATAAATGATTATAAAACAAATATTAAATTTGTTTTTTTTCTTATTCTACTAATAAATAATAAAAATTTTATATATTTGCTCCGCCCACTTTAGAAACACGCATGCGCAGAGTATATTTGGTTGCCTACCTTAGAAATTCTTATTTATTGCTATCGCTAAACATTAAGATAAGACGTTTAATAATTCGCGCGTATGATAATTAAACGCACATCACGCTAGACTGGCCCATTCGTCCTGCCCGGCCGATTTTACTGAATGGTGCGTCACTAACGTGCTTAACGACGCGTTAATCATTGCTTTAATCGCCTACTAAGTGCCACCATGACCCACTTAACATTTTCGCTCATTTTTGAATGCTCGACTATTTTAAATAACAGTTTTTATGTGCTGCACTCTAATTATTTGCGCTTGCAATGGCGGCCGGATGTGATTCGGCGTCACTTTGCACGGCGGCCATCTTGTTTTTGTTGGCACGTAAGCGATGCGTGCCGCGCTTCCACCAAACCACCTCAACCGGGTTCAAATCGTAAACAATATAGTTGTATTCAATATGCGGCTGTTGTTCAACCTGGTAATGAGCTAATCTAGGCGCGTTGACATCTAGAATTCAATTTAACAATAAACAGGTGAGAAATAAGCAAGTATTGTTTGTGTTTCGCGCACTTACCGTCCACACTGATGGCGCTGATGATGTCAAACGTCATCACCAGCACCGCCATCACGCCAAGACGGAATCTCGCCGATTTGCAACGCATGCTGCACGCGTGTTTTATATTAAAACGGTACTCAATCCTTCTTGTTCTTCGTGCGCACCAACAATAACTAACTGTAGATTAATAATCGCAACTCAAGAAGTGACGCCCGCGCAATGAATGTCGACTTTTTAACGACTCTTGTATTGTTCGGCGTGCGCCACCCGACAATAATGAGCGATAATGATGCGGAAAATACGTTGATTTTCTTCGTATTTCACGCTCGTAAAGAATTGACACGTTGAGCGCACGCCAGCAACGCGGATTAGTCGTGTGACTTCAGTTCAAGTTTGAACCTCTCACCAAACACAAACGATCTTATTGTCATTATCGACAAATATGTGTTTGCGCGCGTGTGTGCATTATCGGAGTGGAAAAGTCATGTGACATTGTTCGTTACGCCCGGCACCAACAAACAATCGGCTAGCAATAGTTATGTGTAGAAATGCATGGTTGCAATGCACACGGGGCAAAATTACAACATCATAAAAATTTATGTAACCCGGGCAGGATGCACGTAATTGTTTTATAATTGTTTAACCAGGCATCGATTAATGCTCGCGTGACGCTTGTTACACCTCGAAACAACATAATACACCTTGGATCTTGATTAATCACAACATAAACTTATCTTGTTCATCGTAACTTAATAACATTTGATTGTGCGCAGCTGCTACAGTTTATTCTGCAACGGACTAAAGTGAAATTACTTTACTACTTTTATCTGTTTACAATTGCTATAATTAGTATTCGCATAAACAGATAGTACGCGATAATTTTCTTTGTGGCTACGGAATCGTTCGAATACCAACGCCGATAGTTGTTTGCTTTTACATTAAATTAACTCAATATTGTTGATGTAAGTAAACTTAGCTTTGATAAGTTGATTTGAAAGTGTTTGGTTTGGCAGAGGGCGCCACCTTCCGCTCATATGCTTTCTGCCACAAAGCATTCGCGTGTGTTGTTGTGTTGCGTTGCGTTGCATGTTATTCGTTCCGTGTTCGTGCGCGCCGTCGTGTTTTCGTTTTTTCGCATCGCGGATACTGTTATCTCGCGCCCGATGATTCATGGGCCAGCCGCACACCAAGCTAGAGACATCTCAGTGCGACCGCTAGACGGGCGCGCCATCCCGAAAACAAACAAAACTCGACGTGTCTCGCGCTCTGTGCCCTGTTGTGTGTGCAAAACGCATCATCTGCAATCAGCAAACGAATAATAGCCGCGATGATGCACCCGCTGGAGCGTGCCGCGTGCGTTCCAGTTGCATCGTAATTAATTCTACCTTTTCCACCTAGCTGTAATTGCAATTACGTAGGCGCCGCGCGCCGACGGCCACATACACGCCGACGAGAGATGAAGTTGTGAGGCGCGAGCACAAACCGAAGAAGAGACGAGAGAGCGAGGTATGGCCGAGCGCAACCACTTTGAGGGCGGCAGCAACGGCGGCAAGTCCGCCGGGCCCCAGCTCGATGAGCCGCCCAACTCGCGGTTGTTCATCGTCGGCAGCAAGAAACTCACCGAGAATGAGTTTCGGGACGCGTTTGCGAAATTCGGAGAGATTGAAGACATTTGGATGGTCAGAGATCGAAGAACTGGAGAATCAAAAGGTAAAAATACCTTTTAAACATCAACAACATAAAATTACTTTATAATTTATATTCTAGGTGTAACTTATATCAAATATGCAAAAACCAGTGAAGCTGCCACTGCCTATGAAGCCATGAATGGTAAAACTATGCATGGATCAGACCGACAAATAAAAGTGATGATTGCCTCCAGGTAAATCTATTCCCATCAAAATCTAAACCAAAACTAAACTAAAAATCATATTTTTAGTCGAAATAAAGGCTCACAACGCGAAGAAAACGAAGACGAGAAAATCCAGCGTCTGTTCATCGTCGCGCCGAAAACGATGACCGAAGCAGACCTCGAGAACCACTTCAAAGTCTACGGCGACATCGACTATGTGAATATAGTCCGCGACAAGGAGACGCGCGAGAGCAAAGGCTTCGCGTACATAAAATACTACAAGTTTTCGCACGCGGCGAAAGCCTTCGAGGAGTGCGATCGCAAGTACAAGGCGGTGTTCTCCGAGCCGCGCAAACCCAGCATGAAGCGGTACTCCAACAACGCGGAGTTCTCCGAGCGCACGGTGAACAGTTGCCCCGGCGATGGCTTCAACAGTGACAAGTGCTACAGACTGATGGTGATAGGCAGTCCTTATTTGACTGAAGATCAACTTTGGAAGTTGTGCAATATTGTACCAGGTAATTTAAATTTTCTCATACAAATAAATTTCTAAGAAAAAAAAAACTGAAAATTTATTAAATTTAGGTTTGGAATATGCGCATTTGCGAATAGAAGCTGCCAAGAGAAGAGCAATCGGAACCGTGGTGTACTCATCGAAACAATGGGCAACATACGCAGCGGAAAAACTGCATGGTTTCGAATATCCTACAGGATCTAGGCTAATTGTGAAGCCGGATGGAACTGTGCCAAGAATAGACTCGCCGCGTTCAGTGGGCAATGCTCGACTTGGCGGTGCGGACACTCCAACAAACCTTTTACAATTAGCAGAGACTATTGCGCATGCAACTAGTATTATACAAAATGCTGGGCTTGCAGGTATGTTAAACCCTACAAAATTAAACTAATTATAAAGTAAAATATTTTAAAATTTTAGTTGGAGCGTCAAAAAGTAATTCCTTCGACATTCCACCATCAGACAATACAGATATCTGTAGTGTCCGATTACCATCCCGCAGCCTTTGGCATCAATCGATGCCGAGACGCAGGCACGATGTTTCATCGTCTGCACGCCCCCGCCGCCCTCCTCAGCCATCCTGCGCGACGTTTTCTGTCGCTTTGGTAATCTAATCGAAGTCTACCTGCTGGCGAATAAAAACTGCGGGTATGCAAAGTACGCGAGTAAAGATTCAGCCGCCGAGGCTATAAAAGTAAGCATTTTATGCTTTATTTACAACCAAAATAATCTAAAGTAAATTATTTTAGATACTACATGGTGCTGACGTGTGTGGTGGTCGGATAAAAGTGATAAAAGCCGAGGAGCGCAACGAGCAGTCCCGTAAACGCCAGCGCACCGACGAATAGGAAGGACACTTGTAAGTGACTCTCTCGCAAAACAAAATTTAAACTATATATATCAAAACCGGCAGTGCCCGTCGGTTGTGGACCAAGTTGTTGTCTTTTTTTTTTGTTTTTAATTTTAATGTAGCAAACATGCGAGACGCCCGCAACAAACCACGTCTGCATCTTGTGATTTATCTGTGATATTTGTTTCCATTAGGTTGTAACGCGTGTCAAAAACAAAACAAACAAACGTTAAACACACGACCCGGACTGAAAACACACACAAACTGGACGCGGACTTACAACTTTTCTTTACCAACTACTACTGACTGCTCCAACTCTCCAAAACCCATTCATAATATATATCATAATATGACCGAAACCAAGAGTGAATTGTGAATGAAACCATTTTAAATGTTTAAAATATAACTACCTAGGCAAGCACCTAGGCATCTTGTTGCTAGTTGATATGAAAGTGACTGAAGTTTTTAGCCAACTGTACTAAACTATGAGACTTCATGATGACCAATTTATGCACAATTTTTATGAGAATGAAATTGATTCTCGGACGGATACCGGCGTTCTCGAACGTTTGTGATCTTCTTTAGTGGCAATGTTTTTCAATGTATAGTGATACTGTTCCATATATTTGTACCTTTTTGTACCTTATCAGTGCTTTTATGCGTAATTTATAATTTCTAATGTTATTCGAAGAAATGTACAAGATATATATGTTTATGAAGATAATAAATTTGTAATTTTATCTTACCATCAACGTTTTGTGACTTCTTCAAGACAATTGGCGGAACTTTTTAGTTAGGTTAAATTGCAATTTTTATTTTTGCACATTTTTTGATAGTTTTGTAGTTTTTAATGAAAATTTCACATTTTGCAAGTAAACCACGCGAGTTTATCACATAACGCATTGTTTTTGTTCGAAATGTTAACTTTTAGGCAATTTTCACAGTTTTTATCACCTTTTGTCAGTTTTTTACTGATATCGCGAGTCAGATGTTTAAACTAAAACTACTTCGCGCATATTCCGTGCAGAGGCGCTCTGCCTCGTGTTATTAAACAAAGCCAGCAAAAGTTTTAAAGAAATTGTAGATTAATTTGTTGTGCAATGTTATATAGTGGTCTATAATTCAATTCTGTGTCAATATAGGTATCTATTTTCAATGATTTTTGCAAATGGCGGCTGAGTCGCTTTTCCGAAATGAAACAAATTGACTGGTTTTTGTCTTTTCCTAACAAAAATACACCAAATCCACCTTAATTTCGTATAAATTCTAATTTTACACGTTAAAATCAATAAAATATGTTAATTATCATGGTATTCTTACTCATATTTGCGCCTTTTCACCTCTAGTTCGTTACAAAAGTGGTTTAAACAAATGCAAACTGCTTGTCGCACAACCTGTCATATAACTACCACGTGCCACCGTCAGGTGTCGCCCATGGCGCACGCCTGACCAATCATCAGCCACCGCTGGCTGCGTAAAGCAGTTTATGGTTTACAGAGTGTGCTAGAGGTGTATGCGAGGACCCACCCAAGAAAATGTACGTATTTTCCCAATTCTCGCCGCAAAAATCGCGCCCGGCTCAATGGAACCCACAACCGCGATCACCCGCGTCTGCCTCCACGGACCCTACAACATCGGCGGGCGAGTTCTGTCAGCACCGGCACTTTTCCGGTCCGTGCGCCACCGATGACGGGATGACGTCCGCTGACGCTGCTGCGTCGCTGGAATGCTAAAAATGGCAGCTTTTCGATAAAAATTCGTGCATAATTTAACTGTACATCGCGTACACGCGCGGAATGTAAACACCCAACGTGACTGTCCGCCTGCTCAACTACGCGCACGGAAAACCGAACCCAAACGGACGAAAAACTGCCGTAGCCCTCCGAAGTCAACAACACGCAACACAACCTCGATTCGCGATTGTTTCGTCGGAAACGAATTGTTTTGTTGTTTGTTTTATTGCTCGCATTGTGTCGTCCGTAAATACGACTGATTGCAACACAATGCGGTCAATTTTTCAACATTCCGAGCAATCCATTCGCATTCTTCGAATAGTTTCAAGATTATGTGACTGATTATTTTTCTCCGCAGATCTCGCTTCAGACGAAGTACACGCTAAAAAATGCAGACCATCAAATGTGTCGTGGTTGGCGACGGTGCCGTCGGTAAAACTTGTCTGCTGATTAGGTGAGTAATGAGTTTATGTTAATGCAAACAAACACTACGCATTGCATTATCAATGTTTATGTTCAATTGTATGTTTGCAGTAATTATGATACTATGCTCGAAATATTTCCGACTTGTAATTCGATGCTTTTGTTTTAGTTATACAACAAATAAATTTCCTTCGGAGTATGTACCAACCGTTTTTGACAATTATGCTGTCACTGTTATGATTGGTGGTGAGCCATACACATTAGGACTTTTTGATACTGCAGGTATGCTAATTTTATTCATCTACATCAAAACTAAACCAATAATATTTAGAAAACATTAAATATTTTATGTGTGAATCACCAATAGACTTTTAAAACAAATTCTGCGTATTTGACATTTGTCGTTTTGAATTGGTTGCATTCTGCAAAATGGCGCTGAAGTCGTTTTTCTTGTGATAAAATTTACTCAAGTTTTTTGTCGATATTTTATAAATTAAACGCCATCGAACCAAATATCAATGTGAAATCGGTGAACAACAATGTTAAACATTGTTATCAACTAGGATAAATGAATATGTTTAAGTTTTACCTTGAATTTTGATGAAATTTGTCAGGACCGGCACGTATCACGAAAGCACAATTTTAACAAATGCAAAACACCTTCAAACACCCTCCAATGTCATTTTGGTTTCTATAAATTCCGTAAAATGGCGCTGGCGTCGTAAAGTTAGACAAATCAAAGTCAAGTTTCTGCAAAGATTAAGAATAATTTAAATTGTATTTTTTTAAATTTTTAGGTCAAGAAGATTACGATCGTCTTCGACCGTTGAGTTATCCACAAACCGACGTTTTCCTAGTGTGTTTTTCCGTTGTCAGTCCGTCCTCATTTGAAAACGTCAAAGAAAAAGTAAGTTTTTTTTTTACAACAAAATTTTGCACACAAAACACTTACTAATTTATATATTTCATGTTATTATCTTAGTGGGTACCAGAAATAACTCACCATTGTCAGAAAACGCCCTTCCTACTAGTGGGCACCCAGGTGGATCTGCGAGACGACAACTCCACCATCGAAAAGCTCGCCAAGAACAAACAGAAGCCCATCTCGATCGAACAGGGTGAGAAACTCGCCAAGGAATTGAAAGCGGTCAAATACGTGGAATGCTCAGCGCTGACGCAGAAGGGCCTCAAGAACGTCTTCGACGAGGCGATCCTCGCCGCTCTCGAGCCGCCAGAGCCGGTCAAACGCAGGAAGTGCGTGATATTGTAAGCCGCACACGCCACACTACAACCGGAGCGATTTTTTTTTTTACCTAAAAACAACAAAATAACTATTAACACATAACATATTAACGCACGGCGAGCGAGCGATGCGGACAGCAAAGGCTTGCGCATAAAAGTAAAAGAAACGAAAACAGAAAAGTATTGAGCATATACTATAATAATACTACATTTAATAATTAACAGTTAGCATTTCAACATACGATTTATACTAAAGAGAAACAAAACAATGGGGTATACCGAGTGTTAACGAAATAACAAAAGACTTCCCTACGAAAGCGAAACAAATAGCACACACACAGAGAATAAGTCCAAACACCAATATGTTAAGCTGCTTTTATTTTTCAAATCGTAATCGAAGCCGCAAGAAGTCCAATTTTGTGTTTCGAAACGAATTACTATAAATTCTTCTATTTGTAGTTTAGAAAAAACGTGGTTTATTAATCTCCTCACTCATCTTATACCATGTGTCCGGGGTATTTCTGGTTGTGGGATAAACAGGACAGACATTTGTATAAACATATTTATAATTTAATACTATCTAGAGTTTTAGTGTGTAATGTGTTGGCGTGTCTTCCGACGACGTGGACTTCTTGCGAAAGAAAACGCTCAAAATATTTACAATGCTTAGAACAACACGAAGGTCTAATTTCTAATGATGGTCAACCAACACCCTCTGTGTATTTAATATTTTTTAGTAACGAGCTTAAAAAACTATGCATTTAATTCGTGTGTGTATTCGTGCGTGGAAAATACCTCATGTAAAACACTCGCGTCCCGGTGTGTTGTTGATTGTAAGACAGGTGCTGAGCTAGATACATTTACGGAATTTAGTACCACATCATCTCCTCGTGTTTTTGTTCCGGACGATTACGATGATCAAACACACTGAGAACATAAACATAAACAAATGGTTGCCTTCGTATTGACAAACAATGTAATACAATATATTAAATTACTATTATTATTATTATTAATTGATTAATCGCGAGGAGGATTCGGCTGGCAGGCAGATAAGAGAGTGGAGTGGAGTTAGATATTTCCATATGAATATGAATATATAGGAGTACATATTTTTAGTTGAGTCGAAAAGTTTTAAGATGCAATGCGAGGGTGCCTCGCTGTCATAATGTGTAATTATTTATATTTTACTTTAACGTTGTAGCCTTCATTTATACTGTTTCTTTTATTATGAATTATTATGATTAACTATACTATGATATGATATATCAAATTTCTAATAACTTTTATACCTTTAGGCGTATGTAAATAATAAACATTGAGTGGATGCTATTTGTACTCTGTTTTATTTTCTTTTCTAAAAGGTCATTGCAAAAACTTGTCAAAAACTGAAATAATTGAAACAATATCAATTCTATATTATTATCTAGCAAAATCGTAAATTTAAACAAATAATACGATGATTAACGTCTAGTTAACTACGAAGAAGGCCCTTGTACATAATATATTTGAATACCAAAAATTAAAACGAAAAAAATAAAAAATTCTACCTTGAATCGTGCCGCCATCTTAAATATAAAAAGGTATGCAACCAACGTTACGCCACAAAACATGACAACTAATATAACCTGAACGTGTAAATAAAATCGAAACTGATCGAAACAAACCGCCCCGAATATCCCGTTAATTATCATTGAGCAAAATAAAATAAGTTCTTATAATTTAAATAGAAATGTCTCGCTCCGCTTCAAGAGTTGACACGAAAAAAGTGGTATGTTACCCCTCAAACTCAACAAAAAATTATCCTGATATTCATTTGTTTTGATGCTTTTTTGTATAACAAAAACACAGAATTCAGAGTTAATAACACTTACCTATGGCGCACTGGTAGCCCAAATGGTCAAAGACATCGATAATGTCGACGACGTCAATAAACAACTCGAACGTCTGGGTTACAACATGGGAATTCGCCTCATTGAAGATTTCCTCTCGAAAACACATGCCAGCAGGTGTCTTGATCTGAAAGACACAGCAGACAAGGTACAAACAGCATTCCGTATGTATCTGGGCGTCCAGCCCAACGTGGCCAACTGGAGTCCAGCAGGAGATGAATTTTCCTTCATAATTGACTCAAATCCACTTACTGAACTTGTTGAGCTGCCAGAAGAGATGAAAAACTTGAAATACTGCAATCTCATCTGTGGTGCACTAAGAGGCGCTCTAGAAATGGTGCATTTGGACATTCAGAGTTGGATTGTACAGGTAACAACTAAAAAAATACAAAAATATTGAAAAATTTGGATTTAAAACAAAAAAAAACTAAATTAATATTGATTTCAGGATCAGTTAAAAGGTGATACTAACACAGAAATCCGAGTTAAGTTCATAAGGCGTCTAGAGGATGCAATTCCAGCCGGCGAGGACTAAATATCACAAGTTGAGTTTAAGAAAACACATTTACTGCAATATTTCTAAGAATTAAATTAAATAATTCACATTGTATGCAAGTTTGAACCTTTTTGGTTATTATGGCTATTGTTTGCGGAATTGTACTGCATTTTCAATGAATTTAGCCAGTGCTAAAATCATAGGTTCACTTAATTTACGTCCCATGATTTGTAAACTTATCGGAAGACCTGTTTTCGACAGTTTTATCGGTATAGAAACCGCTGGGATCCCTAAAAATAAAACAAATTAAAAATTACTTCTTAATTTTGTTAGTTATAAACTCACCCGCCATATTGGCTGGTTGCGTACAAAAATCCTGCATGGCACACTGATCTCGATTAGTTTTCTGTACAAAATCTTTATATTTCGGTGCTGTAGATAAAGTTGTCGGTGTAAGTAACACTTGAACATCCTCCCAGACATTATAAAAATCATCCGCAATTAATCTGCGCACTTTCAACGCTTGATTAAAATACTTTTCATAGTTTCTCGTCAAGAGAAAATAATTGCCTGTCAAAATGCGATTTCTGACAACTTCGTTAAAACCAACACTACGCGTTTTACTATACAATTTCTCTGTTGATTCGTTTTCATCAGCTCTGTAACCAAATTCTATTCCATCATACCGCGCCATGTTACTCGCCACTTCACATTGATTCAAAATCGAGTAACAAACAATACTGAATTCAGTATGAGGTAAAGAAACTTGTTTGACAGCAGCGCCACTGTTTTCCAACATGGCGGCGATGTCATTCCATGTCTCCAACACTTCAGGATCAAGATTTTCGCATGCGTACTCAACAGGAATACCGATTTTTAAACCTTTCACGGATAATTGTTTCGCGGAAGGTAAACGAATTGATTTGTAAGGTTTTGTTAAAGTTGTGCTGTCGTCCGGATCATGTCCAGCGATGGCATTCAGTAAAATGGCCGCATCGTCAACATAACGAGTTAAAATACCAGGTACATCCATTGAATTGACTAACGGGATTAATCCCAAACGTGAAACTAGACCGTAAGTTGGTTTTAATCCAACTACACCACAATATGAAGCTGGATTGCGTGTAGAACCGCCGGTATCTGATCCAATGGCTCTGTAAAATTAGTTTTTAGGTTATAAATATGCAACCAACATGGCAGTTATAAAATATTACCCATAACAAGTTCCTGTTGCTACTGCAACAGCACTACCTCCACTGCTTCCCCCAGCAATACAAAAATCTTCTGTGTTTTTAAATCCCCAGCTGTTTTTTGTACTTCCATAAATTGAATCAACTGTTCCTGAACCCATAGCAAATTGATCCAAGTTGGTTTTGCCTATGAGTACAGCTCCAGCTTCACATAATCTTTTATAAACTGTTGCATTGTATGTAGGGGTAAAGTTTTCTAAGATTTTTGAAGCACAAGTTGTTTTGATGCCAGCTGTACAAAAGTTATCTTTTATTGCAATTGGAATTCCATCAAGTTCATTTCTGTCATTTGATTTTTGATAAATTTCATTGGATTGTGTTGATGCCAGCAGGGCTTCTTTGGTTGTAAGAGTAATGAATGCATTTAGGTGTTGAGTTTCTTTGACTCTATCTAAACAAGCATTGAGAAGGTCTGTTGGGGTGAAAACTTTATTATGAAGTAGTTTTCTTGCCTGGAATTATATTAATTATAGTTTATTTATTTATAATTCGGTTGTTTTATTACGTTTCTTATGTTTGTTTGAAGCACTTTTTCCATTTTTAGGTTATTACTTGTAGTAAATTTGAAATAAACATCTCAACTATAGGCAACCAAAATTTCACAAAGAAACAAAATTTGTTTTTTAAAAACTTGTAGAAAAATATTTTTTTGTTATAATTAACATGTGAAACAGATCGGTACACAACTCAAATCTTTTAAATTCAACAAACAAACAGTATTAGTACTCGCAAATTCCGGAACAGCAACTAATCTCACAACTTGTCCATCTTCCCCTTTAATAATTTTCGTTTCAAACTTTCCGTGATTAGCAGTAAAAAATACATTCGGACATGTTTCCATGATAAACGGATCTTTATCGTAATATGGAAAACATCCTAAAGTATCAGGAGCTGTTGGTGCCATATGATTCCATTTCAAACACGCCTCTAACGCTTTTACCGGACTATCAATATCCGAAAATCTCATTATATCAGTAATAGGCTGACCGGAAGTTCCCGCAATTCTACACCCACCAAACTCGCAATCATACGGATTAGTAACAGAATTCATTGATTGATAAATACCAGCTTCAGGAAACATACACATATGAAGATTTTTCTGCGGTAAGACGTGATTAGAAGGATCTGACTCGCCTGGCATAATATCAACTTCAACAACTTGACATAGTTGAGATAAAAAGGTATCTAACGTTTTGACCGCGTCGAGATTTTCATCTGATTGAATAACATTAGTAGTCATTGACACAGTGCGTTTTTCTGTGCTGTTAATCGCTTGAATTGAGTTACCAGCGATTATAACGCGGCTGATTTTTGATGTATCGATGTCGTGCAGGTTGCCTAAACATCCTGCAATCCATTGCGAAAGAAGTTGGAGATTAATCAGACGTTTTTCGTAGTTTTGTAGGTCTAAACCACTCATGAAGACCACATAAACATCATCTGTAGGTAGTGGTAAGTTGATTTGTTGTCTTAGATTGGCAAAAATGATTTCTTCCACTTCAAATTTTCCATCACCAAGATCAGCACCAAGCAGAGCACAAGTTATGCCAGTGACCAACTGGGAAACATCAATATTTCCTGTAATATTTAAAGTATTAATCATTGTTTGTTAGGGGTTGTTTAATAATACCTGTTAGTTTAAATCTTTGGCTTTCATCCTCAATGAAAACAGAATCACTTTCATCAGTGAAATGTTTGTGGACAGGTTGCGGGACAAGTTGATTTTCTGCTTGTAATTGCTTTAATACTGATGGTTTAAGTTTTTGATCCTTGAATAACGTGCCAATCACAATACACTTCTGAGAAACATTATTGGATAATTCAGGTAATTTATAAACAGGATATTTCTTCCCAAATTTCTTCTTAATTTGTTCTTCAAGAACACTTCTCATTTTATCCAAACGGACATTATAAATAGCGCAATATTGTTTAGCGTAATCATTACTGGTGTTATAAAATCTCTTTGAGAAGTTTTTATACTCACACACCACTCGTTCAGGCATTTTACACAAATATTTCACAATGATTTTCAGTTAGACAATTTTTACTTTCAAACAAATTTATGGAGGTTAGAGGTGTTAAAATTCAGCGCCAAGATGTGCGCATGCGCAGTTTATACATTGTTTGATTGATGTAAAACAAGTTGTCTAAAATAATTCAATTTATTTGCAACAAAATATTAACTTCTTTGAGATCAGTTAATTTCCAAAAAACATTACATGTGTGAGATCAAAATAGTTGCCTTTTATCACAGATTTCTAAATATTTCATATTGTGTTTTGATTCCCTTTGTTGTTCAGTCAATTATTGCACGTCTCAACATCGGTTCGTCATATAATAAGTGCAATACTGCCATACTAACTAATTCAAACATTTTAGCGATATCTTCAATTGTCTGGGGACTGTCTTCAATTAACGGGAATGGCGAGCTGGATACTCTTCTCACTTCATACAATTCCGGGTTCTCTGCAAGTGTACCGTTTATGAACGTATACATAAAACAACTCGGCGTTTCGCTAATTGTTTTAACTTTATGGAACACATTCGATTTGAGTGAGATTCGATCGCCTTGATTAAGAACACGAGCACTTGTGGGCTCGTCTTCGATTTCGTAGAGGACTGTGCCTTCAATAATTACAAGCGATATGTTGGTTAAATCTTCGGTTATAAAGTTATCCAAATATAAACCTAAAATGAGTAAGTATTAATTACATAAGCAGCCATTTTGTTTAAATTTTAATTTTTTCTCACCAGGGAAATCAGCAATGAATAAAACCTCACTGTAGTTTGACCATGAGTATACTTCTTCTTGAATCAGTTTCATCTTCTCACGAAAATCACTGTATTCATATAAAATGGGCAGTAACCATTCTACGTTTGAAAATGGCGACCAATTTGCTTTTAACAGGTCGTAGTTTGGATCAAACATTCGCTGTTGAAAGCGTCCATTCAACGAACACCAAACATCAACATAAATCGATATATTGTTCGAAATCTCCGAGTTTGGTATGTTTTTCTGTTGTTTTTCAATTTTAAAGTTTTCTTGCATACATTCAGCGTATTGTAACAACATGTCTGCGTGTTTATTCCAGCGATCATTATGCACCCAAACAGTGGGATCCAAAAACATCTCTTTACCACCATTCTCATTATCAATAACTTTAACAATGACTAAAGTGGTATGCCAGGAATGCACCATCATGTCCCAAGAGTAGCCATAGATTCCATTGGTCCAGTTATTGTTTCCTTTCGTTATAAAATGTGACCATGGTAAAAACATTTGTACTAAACAGTATAACACGATTAAAAATGTGACTTTTGGTGATTTGCTTGTTTCAGGTTTTGGTAAATTCGGTTTGTTTATGGTTTCTTCTTGTTTGACTTCAGTGCGTTGGACGCCATCTTGTTCTTTTGTAAAAACAGCTTTTTCGCTCGTGTAATGAGCACGATAGGCCAATCAGGATCACAAAAATCGGCATTGTCACAATACACACATAGGGAAACATCCCAATACTAAATAACCTTGAATTCATTAAGTGAAACATCCCGCAGAAAACCATCGCCAACGGACGTGTTTTTCCATATAATAAAAAGAAACCAATGGTGAGATCCAATAAAAACCCGGAGATGTGAATTACGAGGTAATCAATTTGTTCAGTTGTAAAAATTAACCTAAAAATGATAAAATCACATATTAGCTTTTAAATGAGGTTATGAGATACAAAACATACCCAAACGGATCAAAAACCCAATGTGTACCCATATTAGCCATGGAATACCCCTCCAACCATTCCATGTCTAATTTCTTCAATCCAGCAAAAAAGTATAAACAAAACAATTGAAATCTTAAAAGGAAATAATTCCAAAACGGAACGCCATCTTGTTTTTCACTTCTAGCTTTTCCACGAGAGTGTAAAAAGGCATCAATTGATAAATGTTCACCAGCATTGGATACCATCATCAATATACCGAGTAATCCATAAAGATAACTGTGATTATTCCAAAATGTTTTGTCCAGGAACAAAATATACCAATAAGGAAGAAGATAAAAGACACACGATGCACGAAACTTGAATCCAAGGCATATTCCTAATGCTCCAAGCCACATTATACCATAAAGAATACACATCCATGGGTAAGATGGCCGCGGCATGAAAGAAAACAGTGGAAAACTGCATGTCATCGGATCGCCCCATCGGATGTCAATTTCTGAACCACCACGTTCAGCAGGGATGTCAAATAACATCAAAAAACCTAAAAATTTTAGTTTAGAATAAAAATAAACTTGTTTTGTTTATTATATTACCGAATAATATTCTGGTGAGTGACAAACTCGCAGGATGCACGTGTTCAAAGAGGAAATCCATGTGCGCCATGTTTAAATTCATCATAATTTGTTTTGTTTATTGTTTTTTGGTAGTTGTGATCAATCGAAAGTGGTTTATGTATAAATTTTCGGCACTTTCGAATTCAAATTGTTGTTATCACAACGCGCGGCCATCCCCGCAAGTGAAACTGCAGCGTCTGCGGCAAACTAAAAATAGCAGAGCATTATTACAACAACCAGCAACTATTTATATCCTTAAATCGCTTAGTTACAAAGTGCAACGGCGAATAAAACTCTCAAAACCCGAAAAAATTGAGTTCAAAACTTTATCAGTAATAAAACAACAAAATTAACAATTTAATTAATTTAAGATTAATGATAGTGTTGAATATATGTTACTTTGTAATTGATGTAGAATGATGTTTTGATTTTTCGGTGTAAAACACTCGGTAGAGGTGAATTTTTTGAGCGGTTTGTAAGATAAGCCGCGTTTTGATGGACTGCGTGCGCGATTAGTCCAACCTTTGCACTCCGAACAGACGAGTTAACAATGCAAATTCGCGAACGATGATCTTGTTGCCATCGGCGGTATTCTGATGTTTCGGAGCGACACCGCCGGCATTTTATATACGCCGGCGGAAAAGTCACGCACGCGTGTCACCATGACGACCCATCCCGCGAACGGGGGATAAAATCGATGCAGATCCACATGCACGTGTCCCTATATACAGTGTGTTTAAAATTCATAAAATCATAATATCATGATTTGTGTTTATTTATTGCAGTGCAATGAACTGTTGTTGAATTTTGCGCAAATTTAATTGAATTGAATTATCTTACGAGTTTAGGTCATTGCACTGTAATTATTATTACTATTGCTTAATAATTTAATATTTGGTTTGTTTGTATACAAATTGTACATATGATGCGTATGTGAGTATGTTGTGTGTGTGTGTGGGAATAAAAAGAAACCACTTGTTGACTGTTGGTGGTGCGGATTATAATGAATGTTTACTATTGCGTCTTGTGCGGGCAACCGGAAGAAAATGACGCCCTCGCATCGTGAGATTACGCTCGTAAAATCGGATTGACTTGTTTACGAGCCAATTTGTCGCCGCAATGTTCCGCACACGTCGGTTTCTCTTCATTAGAGCGTGATAAAATCCAGAATGGCAATGTTATACAAACTGATGGGTAATGAAGTGAAAGTTAAGATTAGATTTGCGAGGATGTTATAAATATTCAGTAGATAACAAATTGTTTGTTGTTTTAAGCAAAAGCATTTTGAAATTATGTTGTCGATATTCGTGAAATGTTTATTTTGGTTGACATTTGAGAATATTTCGCATGTTTTTTGCCGAAACGGGCGAATTGTTTATGGTAATATTTAAGGTGTTATTAAAGATACAAAATGGGGATAAAGCTAAGTTTATTCCAGAAGGGAATATGTTGTAGGTTTTCAGTAAATTTCATATATCTGTGTAATTATAAGTAATTTTTATTTTTCTTGTTAAATTTTCCCACAAATTCAGATCAAAAAGAACAAAAAAATCAAAAATATTAGAACAAACAACACTTTTCAGCTTGCAACGGCATAATACATCGACATAAATTGATAAGATTTGAATTGTTGGAGCTTTTTCTTGATGAAATTTTATTTATTAATTAAAATTTAGTTTTTATGGATTTTACTAGTTTTATTAAACACTGCGACATGTAAAATGTCTGATATTGGCATAGTACCTATACCGAAACATGCTGCAATGTTTAATGAAACTAGTGAAATTTCTAAAAACTCGATTTTTTTGACAAATAAATCGTTAAATTGTACAAAATCTCCGAGTTTAGTATGATTTTATGTAGCTTTTCAATTTTAAAGTTTTCTTCCATACATTCTGCGTATTGTAACTACATGTCTGCGTGTTTATTCGAGCGATCATTGTGCACTCAAACAGTGGGATCCAAAAACAATTCTTTACCATTATTCTCATTATCAATAACTTTAACAATGACTAAGGTAGTATGCCACGAATGCACCATCATGTCCCAAGAGTAGCCATAGACTCCATTGGTCCAGTTATTGTTTCCCTTTGTTATAAAATGTGACCATGGTAAAAACATTTGTACTAAACAGTATAACACGATTAAAAATGTGACTTTCGGAGCTTTGCTTGATTCTGGTTTTGATAAATTCGGTTTGTTTATGGTTTTTTTTGTTTGACTTCGGTGCGCTCGACCGCCATTTGCAACTTTTGAAGAAATAAGTTCTTTTTAGCTCATTCCTGGGGGTTATCATTTCAATAATATTACAACAATAATATTACTTTTCCGGTAGCAACAGTATAAAAAGCAAAGAATATTATACCTTGCAACAAATAAAAAAAAGTGATTAATTTGTCTTGTGTTATAAAACTGCAATATTTTCGAAAATATCAAATGCTCAGCATTTAAAACTATAGTAAATCAAACAGAAATTAATTTCGCATCTAATAATTTTAAAACACTTCTATTTTTTGACAATGCACTGTAAAAAGCTAGTTTTGCCAATACCGTTTCAAAATCCGCTCTTAAACAATCTAACTAAAATAAAAAATAAAATTTAATTAAATATTTACAGGATAAAATTACTTTTAAATATTAGAATTAATTTTTATATATTTAACAGCCAACAAAACGTTTATTATACATCTTTGTACACATAGAAAAAACGTTTCTGAGTCAATTTGAATAAAATTTACATATTACTACCTACCTAGTCTATAAATACATTCATAGTTAAATAAAATATCTGAGAGCCTCATCTTAATATTTCATTTGTGGCATAAAAATATCTAGATTTAAAAGTTTAATAAAGCGTAGTATTTAAATATTAATAATTGGAATAATTGCACAAAGTTTTGATTTCAATTTCGGTTTCGCCTTCGGGCGAAAAAACGTTAACCATCACTTTTTCGACTGTTTGCGCAAAAGTGTGCCCTGCGGATTCGACAGAGAATACGTCTCCGCTTCGAAAACCGGCGGATATTCAAGTCCTGGATAATCCTGTATCACTTGTGACTGCGAATGTGACAAACCCATCCGATCGGAGAATTCAGGTGAATCTGTAGCGAAGGAATCAGCTGATGTCGATGATGATATAAACTGCAAAAATCAAAAAACACAAAATAAAATGGCCGCTGCATAATTAAACAAATAAATAAATATTACCTGATCTGGAGAATTCCACGTGCTTGACGGACTACTCCCACTGTCATAACTCAAACCCATCTTCGAAGAGTGCTTATCTTTCTCCTTTTTATGAAAAAACTTAAACATGCTCTTCTTCTGGGAAGCACCAGTATTATCCAAATGTAATTCAAACCCATGCGAACTATACTTTTTATCATCCCGAGATAAAGGCAAGGATAATGGCGTATTTTTCAAACTCATACTTTTCACCTTCGAAGAAACATGCGGATCATTATACAAACTCCTATTCTGCGCATATTGCACATCCGTAGTCACTTGCGGCCTGTAAATCATCTCATACGAATCCGAAGCCTTCAAACTCTTCGACGATGTCGACTTGGCTTTGTGCGATAGATAATTCTGCTTCTGTGGTGTTCGTGGCAATGAATGATTCGCCAGTCTTACTTCTCTCGGTAATTCTCTATCTTTATTCCTTGATTTGATCGAAGATGACCGCTTACCGAAACAAGAACTTTCCTTTTTGACAGTTTCCTTTGTATCTGTACAATCTGAAGATGTCCGCATGTGGGTTTTATGCGCGCGTGTCCGGGTAGGCACCTCTCCGTACACCACATCAGGTTGGATCAAATTCGGGTTGATCGGAGGTAGATCAGTGACCATACCTTGCGATTCCCTAATCATTAACTCCTCTAATGTCAGCAAACCTTGCATACTTCCATCATTCCGTGATTTATGATGGTGTGGAAAACCATACAAAGGAAACTGATCAATATTACAAAGTGTGGGATTACTGGCATGTCGCGTGGATAGTTTAACTGGATTATTAGGAACTGGAAGTTCTGATTGAACAGAATTTGGTATGGAATCAATGCTAGCGGTGGTGTTAACCATACTTTTCGACCCTTCTGCTTTGGATGATCTAACCTCACTTTCATTACCACATACAGAAGTGGTTTTGTTAACATTCGCAAAGTTAGGAATGTGTGATGTGAAATTTCCAATTGTTGTTGAATTAGTTATTTTTCTATACGATCTAAACTGTGCAGTTGGCACTGGTACGGTGTTCTTTTGTGGATTTGACTTGTTGAAAAACCTTTTCCTGTCTAAACTAGTGCTGCCGCTACTGCTGCTAACACTGACATCTCGTTTTCGTGACGCGAACTTTTTCAGCGAGTTAAATTTAATAATACCATCGGATTTTTCACTCTTCGTTGATGATAGAGTACTGGTATCATTATCACTCTCATTATCCGTCTCGGAGTATTGAATCTCATCTGTTGACTTAGATAAATCCAATACTGGCGCGGTTGCAATCGTGATAGTCTCCAGCCAAACGCTGAGCGTTTCTTTGCTTTCCGCAGAAAAGTAAAACACCGTGCCGGTGTGATATACTTTGAATGCGTTCATTCGTGATTTCACTTCGGTGGCTTCAGTCACGGTGAAACCAGAGAGAACAATGTAACACTCCGCTTTGGTTGATTCCTTTGATGCAAAACCATATAAACAGTGCTGATTTAAGACAAACCAGCGTTTTTCCCAGTGAATGTTCGAATCATGTTTGCTTTTTAGCCTCTGATGTAAAAACCCTTGCATTTCACCCGGACTCACATCATTCACGCTGACTTTTCGACGTTTTAGAAGCAAAGAATTCTTTTTCTTTTTACTCTTGCTTGAATTGCAGATGGCGCGCACGAGGGAAGTACTCGGCGATGTTTTGTGTTCTTTTTCTTTCGTTGGTTGTTTGTGCGTGTCGATTTTAAACACGTCGCGTGAAGAATTACTGCTGATGCATGTCAGATTACTTATGCTACTCTTCAGCGGCGTGTCTTCTTTTTCCTTGAAGTATTTCGTTACAGGCGTTGATGCTTGTTTAGGATCAAAATCTTGATCTGGTATTGTGACAGCGCCGCCATATTGAATTTTTGTCGGCGTGCTTGGGGGCACATCACTCAATATATCAAAATCAGTCTTTTCTTTTTGTGCATCTTGTACTGGTACTTGAACATCTTTTTTGTACTGTTCTGGTATATTCGTCCGCGGAGGTGGTTTCGGTGGCACATCCAATTTGGATTTCCTAACCTCAATCACAGGTGGATATCGTACAAGTGGTATACCCAACTCGTACTTTATTTTACTCTCTGGTATATCACCTTTTCAACTTCAAGTTTAACTGGTTGCCTAGCAGGTATTTCGGGTTGTTTTTCAGTGATTTTGACAGGTTTAACCTCTGTTTTTAACTCTTCGAGCTCTTCTTGCATGTCATATGCTGGTGTACTGTGACTTTTGTCTAATTTACCTCTCAGTTTTGTAGTTCTTGGAAGAACAACAGGTTTTGCTGGTGGAGGCGGTGGTGGTTGTGAGTTTTTACTCAATCTGGGCGCAACTGTAGGTTTTTCGAACTTTTTGATAATGTTATCAATGCGAAAATCTTCTAAAACAGTATCTCGGACTGTAACAGGCGGTGATCTCGCTTTGTGCGCTTCATTGATACTTTCCTTAATGGATTTCACAGATGGCGGACTTGTGCTGACACTTTCTTTTTTCACCAAAGCGGAAGTTTCGTTGTCATTTGCGTCGGTAACCGGACGCGCCATCTTACTCCTATCCTGGAGATCTTCACATTCGTCAATAAACTCAATACTTTCATCACGCAAACTACTTAAGGAAGTAGCGCTAATCGCGTTCTGCTGCACATACAACTTTTTCTCACTTGCCGTATCAATAATCGTCCGTGTGTCATCAAAGTTGACAATCTTTTTGCGCAAACTAGACCCGAAGCCAATCACCGTCGATGGTCGCAAGTCGCGCTCGAGGCCGTGACTGCACGAGGCACTTTTATCGCGAATGTACGGCTCATCATCGTAGTTGTCAGCGCGTAGCGTGTGCTTCACTTCTTCGAGGCCGAGCGATGCGCTAGAGCGCACACTCATTGGCGTTGCGCCCGTAATTGTATTACGGCGCTGCAGCACCGAGCGCGGTTTCAGCGGGTATAAACGCGCGGCGTTCTCGAGTGGAGAGTCAGGTGGTTCGCCATCGCTTTCGCTCGAACTCACATCGGCATCGACTTCGGGAATTGGTGCGGCTTGTGCTAATCTGCAGCAAACAGAGCAGAAATAAATATATAACCAGTAGCGCATTACAGGAAACTGTAAAAATGTTTTTACTTACTTATGAATAGCAATCGGAGGTAAATCAGGAATAGCCAAAAGTCTCGGTGATGGTAAATTCTCATTCCATCTGGAAAATGGCGCCGATCGTTTCCTACTTGGTAGTCGATAAGGTTTCATATAAATCTGACCGTAAACTTTCGTATGTCTCGGGCGTTTCTTTAAGGTTAAAACAATTTCCGACGGACTTATCTCCAACAGATGCATGACTTCCTTCGGATTCCATCCAACCACAGTTTGATAATTAACCTGTACAATCTCATCTCCATCTTCTAACTTTGTATTAATATGCGAAACAGAAATCTCTGTAATTTGATGGACGCCATTGTTGCTCGGCAAGATACTAAAACCACAATCCTGTTCTTTTTTCTTAATAGTGCACAAATCAAGTGTTGCGGGTTGCAGAATCATAGGATCAGCAAACTCCTGAATGATTTTATCCGCTAATTTCGTGATTCGATCACAAATATCTCTGATGGATATGTTCGGTGTGACGGTAAAGTTGTCTCTATGTGCGGTTGTAGCCATTTCCAGGCCCATTTGAAGCAAACTCGTTTTTAGTTCGTTGTAGACTTTGTCTCCGGCAAATGGCGCTTTATCCAACCAACAAACCAAGGGTTTTATCATGGTTAAAACAGTGTGGACGTCGGATAATGTTTGTGTTTGTAACATTTTTGAATCATCAGGTTGAGTATGGAGTTCACGGTTTAAAGAATTTGATGTGCATGATAAATGCATGGCTAACATTTGGAGATTTTCTTTATCCAACTCATAATGCTAAAAATATGATTATTTAGTTGAGTTTTTAGTATAAATTTATTTGATTTTTACTCACAAAATTTCTCAAATGTTCAACAGCTTCCAGAATAAGTTCCTGATGTCCAAGAAATTCCATTCCGAGGTGTTCCAAGTCATCCACTCTCAAATTCAACAATCGATGACCATTCACACCATTATTCTCGAAGGATTTTGAATCCACATATGGTTTGATAGCTGGATCTATGCCTACAAATAGAAACAGTAAGAATACATTCTAAGTGAATTCAAGTTGTTAAACAATTGAAGCATGAACTGAAGGTTGATGTAATTGAGCAGTATTAGCTTAAACTGTAAGTAACCATTGCTAATTTAAGTAATTGCGAATACCTTTCAACCAGTCGGTCACTTGTTCGACGGACCAATCCTTCACGTTCATGTACGCCATCCTCGCCGGGGTGGATTCCTCTGGGGCGTTAGCAGGTTAACACTAGTTGCTGATGCACAGGAAGCAACCGACACTACGACACTGCGGCGTTTATAAATAAACAACACTATCACTCATCGCTGCGATTGGCCGACAACGGTGTTCATTCATACATCGCTCAGAGCACGCAAACTTGAATGCGCCGCTCGAAATAATGCCTGGACAGCATCACGAGTGCGAGGCTAGCGATGGACGAGTAAAAGAATGTTGTGGGAGGAGGAACACAACTACAAAGTGTTTTAAAATCATGAAAAAATAACTAAAACGCATAAAATCCATTTAAAGTGATGATATAACATTCAGAGAATGAAATGATTCATTTATTACGTAATATTTATTGGTTTCATATGGATTTTTGTGTGTTTAGAATGGTTTTATAGTGATTATTACCTAAAAGTGTTGTTTTCGCCCAGTATGTTAAGGTTGCCGGATGACCTTTGTCGCTGTATCTCTTTCGCTTCCTACTCGTGCCTTATTCCACACTCGCAGCATCAACGGCTCATCTCGTTCAATCTCGCTTCACGCTCGCTTCGTTCTGTTGTTTCTCGTGTTTCTGGCTGGCCGGCTCAATGAATCATCGCTCTTTGTATTTGTACACAACGCACTTGTGCAAGCATAACAGGTTCATGTTCCAGCCTGCATGAAACTTGAATCAACAGGAACACAACGCATTTAATAGTCCAACAAAATAAAAATAAAAATAGAAACAGCTTTAAGGGTTGTTTAAGTATTAAATATCAGAAAAACTTTATAAAAGAATATAAATTTGATTTAAATTAATTTAAAATGACAAAATAATCTGATGATGAGTTTATTTGAGCTGCTGAATTTGTAGATTAAAATACAACAGCGAAAAACATACGCCTGACAACAATGCACAACAACAACAATTTTGTTTTATGCAAATATTGCATCTTTTTTTGTTAAATTCATTGTTTTTAACACTCACGCATTGTTTAAACGCGCATGCGCAATCCGAATCAGCTGATAAACTGACACCGAGTTTTGTTTAGTGCGCTACGGCTATATTTACGAATTGTTGTGTAGTAAAACAGTCACAATACACTTGTTTATTGTAAATGACATGCAAATGATGCAGTATTGCGCCACGCAGTGTTAACAAACAAGTGCGATCCAAAGGATGTAAAGAGTGGAGAAGCGATAATCGCGCTGAAACTGAATCATAGAAAGTGAGTAATCGATTTTACAAGCGAATTTGCAATCATAATCCGCTTTTACACTTGTGGGTGTCCCATCGGTTAGTGACTCCTCATTTGATGCGTGTTATCAGTACATTTTTTTTAGTTTTTGGGGTCAAATGAGTTGAAGCAATGAACGGAACGATGAAAACTACCGGTGAAACGCAGATTCAGAGTGAGTTTACAGTATTTATCAAATTAAAAACAGTTAAAATGTGTTTTAAATATTTCTAGTTGCGTTAGGCACACTGCTTGATTGTGCCTATGATAAAAACAACTTAGTGTATGAAACTGTCAATACTTCACTGAGAAAAATCGCTAAGAAGCATCCAAATGAGGTTCTCAAAGCGTGTTGCCTATTTGGCAGGCGCATTGAACCGAAACCCACCGCCGAACATATCGGTGTTATTCTGGAAGCAATGGAAGATATTTGTAAAGAACATATTGTTTATGTTGATGGAGATACAATTATTCTTTTGCTTGAATTTTGTCTGGAGTTAATGACGCAGAATCCAGGTTATGAACCCATGACGCAAATGCCGGCTTGTGGCGTGTTGGTGGCAGTTGGGGTTAAACATGGCGTACAAGTAAGTTGCCACCAGATGGCCGCAGTGTCGCTAACCAATTCTTATAATTTTCATTGTTTTTTAATTTTAAATTAGGTTGTTGATGCGTTGTTAAACAAAATGTCCGCCGGTGTAGTGCCACATTACACAATCCCACACACGTTGGGATCACTTTCCAGTGCCAATGCCTACGGGGTCGTACCGTACTTGAAAACAATACTCGGAATAATGTTGCCATTACTTGCCGGTTTGAAACAGGAACCTTTAAAGCAGGCATTCGCGTACAGTTTAGGTAAGTTCTGCGAGGCCATCTTGGAATACACAACCAATCCGGAACAAGCACCAGACTCGACAATTTCCGTGCAAAATTTTCATACCGAAATGTCTATGGCGTTTGATGTTTTATTCTCCGTGTGGCTTAACGGCAAGGAAGCCAAATTAATCGAAACTGTTTTGTATGCGATGGCGGCCATGTTTGGCATCATTGGAGAGGAAAAAGTTCGTCAACATACGAATAAAAGTGTTCAAGTTCTGCTCTCTTTATACAGGTTAGTTATTATCTCACAAAACTAACTAAAATAACAAAATAATTACATTTTTATTTAATAGAAGACATAAAGAATCCCAAGCGATTACAAAATGCATCGGTTCGGTGATTTCAGTAGCGTCACAAACAGATGGCACTCTTCTCGAACCACAATTAACACAAATCCTACAATCTCTCTCGGAGTTAATTTGTATAGTACCAGATTATGCGCAGCCAGAACTTTTACGTTCCCACTCTGAATCCCTGCGGTGTTTTGAATGTCTTTGCACACATTATACAGACCATACAGTGGATCATGTTCTTGTATTGTTAAAACACCACAGCGAAAAGGAACGCAGTAAAGGATTAATCATCCTTACACACCTTACAAATTCATCAGACGCTGCAATCAAAAGTCGCTTGAAAGACATCCTACTCATGTTGAACAACATGCTGAACGAAGTCAGCATCAAAGTAAAACGTTCCTTGATGAAAACAATCGTTGCATTTGCCTACAAAGGATTTTTAATACATCCAGACGCGAACGCCGAGAATTATCTGCAGTTTATTGTGAAATTATGCTGCAGACAACAAGTTTTAACACCGACTGATCCGCATGAGTTATCGGACTTGAAACAAACCGCAGATAACACTCTATACATGATGAGTACGTCAGTGAAAGAACTTGATATGATTTTATGGAATATGTTGATGAAATGCATGCTGAGCGCGGATTATGTTGATGCGAATGTGATTTTATTAAGATGTTTGACACATCTTGCATCTAGGAAGATTTGTAAGGATAGTTGTGAGCAAGGATTCGTTCGGTGTCTTGCAATGTTAGGCAAACCACTGGAGCATTACCGAGGTAACTTTGTTTTGAACTTTTTGAAAAACATAAGAATATGGGAGACGGACGGATATAAAACAGTCTGGGAAAATCGCCTGCCAGGACTTTTAAAATATCTAGAAGCAAATTATGATTCTTTTAATACGAAAGAATGGGAGGATATGGTGTTTGACTTTTTATCAGCGCTGATTGATTCTGTGAAAGATCATAAATTTGAAGAGGGATTAGTTCGATGTGTCAAGGAACAATTACCATTTTATGCAATTCGACCTTCTGATGTTGATATAATGACCAAAAACAACGAAAAAAGTTTCCTGCTTAAATGTCTTGCAATAATCTCTTGCCACTTGATTGACAAGGATCTTATCACTGATGTAATGGATACAATTCTGCAAAGTGTCAAATTAAACGACATCAATGAACTGCAATCATGCGCAGAAGCAATTGGTATAGCTTCACGATCACATCTCAAATTAGTACTGGACAAACTTTATGTCATACGTAAAGATGTCCTGCTTAAAAAGAATAACAAGTTCTTCAATTTTGGTTTTATGAAAGGACAAAAAGGTGAAGCTGAATTGGAAAGAATTCGCTTTGTCTTGTTAGCAAGTTATTCTGAAATATGCAATGAGGCACCCGGTGATTCTTTACTACCAATTATTCAAAGTGAAATTCTTGATTTTGTTTTATTAGAACTTAGTAATTGTAAAGAATACGTCATTCGAAAGGTTTGCCTGAAAGCTGTGGGTTGTATAGCAGATGCCATGCATCCAAACCGTAATAAACTTCACATTCAACTGCAGGATAAAGATAAAGTCCTGCAGGCTGTATCAGCGCAGATTCAACTACACAGTGGACCAGAATACGTCGAACTCTTTCCAGTGGTGATACCGGTGTTGACATCCCTGGTAAGATTACCAAATGTACCCGAATCACAACAACGTCTACAACTGTTGAAACTATGTTTTGATAATGTTTTTAACGCATCGGCGATTTATTGTAAACTGGGAAGTGAAGGGCATGGAGATGTTAAACTTTCACAACATGTATTTGCTAGTTTCTCAAAGGTGAATCTTCTTGTACAAGAATTACTAGTGCAGAGTATTTCACCAGCCACTTTGGATGAAATCTTCACATTACTTGAACCTTGGTTAGGACGCAAGAAACTTGAACATAGGCTACCCGCATTGGAGGCATTACGCACCACTTTACAGACTTATCTAGATAACATGAAATTCGCGTATGAAGGACCTTCAACCTTTGGACAAACTGGAATTATTCTCGCGAGAGTCGCCCCGAGGTGTACAGATCCAAACAAAAACACCCGGAAAGTAGCTGTTGAATGCGTCTGTCTTATATTATGCATTTCATCGAGATATGAAGGACACATGCGTGATCATGATAAAATCATCAGTAATGCTTTATCGCATGTGCAAGAACAGATTGATACAGAAGATCCGAAGTTGATGTTTAATTTAGTTACGGATTTAGCGAATGTGATCTGTCATCATGTGCCTAAGTATCAGTTTGGACACTTGGTGGATACATTAATCGATGGTTTATTGGATGCGGAGCCTTCTAGCAGTGCAGGGGCGGGTGTTTTGTTAAACACGGTGGTAACTCTTAAAGGTGGTGAGCTACAACCGTTTGTGACAGAGTTGATTGAGAAATTATTGGCGGTTTATGATAAAATCACCAATAAACGCACGCAGCACACAACATTGCTCACAGTGTTGAGTTTTGGTAATCATCATCTTAAACCAGTTGTAAATGTGGTGTTACAACAGCCTTTGCCTTATAACAAGTAAGTTTTATAGAATATTGTCTGTTTTTTTTATTATTAGTGATAATTTTTAGCGCTGCATGTTTATTTTGGTCTATATTAGCATCGGGCAGTGCATTGGTTGTGGAAATAATGGATGCTTTAAAAAAGATCCTCAAAGCTGGGAATTATTACGAAGAAGAAAGACATATTGATAAGTTAAAAATAGCTACACTTCGACCTTTGCAGGCTCTGTGTGCTTTGCAAGAACTTTTACGAAGTGTGGAAACACATGAAACGTGCAAAGCACAATTCCCGGAAATATTTTCATTGTTGATCATCGCTTTTGCTTCTATATACAGCAGCGCCTGTCTTCGCAAACGCTGAGAAAAAAGCTAATTCTATAACAAATCGCAATGCGTATAAGCTGCTTCCATTTACAATGTGTAAAGAGACTTTTAAAGCTTTCCTGGTGAATGCCGGCTCGCAGAATGCGGGAAATATCTTATCATTGTGTACGGATTCGATGGAATCGTTTTTGGAACATGTTCCACAGTTGATTGAGCATGTGTGTAATGATTTCCCACAGAGTTTATCGTGGGTTGTGGCGTGTTTAGGGCCTAGTATTCGATCGGAATATGAACCGCAGCGAATTGCAGTGACTGTGATTTTTGCGTATTTGTTGAAACATATTGGAGGTGTGGCTAGTTTGACTAGTGGCAGTGGTGATGCTATGTTGGCGGAGAATGTTTTGGATATGTTATTGGATGTTCATCAGGATGCGAGTTGTGTTGTACGGAGATTGTGTTTGAGAGGATTGGGTTTTGGTGCGGAGTTTTTAAATCCCGAGCTGGTTGTTAGAAGTTCACAGAGTATTCTGGGGGCGCTGATGCAGGGACTGGATTATAAAAATGCAAGGTAACTAATTTTATAATGTTTTTTTCTACTTCTACCTTTAAAGCGTTACTTTTTTCCCGGATTTGAGGGATGAAAAGTGGCACTTTAATCACGGATGGCCGCGGCCGTGACTAAAGTACTTCAATTCATAACCTCACATTTCCAAGTAGTGTGCGAACGAATTTCGAAGAGTTAAAACACAAAAGTTCAAATTAAATAGTTCAAAACCTGAAAATTAAGTTTAAGTTGAAAAATAGCATAAATATATCGCTAAACGTTGATAAAGTGCCACTTAGCGTACTTGATTCTTAATATACTAATACTCGCCTATAATTTTTCGCATGTTTGTATAATTCTTTCGTTATTTTAATATAATTGTTTTCTTTTAGTGAATCTGCAGTTGCACTCGAATCAATGTTAAGTTTCTCGAAAATTCTAAAAGTAATCGACACCAAAAACCTCGGCCAAACACAAGTGACAGCTTCAGTTCGTATTAAGCCACTGCTACAACACGAATCTTCCGAAATACGCGAAGCGGCTTTCCTGCTTTTCGGAGATTTATCTTCATCTCTGGGTCCTGACGATGCTTTCAAAGAACAAATACACGGAAATCTAATCACGTTACTCCTACATTTACGTGATGTGGACAACCAAGTCGTGAAAGCATGCAAATGTACCCTCAGAAAAGTAGGACCCTTTATAGAGTCACCAAAAGTTAATATCCTTATACAGGATCATCTCCTAGAGGAAGCAAATCTTCATTTTAATCAATTCTGTACTGATTTTGTTAAAGCCATGGTGAGTACCAACGAAAAATGTAATTATTTAAATTAATTTTATGTTGTAATATTTTTAGAGTGAGAATATGCAAGATTATTTCCCGCAATTCATCATGACCACGATATCTTTCTTCAAAAGTACATGGACGGATATACGCGCTAACAGCGCCCTAGCAGCAGGGTTATTATACTCTCAATCTACTCCAGAGTGTAGATCACAAGTGTCTTTGGACACTTTAAGCTACAGATTATTGCAGCTTGTCAAAGACAGCGAGCCTGAAGTTCGCGCACGCGCGACTGAAGCACTAGCTTACGTTTTCACAACGTAAATATACAATACTAAATATAATACACTTAACTAAGAGTTACTTAAATGTAAGTATGTAATACTACTTAAAAGGTAACCAACATTCCTAGTCTATAAAATGTTGAGAATATGAACTGGAAAAATATATATATATGACGGAAATTTTAATTACTTTTCATAGTTATTGTTAGCGTGGTCAAAGTGATTGACAAATACAGTGTCGTTCGTTGTGTGCATCGGATGTTGCATTGGTAGTTCAATTTTCTGCGCGTCAATGCTTGTCATGTCCGGTTGATAGCCGCAATAACCCTCGAGTCCTTTATTGTGCGGCAAACGCAATTTGTCGGTTTCAATGAGGGTTGTGAGGCGATCGATTGTTTCAGGCGCGATTATTGACGTCAGGGGTTTTTCGGGAGTTCTGTTAATTATTAATAAAATTTGGTAAAAAAGAAATGAATTTATACGTTATAATATTTAAATCAAAAAATACTAACTTGTTTTGATAAAATCTCGTCCAGTAATTCACAGTGGGATCAACTGTGGCTCGCATTTGTTTGTGATCCCATGTTTTGAACACTTTACTCGTGTCTTTGTCAATTGGAGGGATGATTGATGGAACAAATCGTGTTACACCTTCGTCTTTTATTTGACAGGGGTGGGGATAATCGGAATGGACTTACAATCTTCAGTATTTGGATCATTTTCCTATAATAGTATATTAAGTATCAAGTGCGCTAAACGGCACTTTAACCACGTTAACGGTCGTGATGCTTACGCTATTTACTTCCACTCTATTTCTACGTAGGAATAGGTTATAAAAGGTTATAAATGTATGGGAGTGGCTAAAACCTGTGACTAAAGTACTTTAGCCACGGCTTTGTCACGTAATTCAATATCTTATCTAATTACCTTTTTTTCTAGTTCAATAAAATCATGTGCTTCCTTCATCGCGCGTCTTGAATCAGTCGTATACATATACGAAAGTAATAAATTCCTCACTTCTGGATCATCGACATCATCAACACTCACTGCACTCTGCATATAAACCCTTGGCCGTGTCTTAATCACCTCTTCTTTGCGTCTATCTATCATTTCTTTAGGAATATCACACACATCCATTTGCGGATCAACTATTGGACGCGTACGCCATAATAAATTCATTGGGACATATTTATCACCACGCAGTTTGGTCAATGTTTCCGAACATGTGTACAGGTGGTGTGTTGGCGGTGGTAAATCATGTTTCTCATCTCTGGCAGATGACCAGCGATGTTTTACGTAGGGTTCGAGAGGTGGGACACGGTAATCGTTTTGATGAGTTGTTTCTGGCTCAAAGAGGGATAAGTTTTCTTTTTTGTGAATATTCATGTTGTTTTTGTATATTAAAATAATGTAAAGTGATTTTTCAGGGTATAAATGACAGTTACAAGTGGCATAAGTTGTTGCCTAGTGAAAATTTAAAGAAAAAATTAAATAGCTAATACGTCAGTTTGTAATTCTTGGGTGAGTTGAGTGAGAAGATTGGTGAGTTTGTCTTTGAGCATATCAACACCCATCGAGACGATGTTTTCCGGTTTCAGCGCGCCGACAGACTCCACGTTGTAGTAGAATTTGTTAGGGACAGCGTCGCCATTATACGGAGCCTCATCTAAAGAGGATTTGCATGTTTATTAATATCATAGGATATAAATTTGTTATTCAAATAAGAAAATATCCTCAAAAGTATGAAAAAGTTGATATTTCATCATAAAATGGCCGCCATTTTGTCAAATGTCAAAAATATCATATCAACTTCCTTTTAATCTAAGTTAGGTTAGGAAAAGTTGATATTCCGTCATAAAATAGCCGCCATTTTGTCAAATGTCAAAATTTTTGATCAACTTCCTATTAATCTAAGTAAAATCATATAAATTACTTACATTGATCCTCAGCCAGTTGTGTATATTCACTCTTTGGCCACTCATCAGGTTTTGGAAACAGAGTATGCCTCATAGCATTATCAGGATCATACTCAAAGCAAACTCCAGCTGTAGGATTCCACTTTGCATGCTCCTTTCCAAATCCCTTCTTAGCATAAGCCCTCATTTTCAACTCCTGCCCTTTTCTCAGTTTAATAATCAAAATTTCATCAGTTTCTCCATACTCAGCAGGATCTTCATCTCTGTGCTTGGAAGTAGCAGGCACAACTCTTGGATCACTTGATTTCAAATCAGCAGTGGTTACATGCCTGGTTTGATCATCTGTGCATTTCACATCTAGTGTGAATTCAACACTGCAGTTTGGACAAAAGTCGGAACACATGCAATCACGCGGATATTGCAATTCTTGGACAACATCATCAGAAATCAGTGGGATTAAACCAATTCTATGTGCAAGGAATTCATCACTTAGCACAGTCGAATTTGCTTCGAGTTTCACCCAATCGATTGCAATTGTGGGCGTTTCGGCGATTAGAACTCTTCGAATACTGTTTGCTACACTGAATGTTTTGGTTGTTTAGATATGGTGAACATAGTTTGTGTTTTGTTTTACGTACCTTAAATCGGTGTCTTCCACGTAAAACTTAACATTTTCATCGGTTAAATCAGTGATATGCACTGAAGGTTGATTAGCATATGGCATTTTTAAGTATTACAATTAATATTTTTGAAGAATTTCGCAAGATATTGTTAAAATTAAGCTTGTTTATGCTTGTTTTTCACTTTTTTGATATGAAATTTAAGGTTATGTCAGCTGAACTCGCCGGATGAGCCGATCTAACCCGAATAATGTAAATTGCAACACTGCATTCAGCTGGTTGATGAATCAGTTGCAATTAAAATTTTCCTGGAATAAACTTTATTCCACCAGAAAAACTGAAATCAAATATTTATTTTATTTATCTAAATGTAATAAATTATAATATGCACTCAGGAATTTTATTTATTGTAAAATTTCTAACGTTTTCTTGATTTTTTCATATTTAAACTTTGTTATACCCTCGACTAACTTCGCTTCGGTCATCTTCGTGTAACACCGTGCATTGTTGCAACATCATTGTGCAAGGTGCACGCAGAGTCGCGCAGAACACCCGTGGGACAAGTCCGAACCCGTGAAAAGTCTTCGCGTGAAAAGTGCGAGTGCGTGTGCATTCAGGTGCGGAAAAACAAACCGTGTGCATGGTTTTCCACCGAGTGCGTTAACGGCACCATCCCTTGGATACTCAACCCGGTGCTGGCGGATGTGGAGCGCACGTCTGGTATAACACATGCACTTGCATCTCTTCCTCTCGCTTCTTTTATCACATCAATTGCAAGCGATTACATTTAATACACACAATAACATCAACATCTATCCTTGTAAACTCGCTCATCCAAGCACATTCACTCTAGTAGAACAGTTTGTTTATTGTGTTATGATTTGTTATCATTGCGTTGAAAAAAATCAGAGCCGGATCTCAAGCGAAACAAAAAAAAAAAAAAAATGAAAGCAAGTGTCAAGATCATACATATTAATCTGACGTTTTGTTTAGAGTTTTTTATTTGGAAATATTATTTGCATTGAAGTGGTAATGTGTTGTGTTTGATCAGTTCTGGAATATTCTGCGGATGAAAATTTCGCAACGTCGCGTGTGTTCCCGGTGCTCTCCCAGTTGGTCGCCGCGTCGCGCACTCGCGCCCTCGCTCGCACTCATCCGTCATCCACTCCGCGCCCTTCCATTCTTCGCCGGCGCACCGCGACATTGCCTTCGGCGCAATCGGTACGCCTTATTTATTTCACGTACGCGTTTCTTCCACTAGCCTCCCGAGCGAACAGCCGGCGTGTGTATATTCATTATTTCATTGTTTGTAACGCCGCGTTCGGAAAAACTGCCAGAGAAAGGCGGGTGCGAGAGTGCAGCAGCGTTCACAACCCCATCATCGCGGTTCCCACCCTCGCGCTCATCGTGTTTGTGCATTTCAGATCGCGAGTAGTTCTTGATTGAAGTGGAGCGAGCGGTGGAAATACGTGAAATCGTGCGCGAAAAGCGAGGCTTGTGCTTAGTAGTATACTACACAACGCTGAAGAACTGAAGGGTGTCTCCTCACAAGCGCTTATTCTAAGCAGGAAAAAAGCTGCGGAGGGACGCACACGCACACAAGCATCCCGAGGATCGATTCATGTGTGCGTTCGAATTATGTCCAGTTTGAAAATCGGTGAGTTTTCCACTTTGGCGATCGTAATTTCTTGCCGAAAAAGACGTCGAGTGTCAAATACACAAAATAACCTAAAAGTTGAACGCCGTGCCGTATTTATAGACGAGCATAAGTCGACCCAAAATAGAATTCCGGCATTATTATTGAGATAACTCAAACAATTTTAACGATATCATTATAATTTCTACGGTATTTGATTCGCAATTTAAATACGCATCTGTCGATGTAAGATTCATTGGAGTTTTTCGAGTGGTTCTAGAGATAATTGAGTTTGAAGTTGATGAATGCCATAAATTAGTGATAAACATCGAACAATTAGTGAGATAATTTGTTTTTTAATGAACAGAATATAGAAATCTGACACGCATCCAGTGAGTAATTAGTTAACCAATCAAATTACGAATGTTTCTTTCCAATATTAATGATAGAATTCATTTTAGAGCTGATTTTGTACAAAAATGCAAAAGAAAGCTAAAGAATAGCGTTTAATTGTTAATTTTTGTCAAAATTATGAAGATGCCTCATTGGCGAGACATATTTTACTTCACGTTAACTGAAAACAATTAAACTGAATACGTTCAGAACATAATAATAAACAATAACGTATTTTGCACATATTTATCACCGTTTTTTCGGCGATTCCAAAGTAATATTTGGGTGTTTGATAGAGTCGAGTTCATAGTTGTTTTGTGTCTACTGTTTGTTCTCAATTATCATGGTAATTATTAGCTTGAAAACCGCGGCGTGAGTAATTCATGCGCGCGCGCTCTATTATTTCACGGCGCATGGGAGTTTTCGCAAGCCGAGCGTCACAAATAATAATAAATCAAAACGAACGACAATCTACAGTTAGCTTCCGAAAATGGCCGAAAATAAAGCGATAAATGCGGTTAATTAGAAGAATATAGGAAGTTTGCTGAATGATTTAAGGTTTTTACTGTAATACAATAAATTGGAATTTTGTTATTAATTAAATTCGAGGAAGTCATAAATTTGTAGAAATTTTTTGAGACTGTGGTTCAAATATTTAATTGGATTAATAACTGGAGTTAGTTTAAAACTTTAATAATTTTGAAGAAAAAGCAAGTATTTTTTATGATTTATGAAACATTTAACAAATGATTGTCAGTTTTTGAATAAACGAGCGAATCAATCAAAATAAAATAAAAAGATTTCTTAATAATGTTTTTCTAGTGAAAAACATGTTGAAGTTTCGCTGTAAACTACTACGTATAATTGTTTAGCAAAAATAACGGTGGTAATACACGTGGATATTTTAATTGGCAAATTAAAAAAATCTCTGAAGGTTTTGTTTATTTTTGATTACAGACACAAAAAAATATAAAACTTCAAATATTGGGAATCCATGATAACTCTAGAATTTCTTAACTATTTTTGGTGTGGTTTAATTCACTAGTTTTTGGATAAAATACATAAATCTGTTTTTAAGAAAAGAGGAATATCTACGAAAATATTAAATGCACAGAATTTGCAAATACATACTCGTATATGTACTGCATTATTGGGAAATTAATTCGTCATCTAATAGACCAGTGAGTTTATTAGATCTAGCATGTATAACATAAGAACTGATGAATACATTTTGATGATCTATGAATTGTTGGATTTCTCTTCACTCCGAATAGCAAAATAACTATTGAAATATCAAAAAATATAACTCAAAGAGTCTTAAATAAGAGATGAAAATTATAGCTCAATAATTGAATCCAAAATGACGCTAAAGTGCATTATTAACATTTCCCATTTATTTAAAATGAAGTAGGTCTTGAAAAAGAAAGTAAAAATTAATTACGTTTTGTTTAAAAACTACGGCGATCTAAATAGGGGACAAAAGCTAGTTTATAATATTTACGATGCTTATTTTATCAAATCAACAAAACTAGACTTAATTCAATTCACAATTAATTCAAAACATTAATTGATGATGCGTTTTTGTCGGCACAAATAGTTCGAATTATAAAACATAATACATATTACCGCATTTGTTCCGAGGAAAACTGATGATAACAGTATATTCAACGCAATAGTCTGACAAATATCATTTCCTGCATTTATTTATAACAATTCCGTCACTTGTTTTGTTATTATTCGTTGGTTTTCGATGTTGTGTTTAACTAATTTTTCCATGTCTGTTCTGTTGTCTCGTAGAATGTACTCGTATATCACTATTTGTTGTAAAACCACACTTCTTCCACATCAAACACTTTACACCAACACAAACAGATTTACAATCGTGTAATTCCTCTCTCTTTATCTCTTTGTCGTTGTTTTTCATTCAATTATTCTAATTCTGATCCGTAGTCGTAGAGAGCATGATTGTCGGCTGTTGCTTGAGATAAGTGCTGCTTTGCTGCTGCTCTCTCACCACCACCGCCACCACACAGCGCTCGCCTTCATCAACATCTCACCGCTCAAGACCACGCGCCACCGCCCCCGCCTGAATCATGCTGGAGACGAGGTCGATGCGCGGCACGCCGGAGCCGACGACGTGGCAGAGCGGCGGCAAGGGCACCGGCACCAACAGCTACGCCATCAAGCCGCCACCGCACCAGATGCCAATGGCGACGCCGGTGCGACACGGTAAATGAAACAGAGACGCCGGGCGGTGAAATTCTCACAAACCTGCACGCAACCCGATTTTCCATCTGACCCCCTACTCTAGACTATTAGCACATAGATAAGATAAAAGGCCGTGAAACAAAGCTGTGAGATATCGTCTTATCACCGAGTGCGAATTTTCAGTCTCTTACTCAGTGTCAGATAATATCTCGACTTTATTTGGTGTTTATAGTATCGATGTTGTCTAAATTTTGCACGTTATCATTTCGATAGTTGATTGATCATCATGGGGTGGTTTCTCGGTTGTTAGTATAGCAATAATTTTGGTTATGTTTGGTAACTTTGTGTGTTTTTTTAGGCAAAGCAAGTCAGGATGACGTATGCTACGTTGTCGCCAAGTACGACTACACCGGGCAAGGTGGTCAGGAGTTGGATTTGCGCAAAAACGAGCGTTATCTACTCCTAGACGATACCAAACATTGGTGGCGCGTGCAGAACACCAACAAGCAGAGCGGATACGTACCGAGTAACTATGTCAAGAAAGAGAAACCGTCACTGTTTGATAGCATAAAGAAAAAGGTTTGTTTTTTTCTTTGCTTATTAATAATCTAACCTAGAAATTAAATTGTTGTGTTATTTTTAGGTGAAAAAAGGTTCGGGGTCGAAAACCCTCCCGTCGAACAACTCACCTTCACGCACAGTCGAATCGCCCAACATGGCGCGCCGTCTACCCGCCGATCCCAGTGAACCTATTGGTTGTGCTATTGTTAAGTATAACTACCAGGCACAGCAACAGGATGAGCTGTCACTCATCAAAGGGTCGAAGATTTTAATCCTCGAGAAGAGTAACGACGGTATGCATTTAACCTCTTATAATATATTTATGTTAACCTAAATCAACTTCAACTAAAAAATTAAAATGGCGTCGTATTTTGGGTTGCAGGTTGGTGGCGAGGTCAAAGCGGACAAGTTTCTGGTTGGTTTCCGTCGAATTATACACAGGAGGACGGCAATGATGATGATACGCTGCACACGTACGCAATGGCCGAAAATGTGCTGGATATTGTTGTTGCGCTGTACGCGTTTAGTTCAACCAGCGATCAGGAGCTGTCATTTGAGAAATTTGACAGACTTGAGATTCTCGACCGGCCCGCCAGTGACCCCGAGTGGTACAAGGCGCGTAATTCCGCCGGTCAAGTTGGGTTAGTGCCACGTAATTACCTGCAGGAGCTCTCCGAGTACCTCATCAGCAGTCAGCAGGGCGGCGGGCCGCCGCCACCGCCACAATATAACAATGAAACCGATCGACCGCATCTGATCAATCGGCCGTGGTATTATGGATCGATTTCGCGCAGTCAGTGCGATAATTTACTCAATCAACATGGACATGATGGTGATTTTCTTATTCGCGATAGTGAAACAAATGTAAGTTGATAAATTTATTCTAAAAATAACAATTTATGTATTAATTTGTATTTTTTTTCAGATGGGTGATTATTCCGTGTCTCTAAAAGCGCCCGGACGCAACAAACACTTTCGGGTGCACGTCGAAGGTGCGCTCTATTGTATCGGCCAGCGAAAGTTTCACACACTGGATCAACTCGTCGATCACTACCAGCGCGCGCCGATCTACACGAACAAACAGGGCGAGAAGCTGTACCTGGTGCGACCTCTACCGAAACCCGTCAACGGATAACACGCGCACGGTTAGGTGAGTCTCTGCCCGAAGAATTCCGCATTGTGACACACGCGCCTGCGCCACTCGAAAACCGGAAAAACCAATGAATACTGCCCGCGTTTGGTTTGTTTGTACAAAGATTTCTACGATAATTATATATGATTTGAATTTCGCAGATTTTGCTGCTGAGAGTGACATTTGCGAGACGCGGATGCGCGCGCACATCCAGCCATATTAAGTTATATGCCCTAAGATGTATTGACTTGTGTTTAGGACGTAATCTTCATTTTTTTTTTGTTTATTGTGTTCCTCTCATGGACAGTTGCCGAGTTATTTTTTCGTTTTCATTTGTTTTGACGTGATAAACAAATATTACCTACAAGCATATAGTAATTGCAGATAATCGATAAGCGTATTGATTAAGACAAGACAAAAAAAAATAGCAAAATGTGTAATATATTATGGATAATATTGCTACTCTAAAAGTAATTTCAATGTCACCGAATGTCCGTGTAAATTGTACTCTATACTATATAGCAGCATGATGAAAAAATGAAAAACACTTATAAAATAACTATAATCGGCGCCATATTGTCATAAAGTAAAAGATGGAAATATTTATTTGCGCGTATTGACATTGACATTTGACAGAAACATTCTCATATCAAAGCATCATCACAAAAAACGACATGAATCACTCACAATCGTCTTTATTTACATTATGCAATATTTGATAAGTTGATAAGTTTATATTGAAAGAGAATGTTTTATACTGGTACGTACGTGTGTGTAAGCATTTTTGATAGAATTATGACACGGAAACAATGATCTGAACGCCCAAACAACACGTGAACAAATGAATATAATTTATTTACGCTATTTATTAAGGTTTGAGTTTTGTTTTGAATTGACTATGTATATTTTCTTCTTCGTTTGACATCATTTGAGCATAATGTACCTCTACATATGTATTTAGAAAATTGTTCTATTGCATAAGATGATTGCGAAACAAATCGATAGGTAAACAAAGAATGTGAATGATGGAAGAAGGCAGATGATGATGATTGATAAAACAAACTTATTATAAGTTGGACTAGTCTAATACCTCTTTAATAGAATTTGCATTTTAAAACGTAGAACGGAATTTGTTGTATTTGTGTTTTGCTCATAGAACATACTTCACCTGTGCGCGTATAATTTCCTAATTTATTATGTTACATCATTTTTTTTTTCATTGCTTTCTGATGTTTATTGCTTTGGCATACTTTAAAATTGCAAGCAATGATTGAAAATATTCCTACGTCCGCAAAATCCATAAATTTTATGGAGGTATTACAATTTAATTAGTTTTTAGTTGTAAAAAGTCTAGTTTCAGTGGTTAGGCCTTGTTGTAATGATGAAAATTGCATTTTTCTATTATTTTCAATCAGTTCTTATATATTATTACATTAAACATGTCATGAGCGAGAAATATTCGTTATAGACACGTATACTATAATAATAAATAAGTTTCTTTGGATGTACATCGTTATTATTGCAACTAGGCTTCATCACTTAATGTGTAATGCAAAAGTTTTATTTTCTAGTACGTTTTGTTTTTAGTTGAGAGTTAATCAACCTTCTTTGCCTTTCTTCCCTTCTGCGACGACCTTTTCTTCTCCATTTTGGTAGCGTCCACGTTCCAGTAGTATAAAATCTGCAGGACAATCACTGCATTCGCGCTGGTTGACACGCAATACGTCAGGATGCTCATGAAATCGCCAGTTTCCTGAATTGATGTGAAGATTCGCGCTGCGCTGCCCGCACACATCATGAACATCGTCACTGCTGATAGCTGACCAGTGTGGCCATTCTTGAAGTTGGTGAGAGCTTGTGATAGCTTTCCAACTAATAAAATAGGAATGTTGAAGCCTTGCAGTGTCCACAGGAAGTCTTTCGGTGTGTAACCGGAAATGAACACAAGGAAGACACTCGTATACAGCATGGCGTACAGGAACGCCATCATTGTGCGTCCGGAATAATGCAGAATAAGGCAGGCGATTAAAAGTGTTTGTAGAAGTAAGAAGAATGAATCGCCCCAGGAACTGAATGGGAATTCATTCACGATGCTATAACAGCCGTAGATCATGATGGCGCTCAGGTCGAATGAGACGCTGAGAAGGCTGATGCCCTCGCCGGATTTGTTCCTCCATATTTTGAGAATTTGCGGGAGTTTGACTAGAATTGATCCAAGGATCAGGGCAAAACCAAGGCCCTTACTTAGAGTTGACATGAAGCATGGACCTGTCAAGTATATTTTAGCGTCAAATTTATTCGGGTATTTAATTAATTATCAATTTGTGTTTGACTTACCATCAAATACGTTGAATTTGACAAAATATTCATCAACACACTCTGGTGTGAGCAAATAACTAGATGCTTGTTTAATGACGTCCATATTTACGGTATCGTTGATCCGAATGCAATGAAGTTTTACACAGAAGTGTAGCTGTGTCTAAGTAGGCTGTTTAAGCGCGCATTAGTATTTATTACTACTTGGCGAAGGTTTAAAGGGCGATTAAAATTACACCGCTTTTTGTCGTCGTGTTGAGGTTACGTCAGACACGTCACGGCCGTTTCCAATCAATTGCTTGTTTTTTAGTACAGGTGGTTGCCAACCATAAACAAGCTAAATTTGTAATATAAACAATAAAATAAGAAGAAAAAACCTGTTTAATAAAGTAATGTTAATAGCTTTTACATTTTATGACTGAGATTTGTTTCGAAATACATTTTAAACAGTAGATAATGATTTTTATTACAAAATTCAGTAACTTTATTATGGGTACACTTAGTATCATAGAAATTACTGCGCATGCGCAGCAAAGAAACAAAATATTTGTTTAAAGTTCGATATAAAAGTAAAGTTGAACGTTCTCTTCAATTAAAAATCAATTAAAATCAAAATTATTCCATGTTAAATATATTTCATTGGCTAAATTTGAATAATATAAGCTTTGTGGGCTTGTATTCTTTGTAAACTTATATTTGTAATGTTAGTTGCATATAGTATAATTGCAGGTGTTTCAAAAAACATTCACGATGCGTTGGTCGACCGAAACCGTTTTTTTCTCTACACTCCACACACGTCGTGCTGTACACGAGCGGTACAGTTATATCTGTTGCTGGCGATAACGAACGTCGACAACCTTGTTCGCGGCGCAGTTAAAGTCGATATTCGCTTACCGCGAGCATTTTGTTCCGTCTCCGCACTCGTCGGTGCGACAGCGGTTCGTTACCGCAACAGACAGTCCACAACGCGCACGGCTCGCGAATTGTCGTGCATGTCGTGTGGTTTGCGTATAACAACCACCGAACAAAACCAAAACGCCTGCGTGCGAGTGCGGAAAGTGCGTTCCGCCGTGTTTGCAGTGCGTGCGTTTCGAGTGCACCACGCCACCATCGAAAATTAGTGCGACCGCCAGGTTGATACAGGTAGAAATCGTCGTTCTTGTATTAATGGTCGACATCAATGTGCGCGACGCACCGAGCCGTCGTCGTGGTGTGCTGCAGCGTGCGTGAGTTCGCAGGTATCGGCTGAGAAATCATAGTTTTCGTTTATAGTGTTCGCTATCTGGTTTGTGTACGCGTGAGTGTGAGTGCATGTGCGCCGCGTATGTGATGCCTGCAGCATGAAACAGTTCATCAAGTTAAAGTGATCCGGACAGCAACACACAATACAGCACGCGACGTCATGGCAACCAGGACGAAAACCAAACCTGGACACCAAATATGGGACAAGAGTAAGTTGTTATAACCTAGAAATTTACTAACAATGAAACACAACATCTAATTTAATTTTTGTTATATTTACAGATTTAGCACACAACGCAAATGTAAACTGCGTTGCGCTGGGCCGGAAGTCCGGTGTGGTGATGGTAACCGGTGGCGATGACATGAAAGTAAACCTCTGGGCAGTCGGAAAACCCGGGTGTTTTATGAATCTATCCGGACACACCACACCAGTGGACTGTGTGAGTTTCAACCAAACCGAAGAACTGGTTGTTTCCGGTTCACGCACAGGCGCGTTGAAAGTCTGGGACCTGGAGGCCGCGTCTCTGGTACGCACATTAACCGGCCATCGTGATAGTGTCCGATGCACAGATTTCCATCCCTATGGCGTGTATCTTGCCTCTGGCAGCGCGGACAAAGCGATCAAAGTGTGGGATCGTCGCTGCAAAGGCAACATTTGCAACTTTGTCGGGCATACCGATAAAGTAAACAGCATTAAATTCTCACCGGATGGTTACTGGATAGCGTCGGGTAGTGATGACAGGACAATCCGCCTCTGGGATATGCGCATTGGTAGAATGCTCAAGGAGTTCAAGGAGCGTCACAGCAGCGCGGTGACCACAGTGGAGTTTCATCCACATGAGTTTCTGCTTGCGACTGGCGGTAGTGATTGCGTGGTGAACTATTTCGACCTGGAGAACTTTAATCTTGTCTCCAGCGAGAAGGAGGTCGGGTTGGTGCGGTGTATGTACTTTAATCCGGAGGGCGATAGTCTCTTCGTCGGTGTGCGGGATTATCTTAAGGTGCTCGGGTGGGAACCGAGCAGGCTTTATGATTCTGTTAATCTCGAATGGGGGAGAGTGCATGACATATCAATAGCACAAAATAAAGTTGTAAGTATTAAACTTTTATTATTTACATGAGTGGGAGTAAAAAAAAAAAACAGTTTTTTTGACTTCCATTCCTAACAAAATGCAAATTTTGGAAAACTATTGTATGCATACGATGAGGAATTAATTTCTCTTTGGCATAGTATTTTTGAAAATGATATTAATTTAATATTTTCACAGTTTTATTAAAAACTAGCTTTTGCCCGCGACTTCGTTCCGGTAGTGTATAATAAATATGTAATTCGTTTTTACTCTCTTGTTCTAGACATAGTATATGTCAATTCTGTCGATAAGATTCGCAATTTTATATTAAAGAAATTAATTATATAAAGAATTGCTAATAATGCACTTCAGCGCGCCATCTCGGATTCAACTATTTTACTATAACTATGATTGAATCTCAATGCCAACTTTTATCCTATAGAAAAGGGCTGTCTTTGGGGTTTTCCCGGCAATTATTCGAATTTTTCTTGCCGTAAAAACCATCCTTGGACCATAACGAACATTTTAAAAAAAAGAATTGGCCCAATTGATCTAGGCGTTGTTGAGTTATGCGCTTACCAACAAATTTTGCGATTCATTTTTATTTTATGGATAGAATTGGACGTTTTATTCAAAACTATAGAATAAAACCGTAAAACAAATAGATACTGTGCTTAATATTGAAATACAGCTTATAAAAATTGCTCAAATGATTGCGCAATAATTGCACACTGCAACAACCGCTTGTTATCAAAGTATTTACTAATATGATGGTCGTTATGACAATACACCTATCATAAAATTAGTAAATATTTGCATAAAAAGTTGTCGATTGAAAAACAGCTTTCGTTAGTCAATTGTTTTGTTGATAACATTGTATCTAACCTACTTTCGGTTAATTTACGCCCTCGTTTCGATTTTCGGCCTAGTTTACCATGTGCTATATTTCAATCAATTTTTTCTGTTGTATTCTAGTGATAATGATTACTTTGAATGGTTTTAATTAACCTCAAGTTGTTGACGGTGAGTGGTGACATTAGCATAATCGATTCCCTGCCACCGCGCGACCGCAAACGCGTTGTTTCTTATCAGTTCTTTATCATTTTCAGTTTTCTGTACGTCTAGTGATTCGTAGTGGTTTCGGCCGACCTGCGTTGACCTACTATTTTTCCCCCTTAGGTGCATTATTGTTGTTGAGTATACAGTATGTTGTAGAATTGCGCATTGTGTGTACCTATGTGTGTGTTTGGTCGATGTTTTGCCCAGCGCGCACGACACGCCAAGAAAAGCGCCGAGGTCTACTTTGAATAAATCAAACAACTATATTTATCGACGTAATTTATGCGCTTAATGACCGTACGAGCGCATATCGAAGACGGACGGAACGTTTGCCTTAACAGAAAATCCTCCGCCTAGCGTCTTGTCGTTTTTGCATTCATAAATATGCAATGGTAGTGCTTGTGTGTTTATAGGTTGGGTTATGTTTCGGTGTACTCGTAGTTTCGATCGGGATTGTAACAGACAGCGCGCCGCGCTGGTAATAGGTCTGAATGGACAATTGATCACGTCGCGATTTGAAGAGAAAAAGGAGGAAACTAACGTAGGCGGTTGACAGCGATGCTATTTCCGTTTCCGGTGGATGTTGTACGTACTATTACACTTTTTATTATAATCAACTTTAGAAATTTATGAATTTAAGAGGTTTTAACTTGACTATGGCCGAAATAGACTCATTACGGTTGGAAATTATGATGATTATCCACATTATTTGAATGCTTTCAAGTTGAATTTAACTCCGGTTTAATGATATACATTAAAGTGTCTAATGATGGTGGCATATTGTTTCTTACTTCAACTTCAGGTGTTTCGTATGCTTTTGTATATGATGGTAATTATAAATCGGCGATATTTTGGGCTCAACGACCACACGGCAAGCGGAGCCACGCAAATGAATTCGATTCGTGGCGAGTGTATAAATAAGTACCTTTAAATAAGTAATGATACCTTGGGCCATTACATCACATTATTTGCTTCGATTGTAAACGTGTAGAAATGATGAGTTTGTTGACTTGTTTTACTATTTTAAGAGTATTTAATTACAATCCTAAATTAAACTAGTAATATAGAAATATTAGCAGAAATAAAAAGTTGGTTATGCATTTTGGGTTGCATACAAAGAATGTCAACCCCTATTTGTTTCATTTTTTGTAAAATTTGCTATTTTATCACTTTTTCAACTTATTAATTGCATTTATTAATTAAAATTCATTTTTTGTTTTCTTCTTGGTCCAGATTTTTACTTCCCCTCTCTCCATATTTGAAATTCTTGCGTTTAACAGCTAATCAGGTCACTTAATCACGCCTTGTATACTCTACGAAATTGAATTCTGTGCGTGTTATGAAATTCGAGCCCACGTGCAATAACAAATGTCTAACGACCGGCGAATACCTAAACAATCGGGTATTGTTTCGCGGTTGCGCGTCTTGCTTGTACCGAGATGTGTTTAGCTGTTGCCAAAACAGCCGATAGACCAAGGCAACACCAGCAATTGCCGTTTTGATCCTCGCTGCCTGCAGAGGTGTATGTGGATTATATGGTGTATTCTTTCCGTTCACTGAATAGAATCGAAAATTAAATTGAATGAATCAGAATTATTCATGCAGAGACAAATTATGCAAAACGCAAAGCGTGTAACACTCGCACAGAAAAGTGAATAGCGCATGAATTGAGACATTTATTTTGGACTTTGTGGTATATTACTTAAAAACATTTAATTTTTTTAAGTTTTTTAAATCGTGACGTGAAACTTTCTATGCTTCATCTTTTACTTAACTCTTAATTATCACTCAATTTCTCTACAAATTGGTTATTACCAGTTTGTTGACTCTGGCACCATGTCATTGATACGCCATTCTGCATTCTTCTGGATATTTTTAAACGATCGGCAATTAGCGACGCTCGATTTACTCCTGCAGCGATGACTTTCTTTTAACTTTGTTTGCCGCGCGCCGCCGCGGACATTTTTTCCTCTCTCGCTAGTCTACACCGCGCAAAAATGAATGCTATGCGGCGAAAAAACTCGCGAAATGCTGTTTTAATATGATACGATGATGGAACTGATAGAAGAAAGACTTCTTTAGTTGCGCTTGAAACAAGCACAAGTCGCGAACTAATTGAGACGTGAAGAATGACTCTTTATTTTTATTATTTTGCGCTAAGGAATAGAAGACTGCAGCAAGCAAGCAAGCGGTTTCTATTTTCTTTCTGCCGAGCGTGGCATGCAAATTGCAGCGCGATAATAGATGCGGAGGTAATGGCGTGATGATGTGCTTATCATCAGGTGATGCGGATTTATGCGTTTATTGTTTGGTATTTTTATATAAAATTTAACAGGAGTCTTGGAAAAATTTTCCTGAGTTTTCTAAATATTGTTGATAGCGTTTTATCATCAAAAACTATCAAAACTTACATAAAACAAAATTTGGTTTTAGTCATTTTTGATTATTATTAATTCGAAAATAATATTACTCTTTGAATTTGGGCTTAATAGCTTTGTCAAAATTCGCATTAAGGTTACTTAAATTCCTGTAATGATGAAAATTTGTTAGAAATCACAAATTTATTTGTTTGTGCCGCTTTCACGCAAAAACCACTCAAGTAATTTTGCTCAATTTTGGTTTATCGATCTTTTTGACTATGGAAAGGAAAATAGGCTACTTTTTGACACAAAAATATTTCATCTTCTATTTTTATTGGTATTTTTAAACATTTCTTCAACTTTTTGGTTATTTGCGAATTAATATAACTTAAGTTCATTTTTGGCGAATTTCACTTGCTTTTACTTAATATTTTGCTTTTTTCCCACTAAAAATTTATATAATAAAATCACTATAATTTTGCAACAATAAATACAAAATTGCCATGCATATGCACACACTTACTCCAATTTTTGTTGCATAATTTGTAGGAGTAATAAAATTAATAATTACTGTGTGAAATTAAATTCCTAACGCAACAGCACTAATAAAACTCAAAAAGTGTACTTAATTATTATAAATATGTAAACACAATCCAAGCGATTGCTTCCCGCAAGAAAAAATACTTAATCATTTTGCGTTACGCCCAATCAGAAAGTGAAACCGCTCAAATATTGATTTCTTTTGTTGCTAATTCCATAGCTAAACATTTCAAAAACGGTGTGAAACGTGAATCTCGCGCTAAAAGCCGTGCTTTGTTTGAGCAGACGACGCGGATGAGCGTTTAGATTTCACACATTGTGTGTCTATGTGTACACACACGTGTGCGGGGAGTGCAGGTAAATGTGGCATGTGTCATCTCTGCTCAAGGATTGCAAATAAATAATGCAGTCGCGAATGACTCCGGCAAATGTTTGCCTGGCCGGTCGATGGCGGATATGGCATGCGTCGCCATTTATCGATTGATTGCTTACCGTATATCGGCATCGACATGCTTCGTTGGTTTTGTGGACATTTCAACTTTTTCCTCAACCTCGACTTTTCTAATAATACAGGAAAAAATCAACAAATTGTATTAATTTGAGATTTTTAATTAGGCGTTCTCATCAAACTTACATATTTACTTTATCAATTATTTGATAAGCATGCAGATTAAGGAAAAAAATTAATAATATTTTTTCTTCTTCCATCTTTAAAGCGCAAGTTTTTCCATGATTTTGAGATACAAAAAGAGCTTCTTTAAACACGGACGGCCAAGGCCGTGACTAAAGTACTTTATTTCAAAGTTCGAAGTTTTTAAATACAAAAGTTCAAACAAAAAGTTTAAAAAATGAATAATTTGAATACTTTTGGACTAAAACAAAGTAAATTTTAATAAAACCATCTAAAAATATCAAAAATTTAGGAAAACAACCAAATATCCAGTTGTTTTGTTTAAATATTTTAAAATATTTTAAATTGTGCAATTATAACTTAAACATTCCGTTGTCGCAATCGACGACTGTTGTAATTGCAATGCGTAATATTCGTAATAATGATGGGAAGCGTTTTGGTGATGGAAAATGTACCACGACTGCTTTACGCGCGCGCTGGTCTTATTGTTGCATTGCACGCGAATAAAATACCGTGCGCTATTCTTAGTTGGAATCGGAATCAGTGCTGCTCTTACGGTAAACAATTAGATTTCGTAATCGCATTCGTAACAGTACCGTGCCATCAAAAATTACAGCTTAGTGCTTTTATTTTTTAAGGTCGATCGAAACATTTATTTGCGAAAGAAACATTAAAATGTAATATTTAGATAATTATGCCTGCCGGTTATTGGAAGCAAGTAGCTGGATGGAGAAAAAGTAGTCGAAGGAAATTAGTATAGTATTCGTACGAGCGCGATAAGTTGATGTTGCGTTCGTCTCAAACATCGTGCATTTTAGAGTTTTAGAAATTTTCGTTCCCAGGCGTTATTATAAACTTTCATACATGGATCTTACCTACTAGATACATCCACGAGTGCATGTTTTACAGTAAAAAGCAAGACAAATTTCTGTAACGAAAGATGAAAAAAACATATCCAAACATACATCTTGAAATCTTGCTTTTGGTACTGTTCCAACAGTTTCATGACTTGGTACAACCGCATCAATTTGTCAAGTTAAAAATCTTTCATCTAAGATTAGATTTTACTTTTTATTAAGTTTTATTTAGCTTCTTCTCGTAGTTTTTAGTAAAAATGTAATTAATTTTTACTTTCTTGTTCAAGACTAGGAATATATGTCGATTCCATCAAAAGATTCACAATTTTATTTTAAAAATAATTAGAAATGCTAATAATGCACTTTAGCGCCATCTGGGAGTCAAATATTTAACTATAAATATGATTAAATCTCCATACCAATTTTCATCCTTTATTTAACGCCTATTAAGTGATAATTTGTTATATTTTAATAGTTATTCTGTTATTCTTGGAGCAGACGAATCCAACAAATTATAGCTTATCAAAATCTGTCCAACCGTTCTTAAGTTATAAATGTTGTAACTAACACGATATATTTTTATGATGTTTAATTTAAAAATGTGTAGACTTTGCGTCTTCCACCGGTTCCACTACATCTAGATTGGTCTAATTGTAAAGTTGTTCTTGTTTGGCTTGGTCTCTTCATGGAAGTTGCTCAACTTAACGGACCTGACGCATGTCTCCGAAGGTTAAGCTTCTTCATCTTGAACATCTTCTTGCTGGTCTTCTTTTTCACCCAGTAATCTTAGAGGCTGTTTTATAACAGTTGTCGACTGCAATGCCCGAGTTGAGTCACTCCGGTTCAGAGTAAATCTCGTGACTTTACAATTCTTCGCATTTCGTAGTCGCTGGTATTTCTTTGTATTTCTCGCTTCGCGCTCGAAATGAAATATTTAACATTTACGTAACTGCTGGATAATTGTGTAGGTAGGCTGTGCTGTTGGACAAGTACAAATGAGATTACATGCTGTAAACATTTGAGATTTTAAATGAATACGAATTGATTTTCAAAGAAAAGTAAACGTTAGTTTAATTTAGTTTGAATCAGGGTTAAATTTAGAGAAAATTGCAAATCTAAAGTTTATTTTACTATATTTGAGTGCAAGCAGTAAATAGAACGTGTTGATTTTAGTTTTCCAGTGTACAGTTAGCTCTCATGTAAATAATTACTTAGTAGTGCCTAAGTTGCAGTTACAGTGGATTATCATATTTATTTAAATGTGTTGCATGTGTGATAATACCTACACCAACTAACGTCAAACTATATCTATAAATATATAAAACAGAGTTGTGTTAGTTATAACATTTATAACTCAAGAACGGTTGGACAGATTTTGATGATCTATAATTTATTGGATACGTCTGGGCTCCAAATAGCCGAATAAGTATTAAAATATCAAAAATTATCTTTTAAAGGGTGTTAAATAAGGGATGGAAATTAGTATAGAGATTCAATCTTAGTTATAATTAAAAAATGGAATCCTAGATAGCGCTAATGTGCATTATTAGCATTTTTCATTTCTTTAAAATAAATTTATGAATTTTATTGATGCAATAAAAAACTAAGAACTACGCAGACAAAAGTTAGTATCAAATATTTGAAGTGATCAATTCTAATTCTCGAATTTCGGTTCGGATTTCGTAAATAAGAAACTTTCTACCGCACACACTTGTTGTGCCAACGTGGGTTTTTTCTTCAACATTTCTTGACTTAATTATTTTATAATCATCCTCCGTGGGTCGCACTCGACTACGGCGTCGTCGCTTTCTTAGCCGCGTAAAAAATAATTTTTGATTATGATAAAATCGCTGCACCAGCGGAACATCATGTAATTATAAATTTCTTCAACGGCGATCAACTTTTAGTATGTAGGTACTAATTTAAAATTAATGTAATTACAGTGCGATAGTGCTATCGCTAATCGTAATCGTTGTTTCCTTTCGACTTTTAGCGTAAGTTTAAGCTTATTAAGTGGAAATTTATTGGATACACAACATCTTTATGTGAGTTAATTTATTGCTGTTTATCATCTTGCCGGTTGAATGCATTGATACGGTTGACTTCTTGACATTTAAACCTTTCATTACGTTTATCGACTCTTTGTTGAACAAGGAAGCAGGAATATTTAATAGTGAGCTTAATAATGGAGAAATTTATTGAGTAAAAATTGTTGACTTTTTATAATTTTACTATTAGAAAATTATAAAATGTATTTTTACTGCAATAAGAGTATTTTTGTATTTCTTAATTTTTTATATTTTTGATTGAATTGTTGAGAAAAAAAATGTTTTTGTCCTTAAATATTTATTTTATTAATTACTTAAGAAAAACACTGTTTTTCAAAAGAATACGTAGCTTCAACTTATGGTACGAGTACATCACGTACAACACATGTAAATACTGATCTGCGATTTTTGATCAATTTTATTTCATGAATTATTTAAAAACTTTGCTAAAAGCAATTTTAAAATTTCTCAATCTCTTATATCAAAGAAATGATTTATTACATTTGCATGTCTAAATCAGTTTCATGCAAATACTCAATTTGTATTTAGTATCATTTAAGTTACAGCGTTGCATAATTATAATTTTTCGAAGATAAAACGAGTAACTTTATCGGTGAAAGGAAGGGTCATCGCACTATATCGAATGTAATCGTCGCGTCGTCGTCGTTGTCATCGGTCATCACATCATTGCCATTGCCACCGCATTTACCAGTATATACTATCGTACGAAAAGATCACACATGAAACAGCTGAAAATAATGAAACATAAATATGCAACTAAACACATGTGTACACATGCATTTGAAGTCATTTTGTGTGGCAGCAAGCAGGTTGCGTCTGTTACGAGCTACAAGAAATTATATTTAATTATGCATGTATACGCTGGTCAGTTTTCCTGGCACGCGGCCATTTTATATTCTATCTATTCATGCTGAGTGCATAAATTTGATATATTGATGTGCAGGAAAGGAAATGACCGGTTCAAGGCCACTTCGATTTTGATATCAGGGTGAAAGACATTTTCAGGGTTTTTTCTTTGTAGGTTTTCATCGAACGCGAATCACGTCTATTTTTTTATAATATTGATATTTGCGTTAATGACGTGCGGTGACCATATTAGGCAGTCGTGCAAAGTGGTTCTTTCTAATAGTTATAATTTCTTTTAATGGTATAGCTAGGTGTCTCAAGGTTATTGGCACATTCTCAGTTTGTATTTTATTCTCGTTCTGGAACAACTACGTTATTGATATTTCATACGACGAAAAAAAACCTGTAACCGTATTAATCATAGCTAAATTACCAGAAGGTCTACTTTAATCTAATCAATGTTTCCGTCAAAGTACAATAGATAATCATAATAAGGCTTACGCTCTACAAAACAAAATATTAACTTTAATTTTTAAGTACTACTTGAAAGGAATTAAATAATTAAATAATAATTTAATGCTTGTTTTTCTTGTTAAAGATTGGAGCATCATTCCACTTGACCAAAGTGTTTGTCCACCTGGTGGATTTAAACACGATACGACCCTTTGGCGGGCAAGCCGCCGATGCACCACAGTGTTTCACCCCTAATACCAGTCTGCGGAAGAGTTTCTCGCGGGCAGAGAGACCCGTTTCCCTGGTGAATCGACTCGATGTGAAGACTACCATCGAGGAGAGCACGTCAGGGACTGATCCGGAGGAGGAATCAACGGCGGCCATTACGAATCAAGTCGATTACGAGGAGATTTTTCGACCTGGACGTGCACGTAAGTTGATAAACTATCAGAAAATTTACATTCCATAGCGTAAAATAACTCTAGGAAGTTCAGCAATGCACTAGTGTAGTATTAATGTGGCAGGTGATTCGTATTCGCGATTCAGTACCAATTTTGGAAGAAATAATCAAAACCGCGCTATCGAGACGGAATAAATACAATCGCGAATGGGTAAGATTGACGCGTGTGACGAATGTGTTTCGGATATCAGAAAAACGAGCACACGACGAGAACAAAGCATTCTGGTGGTAGTTAAAAAATGATGACAATCACAATGATTGACGTTCACTTAAATTGCCTACTTTGGAACACCGAAAAGGAAGTGCAGTACATGCTACAAGAAATAGAAAACAAAAGAATGACGAATGACAAAAAATCGCTGGTAATCAAAGTCAAGAAAGTTATTTTTTTGTTGAATTTAATAGCGTGTAATTCACTCAGAAGTTTATATTTTTTTTTTTTCAATTAAAATTTAAAATTATAAATACTATATCAGATTAAGTATTAAGTTGTTTTTTTTTGCATCATTAAAGTTGGTAAAAATCATGGGAAGTTGAAATTATAGAATTATTTGATAATTTTGCGCTTTGAGTTCAAAACTCTCGGAACGGAACTTTAATGTACTCGTATGGTGTCTGTAGTATCCGACCAAAACATACATTTACAAAATATTACAATATTACAAGGAATAAAATTTAACGAGCTTTTGTAATTAATTTTTTGCTTGCTCAAAAGCTAGTATGTGTCGATTTCTTCAATAATATTTGCGATTTTATTTTAAAGAAAGGAGGAATGTTAATAATGCGCTTTAGCGTTTTCTCTGATTCAATTATTTAGCTATAATTATGATTGAATCACTATACCTATTATCATCTCTATTTTAACAATCTTTAAGTTATAATTTTTTATATTTTAATAGTTATTCTTTTATTTTGGGCGCAGGCTAATCCAACAAATCATGGATCATCAAAATCTCTTCAGTCCTTCATGAGTAACAAACACGAGTTTATTTTATACATAGACAGATTTTTGAATTTCAATTTTTTCATTTTTTAAAATTTTTTTAATAATGTGGTTTGGTCGGACACTAATTTTACCAACGCCAAAAATTGTACATAATTTGTCGGATTCACCCATCGTCGTGGCTACGACCAACGAACACTTTGGCTGGGTGAACGAACTTTGCATAGAGGTGCACACAACACACACACTCACCAGCAATCGGTTGTTGGGTGCTGTACCTGGGGATCTTGCAGTCAAACTCAATTATTAACATAAAACAAAAATTAATAAAACACAGAATGGGAATGTTAATTTGAACAGGTTTATTGTATGCATATTGAGTATTCAGTAGGTGAAATAAGTGTTTTTGCGGTTGGTTTATAATCTTTCAATGAGTTAACTAAAATAGTATAAAAGGAAGCTTGAAAATTATCGAAGATATTGAAAAATGTGCGAAAATATGAATGTATCTTTAAATGACACCATATAAGTCAATATTTACGCACGTCGTAAGTTTTTAATACTTCCTTATCTATTGTTTACAGTTTTTGTCGCGCATGTATGGTTCGGCTAAAAAAATATTATAGCCACGAGATTATAATTAAAAACAAACCTATTATCAAGGAAATGAGGAATACACACGTGCGTAGATTGATTTTATTGTTTTAAGTGCTAAATTTATACGATTTATTGTGCAATTTTTTTATAAACTGCAAAAAAAGTACGTTTTGTGGATGAGTTTGACGAAAAGGTCGTTTCAAGGAGATGCGCGTTACTAATCGTTTTCCAAATACGGTTGGCGCTCACACCATACAATTTTCCATGCTCTTTATTATAATTATAAACAATAAGATTAAATTAAATTTTGCCGACACAAAGTGAGTCAGAATAAAATAAAGTCTTGAAAAAATCATTAAATTTCAACGTTTACGACGTTTGTGGCCGTTTTTTACGTTTCTACACCACGCAGAAACATATTTTTTATCTTGATAATTTCGTATTTTTATATTTATTCAGGTCAAGTTTAACTGTCGTGACTTTCGGTCTTTACTTCAGACGTGAATTTTCGACGTGTGAACCGAATTTAATCAGCTCTGGCGTCTATTGAGGCTAAATTAGTCATTTATAATTTAGTGTGTGTGTATATACAATACGCTTAATGTGGATGTTAATGAATTGGAGAGGATGGGAGTGGATAATGAACAGAAAACACCTTCGAATATAATTTGTCGAAGTGTTGGTTTTAATTTGAACAGTTGTTTGAAGTGGTCACTTTAACGAAATCGCAACCGGAGAACACATTATAATGAGAAGTATTCGAGTGTGTTTTGTGTTTGTTTGACTTCTCTATGATGTTGAAGCCAAGCAAGGACCTTGGAGCAACGTAGGTGGTTTGCTTAATTAATAGTTAAGACGTGTTTTTTGCGTTGCGTAAAATCAATAAAAATCAGAAACAAGTAAAACTTACATTCAGAGAAAACAGTTGTTGTATAATCATTGAATATATAAGTTTTAAGTGTTTTTGTAGAAAAATATTTAAAAATAATGTTATATCTATGTAAAACAAAGAAGTGTTAGTTACAACAGTTATAGCTTAAGAACGACAGAACAGATTTTGATTATCTATGATTTGTTGGATTTGTCTCCTTTTCTAATAGCAGAATAACTATTAAAATATTAAAAATTATGACTTAAATGGTGTTAAATAAGGGATGAAAGTTGGAATTTAATTAAATCATAATTATTGCTGAATAATTGAATTCCAGATGGCGCTACAGTGCGTTATTACCATTTTTCAATTCTTTAAAATTAAATTGGCGAATTTTATTGATAAAATCGACACATACTAGTAAAAATTAATCACATTTTTTAGTAAAAATAACGGGCGCAAAGTTGCAGTCTAAAATAAGTATTAAACGGATATTTTAAGCAAAAATTGTAAAATGAGTTAATTTTAATCGATATCAAGAGCTCAGATCGCAGACGCAGTTAGTTTTTACCAAATTACAATTTTAATATAATATAAAAGTGTAAGTCATGTCCATTCGATCGTTTTATGAATGCATATTACGAAATGCGTTAAAAATCTGCTTTTTAAGTTTTTTTATTTTTTATTTATTTTTACGACTTTATGCAAATTCTGCTTCTGATTGAAAATTGATGTGAAATAGAAAGCAAGTGACCTTGCAGCGCGTAGGTGGCAAACAGACTGGCACATTCTTACTTTTTACCTGCACGATTATTGTAAGTTGAACAATCGTAAAATAATGACATAATTCACATATGTGCAGCGTATACTCTTTTATTGCGTTTCTAGCAATGACATTTTTCTCGGCAATCGCAAATCTTTTGGCGTTTGCAACCCACGATCATTGTGTGCTGTTTGCATTCGACGCGAATACGAATACACGTAATTTATGATTTATGCGCGCACCTGACCGACGTTTATTCGAATTTAATTAATTTGCCTGTAAAATTCTCAATTCCAAGCACGTACACACGTTGCATAATCATTGCATACTTTTGTTTTTGCTTCAATGCGAAATAACATGTTCCACATGTGCTACTATTTGAATTATTAACGTTTTTTGTTTGTTTGTTGCAGTTGTGCGAACACCGCCACCGCCAACAGAACCACAAAGTATTCTAGATGCACAAATAGAACACGATGTAAATGAAGATGGAAAGATTCTAGATCCACAAATCCTAGAACACTCATTCGAAGCATTATCACTAGACCATAATATTAACTACAGCAGAGGATCACCGCCACCGACTCCGCCGAATACTGCAGCTTACGCTCGCTCAAAATCCAACCTTGATCAAGTTTATTCCAATCGAGGACTATCAAAGAATGATCAGAACAAAGCGAAGTCAATGCAACCGCCACGATACCAGCTTCAGCGACAGAGCAGCTGCAAGGATGGCACTGCAAACAGCAACAATAAACAAAACAGTAAGAGTAATAATATTCGACATAGTGTGTCGGAAGTGAATCTCAACAAGAACTCAGCCGCACCGCAACAAACGCGGAATAATCTGCGTAAGAACTCCTTTTCGAAGATCAGTAACAATCAGAATAGCAATTCTAATCTGTCGAAGATCCCTATGACGAGTAGGCAGGTTGCCAATGATGTGAATACTAAACCAATGAACATTTTCAACTCGGAGCCTGTGGATATCTACGTTAAGAACAAATTGTCACCGGATGAGGAGGTGCGAACGAAGGATTTTATTCCTGTTAGTATCGATAGGCCTGTTGGACTGCAATTTGATGACTTTTTACCAGTAAGTATTTGAAATATTTTAAGTTAAAACAGATTTTTGTAACAGTTTGTATGTTTTTAGAAAAATCATGATTCCTTCTCAAGTCCACCAACGCAAAACATGTCGGAGGCGGAGGTGTTGAACATTGTGATGGGCGGCCACGATAATATGTTGAAGTTGTTATACACCCGAGAGCGGCATCTGCAGCTGGTTGCAAAGCAGCTCGAGCGGGACGTCAAGATGGGGCTGGAATTTGCGGCGAACCTCAATGATTTGGCTGTTATTGTTGATATTTTAGGTGTTATTAATCATAAACAGTACGTATTCACATCAAAACTTATAATTAATCATCTTAAAACTATATAAATTTATTTTTTAGTTCTTTATGGAGTTTAGACTCTTGTGTTCTTCTGCTGCCAAAGATCGAAGAGTTAATTGAGAGTAAATTTGAATCGTAAGTTAAATGTAGTCATAACCATTGATTATTTTGACTTTTACTGTTATTTTTAGATATATGACGACAGGATGTGATTCGCTCCGTTTAATCCTTCGAAACTTTGGTTCCGTAATCAAAACCAATTCGCAGTACGCGGCGGGCAGCTTCGGCGTGGATATCTCGCGCGAGGAGCGCCATCAGCGAGCGTGCATGTGCGCCGAATTCCTCGAGGGCATACGGCTAGTCATTTACAAGAAGCAGGCGTACACGGGCAAAGTGGGCAACGCGTTCAAGGAGGTGGCTGAATTGTTGCAGAGCACTCTCGACTGATCTACATTGTTCATCTACGCATGAGAGTTTTCAATGAAGTTTAACACTAATCACAATTAAACGACTACTAAGATCTCTAATTCTTGAAGGAAACTTTAACATATTAAAAACCAACTATTACTACTTTTAACTCAAGAAATTTACTATTAGATAGAGAAGTTATGAAATTGCATAAAACTCAACCGAATGTGTATTAACTTGTAAATTTTCTAAAAATCAAGGACTGAGCAAGTGTTTGAATGAGTTGAGAAGCTGGGGAAAGTGAAAATCAGATACATTAACATGTGATTTATGATTAACTAGAACTAATAAGATTGATGAGGGTCACTAAACAATTAGTTAGGGTTTTAAAATGTAAAGAAATGCAATCTTTAACTTATTCGTAATTTTTAATCAACAAAGATCTGCCCTGTCTTATTTTAAACTGTAATTTATGTTGAACATCGAAAATTTTATCTTTGGGCCCAGAAATGGGTAGAAAAATCACGAATGCTTCCGATTGTTTTGTCTTACAATTGATATTTCGTCGGTTTCATAACTAACAGCAATAACTTCATAATCATTAGTCATGTACACCAGGAACTGGAATTCCGTCCATTATTCTAGTTCGTACTCTCAGTAACCAATCCTGTAACAAATTGTAGCAGTATTTTCGTACGTCACTTGATATTGGACCCAGTCATTAGACATCACAACTGTATTATAGAAATCAAACTGATTGCGCCTAATGGGAGTGGTGGAGAGATGAAATTAGTTTTGATATGAATTAGTAACAAATGTAAACGAATGTATTATCACTCACACATCATTGTAATCAAGACCGCGAGTCGATCGCACATAGTCCAAGTGGAAATCGTGACGTTATTTGTACTTTTTACCATTTGCTTGCCTTAAGTTAACAATTTGTGAAATGTAATTGAGTCGTTATGACCAGAAGACACACACATACACACACACATAATTTAGTGCCATTTTGTGATTTTGTTTGTTTTGTTTTTTTAACTAGTGTTTATTTAAATTAATTGATTAACTTGTATTAAAGTACTCCTAATTATAGTTTTACGTTTCGAATGCAAGCAAATGCAGGTAATGATCACAAGGATGAACAAATAGACAGAAATAAACTAATGAAATTGAATGAAATCTACAAAACTGTATTGTCAGTGGTCAGACATCTGAAATCTGATCTTTTGTGGTTTGATTTTTATTCCAGAGATGTAAAATGTGCGATGTGTAACAAATTAAAAGATGATTATTTATAAATTAACATTGTGCTTAATTCTGAGATCTTGTACATATCCTTTATCACCCGAAACATGCTGCAGACAATTTTTGAATTTCTTTTCAGGCAAAAAACAGCTTGTATCTCCTGAACCAATAAAGTTATTATGGTTATATCATTGTCATATGATAGTTTGGAGAATCCCTTAACAATATGCGCATCTTGTCAGCCCTTAAATGTTTTTTTTAGATACCTACAACTGAGAATGGAAAATATTACATATCTTCTATCTACTTGTACAGTATTTTAGAGTATCTCATCGTCATAAGATATCTGGAGAGTCCTTTAATTACTAATGTCCAATTTTTTGGTTGAAAAACAGGGACAAAGTTTTCATTTTAAATTATTTTTGGACGAAAGTCAGGGTCGAACTTTTTTTAATTAAAATATTACCTGCCGAATGACAGGGTCGAACTATTTTAGTAAAATATTTTCGGTCGAAAGTCAGGGTCGAACTTTTTTTGTTTGAAATATTACCAGTCGAAAGACAGGGTCGAACTATTTGAGTATATTATTTTTGCTCGAATAATTTTTCATTAAAATTAATTTCGGTCGAAACAAAGATTTCATCATAAAAAAGTCAAATCTTTTCTCTTTTTTATAATCAAAATTAAAAGTTAAAATTTTAAACTTTTGTTAACGGTTTTCATTAGAGTTATTAATTCTTATCATTTATCTTAGAAACCTATTAATCTCTCATTGTTTATTTAGACCCTAAATTTGATTTTAATTTATTCTGATTCTGCATAGTATTTTAGGTATATCTTTTAAACCGTTAGCCAAATAACAAAAATCTATTAAAATAATTTGTTAAGAAAGTTGTACCCTATTATAATTAACAATAAAAAGTTTCACTTTCTTAATTTATTGAAAAGAATAATTAACTGATAAAAATTTGGTGGAGGCGCTGGCATTTAGTAGTGCAAATAATTATAAAAAACTAATCAACACACTGTGTAAAGAAGCTTTTAATTACCTTATTAACCAAACTTTTTACATAATTCTACTTCCGGTTTACCCTGTAGGTGAATTTAAATGCAACGTGTATATCCACCGAAACTTAAATACCAATTATTCCAGAAACTAATTAAGATAATCAAAAACGGAAAACAGCCTTTTATTCAGATGAAAATTTTTAATAAGATGACATTAAAAAATTTATATTTTTTATGTAGTGAAAACCGATTTTCCAACGCAATTTTCTCGGATCCTATGCAAATTATAATAAAAATTTTTGCATTTTCTTCATGCCATAATAAGAAGCTACAAAATGGCAGATTTAGTTTTTTGCTTCTATGAAGTTGACGAAAACAACTCAAAATTACTCAAGAGGTTACACTTGATGATTTTTTGACCTAAAAATTATTTTTTATGCTAGAGCAAAACATATCTAGTCAGTTTTCTGATAACACCAGTATTTCGGAAAAACCGGGTGAAAATTGGAACAGAGCAAATTGAACCACAACTCAGATTTTCATGAAATTTTCCAGTCTAGTCCAGAATTACGCAAGGAACTCACTAATCCAACTTTTGTTTTGATATCTTAATTGGTTTTCTAGTTATTGACCATTTTCATTTATTATGTAAGTATCGAAAATTTAAAATTTTAAAGTGCTATACAATGTAAAATTTTGCCCTGTAAACGAATCCGAAAACAATTTTTCTTTAACTCTAATGGTTTGCAAGAAAAGTGCGATAAACTGAATTTTTAATTTTCTTCACCATTTCTTATATAAAAAATAAAAACTTAAAATTTATAGTTTTTATTGTTGATTCCATAAGAACATGTGATTTTAAGTTTTTTATCTTAGTAACATTTTGTAATTTGTGTTAGGGTTTAGAAGATATATGATAAAAACTATGTAAATGCATTCACAATAAATAAAGTTATTACAATGCACGCTAGGACTTAGACAAAGAATGCTTGACAGAAAATTTAGTAAGAATTAGTAAATAATTCTTTTAGAATTCACAAGCAAAATTCAAAGTTTTAAACATAAATTTATATTATATTAAAATAGAAAATATTTTATTCAAAAAAGATCGACCCTGTTTTTCGGCCGAAAATATTTTATTCAAAAAGTCCGACCCTGTCTTTCAACCGAAAATATTTTATTTAAAAAAGTCCGACCCTGTCTTTCATCAGAAAATATTTTATTTAAAAAGTGCGACCCTGTCTTTCAGCGGAAAATAAATAAACCAATTTTAAACAAAATAGGTATTACACAATTGACATTTTAAGGCAATTCCTAGGTGTTTAAAGGGTAAAAAAGGAACAAAAATTATAAAAAGCATCTTTAACTACTAAATAATTGAGACAACTTCGAAATTGTTTTATTAATACAGTAGATACAGGGTGTTTTCTAAATCAAGTTTAAAAATTTGAGAAAAATAACAATTTAACTGGCATTTCAGGGCACTTGTCTAGGGTATTGGAAGTGCAAATGAAGGGCATGCCCTAAAAGAACTCCCCAGCTACAAAGAAACATTATGAAACATATTAAATTCACTTGTTAAATGATATATAACTTACATCATGTTAATAAAGTGCAATTTCACAGTATCTCCTCCCCCACAAAAGGATCAAAACCTCCAACCTCACAAAAATCTACCCTTTTGTACATTATATCCGTGACAACTATCAATCACACCAGTTTATGTTTTACAAAAACTATACTATACTCCCTTCAACCTCAAATTTTGCACGTGTGTACCAAAATTCTCAAGAGTAACTTTTACACTCTTATCCGGTACTGAAGACCACCCTCATTAAATCGAACATCCCTTTATACACCACGTTGCACTGTCTACTCATGTGTGAACTAATTTGAAACTTATTAACATGACACGCTTTGTTATCATAATGCATGACATGTAGTCTACAAAACGTATCAGTAGTGAGTGCTTACATGTTGTGACGAACTGAGACTCGTTACTAGTAGCTTTTTATGTTGATGAGGACGATGATGAGGAAAAGAATAAAGAAACGATTGCGTGGTGCGACCACCCATGTCGAGACAAGTTGACGCGACACGTGCCGGGATAATCCCAGGTTAATTGGAAGTTTTCGACAAGGCACATGGTATTAAATCAGAATTAATATCAAACATCAAATGATTTGGGTAAATTTTTTACATAAAAATAGTTTTGTTGTCTCATATAACTGAAAATGGTATCAATAATATGAAAATGAATCGCAAAATCTGTTGGTAAGCGTATAACTCAACAACGCATAGACGAATTTGACCAATTCTTTTTTTTTAATGTTTGTTAAAGTCCAAGGATGGTTTTTACGGCGAGAAAAATTTGAATAATTGCTGGAAAAACCCCAAAGACAGCCTTTTTCTATAGGATAAAAGCTGGCATTAAGATTCAATCCGAGTTATAGTTAAATAGTTGAATCCGAGATGGCGCGCTGATGTGCATTATTAGCAATTCTTTATATAATTAGTTTCTTTAAAATAAAATTGTGAATTTTATTGATAGAATTGACACATACTATGTCTATAACAAGAAAGTAAAAAACGAATTACATTTTTATTAAACACTACCGGGACGAAGTCACGAGCAAAAGATAGTTTTTCATAAATTTATTGCAATTTTTACAAAAAATATGCAATAATGAGCGAAATCAAAATTTTCTTTATTGAATTCCTTATTAAATCCATCAAAAAACATCTCACAAATAAATTTAGGTATATTATATTACAATAGAAATAATTAACAAACAGCTTTAAAATTGCTAGAAAACTTAATATTTTAACTGTTTCACAACTTCTTTACATTCGCGTCAATAAACAACAATTATATTCGTCTCATTCACATAGAAACAACTGTTAATAGCCATCAGACCGGGTGTAGTTTCTATATTTGCTCACAGGTTTAACGCACCCCTATCATTTACCTAGATATGAATCTTTGGTACCCTTTTATTTGCCCAACTCTTTACTCTTTTTTATTCCTGCATTACCCCGACATTGAGACATTTACGCGTTTAATATCTATCGTAAATACATGTGTACACAGTCGTTTTTTCGGATGGATATCTTTATGTAAATGTCAACGTCCACAACGCTTTTATTCAACCCCTTTTAAGAGCCAAAGCAGATTCATTTGCCTACAGCCCGCGGCGTGGCTTTGGCTTTAGCTTTAGCTTTTGTCACGTTGATATTCAAATAGGTTTAAATTTATACATTTAAGACTTACAGACATATGCATAGATTTAAAATGCGAAATTTGACTAAGGTATTAGCTGCTTTATTCATATTTACAGTTTAAATTTTGTATTATTTTGTTTTTCACCTGTATTTGCTTAAAAAAATTATTTTTGAGCAAAACTGATATAAATATTTTTTTAAAAATTTTTGAAAATTTTATCATTTTGCCATTACATAATTTATAAAATAAAAGTGAATCGCAAAATTTGTTAGTAAGCGCATAACTCAACAACGCCCAGACCAATTTGGCTAATTCCTTTTTTAAAATGTTCGTTTAAGTCCAAGGATGGTTTTTACGGCAAGAAAAATTTGAATAATTGCCGGGAAAACCTTAAAGACAGCCTTTTTCAATAGGATAAAAGTTGATATTGAGATTCAATCATAGTAATAGTTAAATAGTTGAATCCGAGATGGCGCGTTGAAGTGCATTATTAGCAATTCTTTATATAATTAATTTCTTTAAAATAAAATTGTAAATCTTATTGATAGAATTGACACATACTATGTCTAAAACAAGAGAGTAAAAACGATTTACATTTTTATTAAACACTAACGGGACAATGTCACGGGCAAAAGCGAGTATTTTTTTGAAATTTTGAAAATTTTAACATTTTTACTATTAATTAGTAATATTTTATTAATTTAATCTCAATTCTTTTGTCCGATTAATAATTGAATTTATAACATCAATTTATTTCACTTTCGTTATGGTTTTGTACATAGTAATCCGTGCTAAATGCAAATGAAGCCTGACGAAATCTTTAACACATAGATTTAGGGTCAGCTCGAAATTTGCGATAGCATCGCAGTTTGCATCTCATTATCCATGTACCCTATGCCTATACCTATTGACGCTTTGAAAGAATTCAAAATTGAAACTATAAACTACTGAATAAAACACAGCTACCCTTCGCCGCTTCGACAGATTGGAGTGATTAACAACCTTGAATATTCTAGGCGGCGCGCGCCCCCGAAGGGCACACGTGTTCCAACTCGTATGCAAAACGCGACATGCACGCTTCGACACTTGTTAAAATGCAATTATCGCACGATGGGCACGCTTATTAGAAATGCCGCGCAAGTGCGCGAATGATATGCAAAATAAAACAGCTGTTCACACCCATGTCAAGGGAGTTATAACTTTAGTCATTATACTAATTTGACGACAAGTGTTAGCTAATTTAATTTTTTTTCAATGTGAGTTTAAAAATCACACAAAAAAGTGTTTAAGTTATGTAATAATTCATAATATTTTGTTGTTTCTTATCACTTTGATAAGAATAATCAGTAATGTAATAATTGACGGGAAACATTCGAAACTTCCGGTTCCACGTTGATTCCAAATCCAAAAATATTCACACTGTGCTTTATAAAAGCACTGAGAGTATTTAGAAGTAATGTTTTGTAGTGATTTATGCATGACATTTGTCCCTTGAGACTTCAGAGACTTCAGACTCGTAGAGTCGCCGAAATATTCCTTCCTTCCTCCAAAAATAAGCATCGACGACAAAAGCTTCTTAAATTTGTTGACAACATTTTAACGATTGTAACTCTTTCATTTTGAAACACTAATTTTAATAGGTTTTTAAGTCGCTCTTTATATTTTCCGAAATTCTCCTTCGTTTTACAGCTTATTTTAAGCTGTTAAATTATAAATTGACATACATTGACAGCTGGTTAGCTTTTCCACTAGATTTGAGAACAAACCATTTTCAAACCCTTAAACATGTCTGCCGGCTAGAATAAATTGAAAGTTATTAGTTTTTTTCGACTTGATTGCGCATCATGTTCAACTCGGATGAGTTTAAACTTGCCTCGAGAATAAACCCTTCGTGTACGGCAACATCATTAAATATACAATACCTAGGTTAACGCCAAGCGTGCAACCCTTTTTTCGAGCCGGTGAATTTCGCAGGTTTTGAGGTGTTTTGTGTCTGTTTAATGGCGCGTGAACATCACGCCGTGGCTGATTGGAAACACCGATTCGGTCGTGTAAACTTAGTTTAACGTCAACTGTTACCAATTATCAAATCACACTCTTATAAAATTAAAATTAAAAAAAAATAATTTTTATTTTTTTATTTTGAGTTCTACATACCTATACAACATTTGTTAGAAGATTTAATCCAGGAAATAGTATTTATTACTTCTAACACCCGTATTATACTCGTTCCTATATCATATTCAATAATATCATACATTTTGATGCCATGAATGATGAAAAGAAAAAGGGATTATGACGTTTGTATGAAAACATTCTATTCAGCGCTATTTTCCAACAGCTTTCAGCATGATTCAGACATAAATAAAGGCGTCACGTTCTCATGTTCACTTTGGAGGTTATTATTAAATGTTAAGGGACAATTTTAGGCACTCAACGGTCTATAGGTATCACATTCAAGGTGTCTCGTTACACATTTACACTCTTTGCTATGTTATTATGTCTGATTAGCTTTGATAAATAGAATAAAACAGTAATCATCGGATTAATATAAAATATATTATTAACATAACCAAACTTATGTCTATAATCCTCTGAATGTAGGTAGGCTATATATAAGGTCAAATTTAAAAAAATAAAAATTTATTTGTATTTTAAACTAGCTTTTGTCCGAGACTGCGTGTTTAATAATAGTGTTTAATAAAAATGTAATTCGTTTTTACTCTCTTGTTCTAGACATAGTATGTGTCAATTCTATCAATAAGATTCGCAATTTTATTTTAAAGTAATTAATTATATACAGAATTGCTAATAATGCACTTCAGCGCACCATCTCGGATTCAACTATTTAACTATAACTATGATTGAATCTCAATGCCAACTTTATTCCGATAGAAAATGGCTGTCTTTATGATTTTCCCGGCAATTATTCAAATTTTTCTCTCCGTAAAGACCATGCTTGGACTTTAACAAACATTTATAAAAAAGAATTGGCCAAATTGGTCTAGGCGTTGTTGAGTTATACGCTTATCAACAGATTTTGCGATTCATTTTTATATTATAGATTTTAATTTTACTTACATGAAACTTATGTGATCACTCATTCTTCCCCCAATGTATGTAATACCCTCATTTGTAAAGTAATTAACGATCGGTGTCGGGCGTAATATCGCCTAACAAAAGTGAAACCCATTCAACAGTCAGACATGAAGCTTGAAATTGGAACATAATGCAAAGCACTGTGTGCGCGCTATTAACAACTAAGCGACTGGTATTTATTTAACTAATTAGTGCCCTGCTTTGTACGATTACTGCGACTGCAATCGCATTGTGCGCAACAAAAGCGTGCGTTCGAAAAGCGCCGAGCTTACAAATCGTGTGGGTGGATGCGGATATAATGGCACGTATAACAAGCGCACGAACGCAGTGAATAAATAGGTAACGACTAGTTATGCTGTCGAACGATTAAATAAACAATAGCAAGCAGACTACTGACTACTGCAGTTAGGGGGAAGTTAAATTTGTTTGGCAGATGATGGAAATCACAATTGACTTTTCGATTTTGGATTTTGCAGTTAACTTTTGTTTTTTAATGTCTAGACGCAGTCAGTATTGATTGCCTGATTGATTGACAGTGTATTGAGGAAATAATTGTTTAATTTTTCACATGCAGTCATTTTTATTAAAGTACTTTGTTTTAACATATCACATCACATCAAAATTGTATTTTTTACTTTAAAAACAGATAAATATAAAGATAAATTGCTTTGCTTTAATATTTATGTCATCCGTCGCTCGGTTCTGAAAAATAAAAACATTTTAATTACTATAAAAGTAAAATGAAGTTCAAAAAGTAGGTATGTAGCTAAACTATCAATTTAACAAGCTGCGCTTGATTGATTCATGACAATCGAAGTGAAATACGTTTTCGGAAACGTTTGAGTAGATTTTGAAAACGAGTAAAATGTGATTGTTGTGCATTTGAACGTTTCTACTTTTCTTATTTTCACTGATTTTAACCTGGCCACGTTTTTTCTTCACTCCAAATTCGTAAATCGATGACAACTGAAGCAGAAATCGCTATTGTTTGACGCATCGTTTGTCGCATGTCGCACGAACTGAAAGTGTGCAAACGTCCGCAAAGAAACGTAACAAAAGTGTAGGAAAACATGTTAAAAGTGCGCTTAAATGTGTCGCTTACCTTACGCCTGTTTAACCTTTCACAATTCGACAATTGTGCAATTTTAATGTATACCAAGAAGTAGAAAAAAAAAAGAAAAAAAACACAAACAAACAAACCAGTAAAAATAAATACATAACCTCACTTTAAAACTAGTAAAATGAGTCAAAAAGTAAGCGTAGAAACAGAAAATTTAGCTACAAAATAAATCATTCCTTCCTAGAATACATAAGTATCCCAAAATCTAAATTGAAACATTCATGTTCAGATGACTGTGCTGTGTGAGTTGTAATATTAGGGCGCCGACAATAAAGGCACGAAATTGGTGATTTTACCTGCGCGATTTTTGAGAGCCCTCCGAACAGCCCCTCTAAACACGGGGCAAACACGTCAATTCTCGTACGAGGTGATACCATTGAACAACATCAGAAGGAAAAAAATGAAAAGAAAACGTTTCAACGTTTGTGATTTGTGATGTTTGTCGACGGATGATATTTATATCCATTACTTCCATTAGTTTGCTTTCTTCAGCGCCTTCCTTTGTTGCATTAGTGTCAAGTTTAAATCTAACATACCTGTTGTATATGATATTTGATATATGATCGCATACTTTTGTTGATTTTTGGAGGATTTTCTAAATAAAAATACAAACAAACTATTTATTCAATCAAAATCAAAAGAATTTGAAAAAAACGCAAAACAAGCAAAATATAATTATGTCATAGTCATAATACAAAATAGTGTACATACAGTGTGTTCTGTTTGAGTATATTTTGATTCTTTTAATGTTTAGAGTGTAGAGTCGCACACGACTCAATTATATGCAGATTATTTACAAGTGAGTGACAGGGGTGCACTTAATACGCATTCATTTCCATACTGAACACTTTCAGCCGTGCGCAGCGATGCATAATGAACATATTTGCTTCTGTTTGTCATGATACGATTGCTCATTTCTTCTTAACCTTTGTAGGTACTCATATTTTAAGGTAAAACAAGTATAAAATCAGTAAAAATCAGTAAAAATAAAAAAGTACAAATATTAGGTTATGTTATGGTGGTGTGAGTGGGAGGCCTATCTGTAGGGGCAAACCATGCCTTGGTGGTATGTGGCATCGTGCTAGAGATGCTCCATGATGGTTGTGATGGCTATGGTGACTGTGATGCCCGACGTGGAGGTTGCTCTGCATTCGTAGCTGCAAATGAAAGTATTTTGTTTAAAACAATCAATTTAACTTCAATGTTAATTAAAATGTTGATATCGGACGGCCGGGTGAATAAAAACTAATAAAAAGGGATGCTGGATGGGAAAGGGTGAATTGGGTATTGGTGTATCGGGTGCAAACGCGCCCCCTTGTTCCGAAAAGGGCTACGGAGGGTTTGCGATAGCGCATTGTGAGCGAATTAAATTCACTTAGAGGAGATTTACGTCAAACGATCTGGACGTGTAACGCACGGCGTTTTGATATCCCCTTAAGTCTTTAAATTCCTCACGTAATTGAATTCTTTAAATTACAATCAACAAATAAACAAATTTTAAAATATCAAAGAAAAACATTGAAGTTTTAATTTTGAATCTATAATATAATATGAATTGCAAAATCTGTTGGTATGCGCATAACTCAACAATGCCTAGACCAATTTGGCCAATTCTTTTTTTTAAATGTTCGTAAAAGTCTAAGGATGGTTTTTACGTTGAGAAAAATTTGAATAATTGCCCGGAAAACAGTAAAGACAGCCCTATTCTATAGAATATAAGTTGGCATTGAGAATCAAAGATAGTTATTGTATCCCTATAGTCTTTAGTAAAAATGGGTATAGATTATTTACGAATATGTTATTTTTGGGGTAAAATCCATATTTCATCCCCTTGCTAATATTCAAAACACATGTCGCATTATATGCGATATTTGCCAACAAGCAATCAGAAGGAAATGCCAACAATTTTTGACGTCTAAATGATGCCGCACGAGGCGATGAAGCGTCACACGTCGCAAGGGATGTGAAATCTGTATGAAAAGTCGGCGCCGTTTGTTCCGCTCATTGTCGAGAAGGGCGATGTTTGATTTATGTGCGCATGCAGAGTACGAATTTTATTATTCTTGGAATGAATGCAATGAAAAGAATGCGATGTGATGTGAAGTGAAGAGGGCTTATGATATGTTGAATGTCGAATGTTGATATTTATATTTGCCACTTTCGGGGAAAGCAGGCGAACGGTTTTATGAGGGTTGCAAAAGTACCTACTCGGGTTAAATATCTGTGAATAATCGTAGTTGATCCCTGACCAAATCAAACAAAATCACAGAAATAAGGAAAATTATTGTTAAGTCGACAGGGTGAATGAGTGACAAGATGGCATTTTCAAGTAGGATACAAATTAATTAAACATAATCTATTGGCATATATAAAACTAAATTGTGTTAGTTACAACACTTATAATTCAAGAATGGCTGGACAGATTTCGATTATCAATGATTCGTTGGATTCGTATCTACTTCGAATAACAGAATAACTATTAAAATATCAAAAATAGTGGATAAAAAATGTTCAAATTGAAATTGAAATGGCGCTATTGTGCATTATTAGCAAATCGCGCTCTAAAGCTAGTAAGTATTTAATGAACAAATTTCTTTAATTTTTAACAAATTGAATGTTTCGTTTGGCTTGAATTATTTCAAAGTTTAATTTTAAATTCCGTGTAAATCTTCCTGCTGAGGGCACAGAGTTCACCAAAGCTGTACGTCTACCAACCCCTAGTGATGCTTCAATATTCATTTATATCAATGTACAGCATGCGAAGGGAGGCTCCTTCTTGTTCGCTTTTTTGTTTGAGCGATTCGAGCGCGTTCCGCGTGTTATTGCATTCCGGACAGACTTGCTCTTTAATTTAAGGGTCGCGCCCTCCGCATACCCGGGATGCCACCCTCGACGATCATTAGTGACCTTCCGCACAGCAAAAAATCTTTTGTCGCAACGGAACAATTAGTTAAAAAACAAAAATGCATTTTTTACTACACAACGCATTTTTAACTTGCAGCGTGCTTAAAAGTAACATTTTACAAACTTAAATAAAATCAATATATTTTAAACGTTGGTATGTTGGTTTTTTATATGTTAGTAAAATACGAAAATAAAGAAATCGGAAACCGAGAAATCCGTCGCATTCGATGAAAAGAAACGTTTTACAAAATCACCTGTATGAAATCCGAGAAATGCTAAAAAAAATCTTGACCTGCTCTTTTCGAGAATCACTTAAAACTTTTTCAACCTGACCAACGGTCAAATCACCCTCATATACCTTTATCCCTCTCTTTCATTCTCATCCTCATTTCTTTTCTTCTCAAATCAAGATGTTTGTAAAACTTTTTAACTTTACTGAACAAAACATCTTTCCCGTCTAAGAATTTGAGCGTACACTCATTGTTCCATTGTTTATTACGTAATCTAAAGTATAGCACCAAAGAAAGTATTCAGTATTCAATATAGTACAGGTAGGAAAAATCAGAGGGTTTTGATTGATGCCTGGTTGTAACAATGTTTAGCGTTAACGCGATTATTCGCTGCGGATGCGTCGGATGCGTTTGATGAGCATGTGGATTACACGCGAGGATGGAAAGGCCGCAACAAGAGGGCGAAAAAGGGCGTCATAGGTGCATGGCAACTGTAATATGCGTCGGTGTAATATGTTACAGTGCCTATTACTGCCAATCGCTATGATCATCCCCCTAATTTTCATATTATACGCTTCATAAACTGACAATCGCAAAAATACAAAGAATTTTATTTATCAAGATCAGATTTTCGCAAAAAAAAGTTTTTTTAAATAAAAATAAAATTTATATTAAACTAGCTTTTGCCCGCGACTTCGTACCGGTAGTGTTTAAAAATGTAATTCGTTTTACTCTCTTGTTCTAGACATAGTATGTGTCAATTCTATCAATAAGATTCGCAATTTTATTTTAAAGAAATTAATTATATAAAGAATTGCTAATAATGCACTTCAGCGCGCCATCTCGGATTCAACTATTTAACTATAACTATGATTGAATCTCAATACCAACTTTTATCCTATAGAAAAGGGCTGTCTTTAGGGTTTTCCCGGCAATTATTCAAATTTTTCTCGCCGTAAAAACCATCCTTGGACTTTAACGAACATTTAAAAAAAGAATTGGCCAAATTGGTCTAGGCGTTGTTGAGTTATGCGCATACCAACAGATTTTGCGATTCATTTTTATATTATAGATTGTTTGCCTTTAACAAGCAAAAATATGTTTTCAAGTAAAAATCAATCAAAATAATATTTCAGGTTATGTTTATGATGTAATTTCAATAAATCTCAATAAACCTCGTCAAATTCTAGGTGTTTGAGGTTACGTCCGTGCACGCTCTGATGCGCGTGCAAGGCGTGTAAACATTCAGCATTTGTTCGAAAGCATTCATTACACGGTGAGTGCGCCTTGCGCTGTCCGGAGGGTCTCATTACAAGTAGCGATTGCCCGCCCGCTCGGATTGCATTACATTGCATTTCACATTCTATCGCTTCTAATACTCGATGTGTACTTATTTGTCTGCCTCTGTGTGAGAAGCAGCAACCGTGTCAGAAGCGCATGCTATCATGAGCGCACGCCTATAGCAATTTCACATCCAGACACGCACTTGTTCTCCTCTGTTTGCACGAAGGATACGCAGCTATTTGCAGTGCATGGCGACTCCCACGCAGATTTACGCTATTATTTTGCGTAACAACTTATTTTACTTACGGGTGCACTTTTGTGAGTGTCTTCCGGGCATAAAATTAGGATGAATAGGATTAATCGGATTAGGAGTCGTTAGAGATGTGATTTTATATTGAAAAATGTGTGTAAAAGTGCGTAAAATTAGGTTTTTAGTGCAAAAAAATTTTGTATTTTGAAGACAAAATTTCTTATTTATTTAAAAAGTTAGTTTTTTAATTTTTACGGGAAAGTTAAAAGTAATACTTTGAACACTTGTGCGTAAATTTTTAACTTTAAACATTATTAAATATAATTTACTGTCAATAAAAATTAAGATTAAGAAATATTTTTTTCAAAAATGGAAAAGTAACTCACAAGGCTTACCAAATAAAATTTACTTATTTTGAATGTCAAGTATCTATTAATTTTAAAAATTTATACCCCTCAAAATTTCCATTACAAAAATGTTAAAAAAATTACTTTAAACACTAATGCCTAAAATTCCACTTTTAAACATCATATCATAAAATTTACTCACATCCATATCTTGTTCCTGTCTATTCGTTGAATTTAAAAAGCATGGTCCAATTTAGGAAACCGCGCGGTCCAATTTAGGAAACCGGTTTCTTAATTTGGACCAAAAACTAATTTTTAAATTGAAATTTGAGGGGTATAAATATAATTTTTACTTAAACCAAAAATATCATTTTGTTGGTAAGCCTTGTGAGTTACTTTTCCGCTACTTAATTTTTATTGACAGTTTATATGTGGCTCTATAAATCAAAAAATATAAAAATGGTCCAAATATGGCTACTTTCCCCTATATTCTCATTTTGATATTACTTTGGCATAGGTACGACTTAGGGTATCGATGGTACGACTTAGGGTACCGGTTTGTTAAGTCGTACCGTTTACACATTTTTGTTAAATTGATGTTTTACAAAAATATAAACATTTCTGATTAATTTTTCTCATACTAATTAAAGCTATATTAACTAAAGCAGGTGAATATGTCAAAAAACTGACATTATGTTGCAAAACTTTCAATTTAGGGCCAATTGTATTTTAGGGGTACGACTTGGCCAACCTTCCCCTACCTTTATCCCTCTCTTTCATCCGCATTTCTTTTCTTCTCAAATCAAGATGTTTGTAAAACTTTTTAACTTTACTGAACAAAACATCTTTCCCGTCTAAGAATTTGAGCATACACTCATTGTTCCATTGTTTATTACGTAATCTGAAGTATAGCACCAAAGAAAGTATTCAGCATTCAATATAGACTATATAGAGCAGGTAGGAAAAAATCAGAGGGTTTTGATTGATGCCTGGTTGTAACAATGTTTAGCGTTAACGCGATTATTCGCTGCGGATGCGTCGGATGCGTTTGATGAGCATGTGGATTACACGCGAGGATGGAAAGGCCGCAGCAAGAGGGCGAAAAAGGGCGTCATAGGTGCATGGCAACTGTAATATGCGTCGGTGTAATATGTTACAGTGCCTATTACTGCCAATTGCTGCGATCATCCCCCTAATTTTCATATTATACGCTTCATAAACTGACAATCACAAAAATACAAAGAATTTTATTTATCAAGATCAGATTTAAGCACAAAAAAGTTTTTTTAAATAAAAATAAAATTTATATTAAACTAGCATTTGCCCGCGACTTCGTCCGGTAGTGTTTAAAAATGTAATTCGTTTTAACTCTCTTATTCTAGACATAGTATGTGACAATTCTATTAATAAGATTCGCAATTTTATTTTAAAGAAATTAATTAAATAAATAATTGCTAATAATGCACTTCAACGCGCCATCTCGGATTCAACTATTTAACTATAACTATGATTAAATCTCAATGCCAACTATTATCCTATAGAAAAGAGCTGTTTTTAGGGTATTCCCGACAATTATCTGGATTTTTCTTGCCGTAAAACCATCCTTGGACTTTAACGAACATTTTAAAAAAAGAATTGGCCAAATTGGTGTAGGCGTTGTTGAGTTATGCGCTTACCAACAGATTTTGCGATTCATTTTTATATAAAAGATGAGCAGATTATAGCTAAAAGAAATTTTTTAAATAAAAACAAAATCTAAATTTAAATAATTCAACTTTGTAATAAGGAATAAATATTTTTATTAGTTAAAAAATGAATTAAAATAATATTTCAGGTTATGTTTATGATGTAATTTCAATAAATCTCAATAAACCTCGTCAAATTCTAGGTGTTTGAGGTAGTAATTACGTACGGGCACGCTCTGATGCGCGTGCAAAGCGTGTAAACATTCAGCATTTGTTCGAAAGCATTCATTACACGGTGAGTGCGCCTTGCGCTGTCCGGAGGGTCTCATTACAAGTAGCGATTGCCCGCCCGGTCGGATTGCATTACATTGCATTTCACATTCTATCGCTTCTAATACTCGATGTGTACTTATTTGTCTGCCTCTGTGTGAGAAGCAGCAACCGTGTCAGAAGCGCATGCTATCATGCGCGCGCGCCTATAGCAATTTCACATCCAGACACGCACTTGTTCTCCTCTGTTTGCACGAAGGATACGCAGCTACGAGTATTTGCAGTGCATGGCGACTCCCACGCAGATTTACGCTATTATTTTGCGTAACAACTTATTTTACTTATGGGAGCACTTTTGTGAGTGTCTTCCGGGCATAAAATTAGGATGAATAGGATTAATCGGAGAGAAGTGATGAGAGGAGAAGTGATTTTATATTGAAAAATGTGTGTAAAAGTGCGTAAAATTAGATTTTTAGACACGCAAAGTAAAAAATTTGTTAAAGTTGAATAAAAAAAGTAGAATATTTATTTAAAAAATAGTTTTTTGATGATTTTTACTAGGAAAGTGTTAAAAAGTAATACTTTGAACACTTGTGCGTAAAATTCTAACTTTAAACATTATTAAATAAAATTTACTGACATCCATATTTTGTTCTAAAGTGAATAAGACTAAGGAAATATTTTTTTATTAAAAAATGAGTGAAAAAATTCGTAAAATGAAGTTTTTATGCATGCAAAGTAAAAATTTACGTATTTTAAATCTCAAGTTATCCATTAATTTTAAAAAGTAATTTTTCTCAAAATTTCCACAACAAAAGTGTTAAAAATCATTACTTTAAACACTAATGCCCAAAATTCCACTTTTAAACATCATATCATAAAATTTACTCACATCCATATCTTGTTCCTGTCTATCTTGTCGATATCCACGCTGTTTGTCTTCAATTTCTCTCACACGTTGATTATACCTCTCAATCTGCTCCCGTAAAAGCGCATCCTCGGCAGCAGCGCGTTCCTCACAATACTCCAGACACCCGACGCCGTCCAGCCGCTCCAGATCCATCCAGCCACGCCATCGGACGCACACGCCGTTCATGATAAACGTTGATTTGATGTGTACCTTTAAAGAAACAAAAAATACGTATTAACAACCGTCACTTTGCTAACTTAGCAGCAAAGGGTGACCAAATAATCACATCATAAATCCGGGTCATTAATTGTCGCACAAACAAGTTATTAACAAGCGTCCGAACAAAAAACATCCGAATGTCAACGTGTTAAACATACATTTGCTAACAGAATTTTTTTATTTTATTAAAAGGGTGAAGACTGTCCGTATGGGTTTTTGTTGATGAGCGTGGCGAGTTTAAACAATACGCTTTGACAAATGGACACGAAGGTTTAAATTTTATGTTCACGCCCATTTTTTGTCGTCGTGTGCATAAATTACATCTACGAGTCGAGTAAACATTTTAAGGGTGTTCGTGACCCTTTCTAATGAGACCAGTTTCTAATGGAACAATGGAACAAAAGGTAACAATTTCTGACCTGACTTTTTAACTCATTTTTTCAGACTTCATCATGACAAATCGGCTTGTAAACTCATTTTCGAAGAGACAAATAAAAGGGATAATCATCCGGTGCGGTGCTACTTAGTAAAAAGTGAGTCAACGATGAAAAAATATCAAAATACGGCAATTTTGAGTCAGTCAAGGTCGTGTCTGAGGAAATTACGGATCCGATCAAATTGGTCACGTTTTATATTAAAAATTGTAAGTGTAATTGCGTTTAAACATTCTGTTGTTCTTCTGCTCACCGAACAACACATCATTTTTTATATTTTCGAGTGCATCGGTTGATCATTCATGTGTATCAACAGTATTTCACCTCAACGTGTAAGAATGATGTTTGATTCCAGAGGAAATCACGACTTGTTGTGGTTTTCATTCATTGTTTCATCTACAAAACAAAACAAAAAAGAAAGAAAATAAAAAATAAAAAATCTGAGGTTATGCGTAGAAATTTGTTTGATTATTTTATGCATGGCGCCTGTTGTTTTATTTTTAAAGGTTATACAAGCTTGTTACCATATGGCGTCATTAATTTGATAGTTTCGTCGGTTTTTCTTTGATTTCGAGTTGAAATAACGGCGTCGCGGCGCTTTCATTTTATAGCCGGCGCCGGAGTCTACCAAACATCGGTAAACATTACTAGACTTCAATAAATTTGACAGGAATTTAACAAAAAAACAAAAAAAAAATTTTTAGGTTAGAAATGTTCGCTCACGCCATGTTTTCATGTAGCACAAAACCACAAATGTAATTTGACACAAAAAAACTCCACAAATATTTCTGATATTTTACGAAAGGGTTAAAATAATTTAAGTGCCACCAATTGTTGTAATAGTCACAATAAACGTTCAAACGCCTGCGGGGTTAAACGTTTTAACTATAACCTTAAATTTAACTTGAAACTCTACTACAGTTAAAGACATAGCAATTAACGTAGAAGTTTTCGGGTTAAAATTATCCGGGGAGCTTTTAAGTCAGTTTTAAGTTGTGTTTCTCGTGTTGTTTCGCAAGTGCGCAAGTTGTGCATGTTCGAGCAATAAACCAGGTTATTTGTCATAACGCGCGCACCCTTTTTCGGCGCGTTAAAAGGGACTGGCCCTTGTTTCACGTCTAGTTCAAAAGGGTGTGCAGAAGGATGAACATCGCGTATATGACATGAGCAATCTGTGACAACGGGTGTGTGCTTCACACATTAACAAACTGTTCCCTTTTAGAGGAGATAGTGGAGTCATTTTTGGACCAGAACTAAACTGAACTAAATTAACAAAGATAAATCATTGGGTAAACTATAAACATAGTAAGAAATTAATGTTTAGGGAGTAGAAAATTAAAATTTTATATTATGATGTTTAAAAATACTACTTTTTTTAACATTTTGCAGACAAAATTTAAAGAAAAAACTAAATTTTACATTAAATAACCTCAAAATTCATTTAAATCAGTTTTCTATATTATTTTACACCCAATATAAATAATATTTTTTATTTTTGTTTACTGTTATAGCAAGAAATAACATTTTGAACACTTGGATTTTGTGGTCGACGCGGTTTTCCGCTTCCTTCGTTTCGTTGAGGTTTTGCGCATGCGCTTGTTTCTTATCCGCGTGTTGCGCATGCAAATATCAAATTTCCCCGCTCCGCTATCAGTATTAAAGTCAGCGGCTTGACCACAAAAACATAAAAACACGCAAAATAATATAATAAAGCACAATAAAACTTGTAAACTTATTAATTACACTCGCAATTGCAATTATTGATAATCACATATAATTACATTAACTACACAATTATTTGCGCAACTGGAAATCCGATTTAGAGAAATTATTTTATTCTTCGGTTATAAGTTAAATAAAACTATCTAGGAATGTATTAATGTATTACTTACTTTTTTAGTTTAATTTACAAAACTTAAAACAATCACATGCATGATTAACTAAAATCTTCATTCGTCGACGTTGATTATCAGCGTCAGTCATCACTCATCACAGTCAACACTATAACATAAGAATGCAGGCAAGTTGTTAGGTTATATTGAGTTATACTGAGTTAAGTTGAAATTATTTTAGGTTATGTTGGTTAACAAGTGTAATGTTTAGCAAATCGAGCATGCAGCTACCTACATCTGCAAACTGTAAACTGCAACTGTATTTGGAGGAAAAAGAAGCTAATTTCACGTTTAACTGCATTTACTTGTAATTTCAACATGGAACACAGATTGTCCATGTCCTGTTTGAATATTCTAATGTTTGTAACACTGTTCAGTACTCTGTATTCACTGTTGAAGCTAATTCGTCACAGATACTCAATCAAGTGTGATTGTAGACGTGTAGTTGTTCGTTTTGCTCACAGCTTCTGTTTTGCCTCTTTTTTCGGTTTTGTATTGACTCATAGGGTGGTCTGCGAGTCGCCTTCGTTGCGCACGTCACAACGGATTACTTCCGAGCGAGTGCTCCCGCATGCGTTTCCAACAAGCTTTCGATTTCAATTTTACCTTTGCGATCAGTACGTATCTACCTATTATAATGGTACGTTTAGGGTGTAGTTGAAGTCGGTGGAGTTACTCATGTATTACTAAGTGATATCGAGTGATATTGAGCAATATCATCGTGTATCGTGTCACGGTGTCATTTTCAATATATTTTTTTCTGTGTTAGTTTGAGCTTTTACAGGCCTCTTCAGATGTTTATTGATATTATTATGGTGTCGCATAACAGGAAATTTAATCTGGAATTTTTTACCTTTTAGAATTCAGTAAGTCTTCATTAAAATATTCAATAATTATGGTTTTAGTTAAAAATCTATTTTATGTTTAAAAATTTCGTCGTTTTTATGCTGTTTTACGCGTTAAAACGCAGATTAAAGCTCAAAACGTGCTGTTTTGCTAAAATAATCATTTTCAAGCATTTTAGATCGTTGAAATCGTTCAAATAGACGCAATATTAATAAAAATGGTTGTTTGTAAAGTAGGTTTACGATCGAGATGTTTACGTGATAACGTCTTATTGGTGATATAAGTTTTGTTTGTTGCAATTGTTGTAACACTTCACTTGCACTTCACATTTTGTTTTACTGTTAAACATTCAACGAAAACTTAACCGCACGAGAAAATCTCCATTCGTTTGTATGCCGCTAGAGTGAGAGAGACGGAAGATCGGTCAACTCACTCGAACGCTATGCCTGCCTCCGCTCGTGTGGATTCCGCGTCACAAGTTTCACGGAATGACTGGCAGCGCTCGAGATGAGACGGGAGATCGGTCCGTCTCTCTCTCGTTATAACGAGAGGGGGGTATACCTGCGATCGGCCTCGAGAGGCCTCGTGACACAGTTTCTGAACATGTCACCCGACTAAAACGATTTTAAAGACGTTATCACGTCAAAATTATATTCATAGGTGGCCTATAGTAACCTACAAATTATTTTAAAAGGTTAAAATTTGAGGTTATATTAGGTTTTGTTCCGTTTTTTGTAAATTTTGATTGTTTTTTAGTTTTTAAATTATTGTAGGCTTCTAAAATAACCTAACAACTTGATAATCTATTTTAACTTGTAACTGTCTCAAAATTACTTTTTTTTGTTAGTTTGAGCTTTTATAAGCTTCTTCAGATGTTTATTGATATTATTTTGGTGTCGCATATCAGGAAATCCAGTAAGTCTTCCTTGAAATATTCAATAATTAACATTTTAGCTTAAAATACTTTTTATGTTTAAAGAATATGTTCATAGGTGGCCTATAACCACCTATACTTTTCCATAAATAGGTTAAATTTGAGGTTATGTTGTCATTTCTGCAATTTTTCGTAGATTTTCACATTTTCAGTTTTTAAATTGTTGTAGGCGTCTAAAATGACCTGACAACTTGATAATCTACTGTTTTAACTTATAACCGTCCCAAAATTATTTTTTTCCACTTGACCCTACGATTTCTAACGTCTAATAAAGCAATTTTCGACTTTGTTCCAAAACTACAAACGTTAATCGTCCGAACAAATGTCCAAATGTCTTTTTAAAAACTACCTGTTCTTCTACCAGTAATAATTCTCTATATTATGTCCCTTAACAACTTATGCTTCAAATATATAGCAGTTGTAAATTACAGGAAGTAAAAATTAAGACTTGCAGCGTAAATTGATAGGCGCAGTTGTCGAATAAAACCTTTCAAGTTGTTTATAGCGCTTTTTACAAACTCGTCTTGACTTTAACTGGCTTGAAAACAAAAGTTAATTAGTTTTTACTCGTGTGTGACTTAATTGAATGTTTGTTTCGTGTTGTCAAGCGGCGAGCCATAAAAAACACATAAAATATAAAACTTAATCATATTGTATGTTACGGATGTATTTTTAAATGCAAGATGACACTTCGTTTACACTTTACATTTTACATCGTCGTATGTTCATGATAATATGTAAATTTTACGTTCTTGATGTGTGGAATTAATTTAATTTTTCAATAATTAAAAAAGAGTTTAAAGATGACTGAACATAAATGTGGTGAGTGTGAAAATAAAAGTAGGTATGTAAAAGTGAAAGAGTTGAGGAGAGTCGCGTTGAAAT